AGAACCAAGCTCTCTGTGTGCTGGGGAGTTCCCAGGAGGATGGGCTATAGCCCAGCCCACAGCTCTGGGAAGTCATCTTTAAGGAGGTATTTGGAATCGTAGCGGTTCTGTTGCCTGGCCCAAATCACTCTCTGTTGATGTAACAGCAGAGGAATTGCCGGACTGGATTCGACCAAGGGTCCGTCTAACCCAGTATCCTGTCTCTTTCAGGAACTAGTATCTGATGCTTCAGGGAAAGATTGGGACGGGGGGAACAACCCATCATGAGTTTACATAAGCTATTACCAGCAGGAGAGTGGGGTGGGGGGAGAGAAAACCTTTTGTAGTGATAAACACCCATTTTTTCATGATTTGTGTGTATAAAAACAAACATCTTCTGTATTTTCCACAGTATGCATCCGATGAAGTGAACTGTAGCTCACGAAAGCTTATGCTCAAATAAATTGGTTAGTCTCTAAGGTGCCACAAGTACTCCTTTTCTTTTTGAAAATAATCCAGGAAGTTCCTTCCTAGCCCACTCACCCAGTGGCTGCCTTCTGCCCTGCAGCAGGAGGGGATTTAGTGCTGAGAATCTGTTATCCAGTTTAATGGAGGAATCGATGTTCTCATCCATACACCTCTCATCAAGGAAGGTTCTCATGTGGCTCGTTAGTTTTCTCAAATGCTCGTCCGTGCAGGGACTGATTCCTGAATATCTATTCTGGATTAAGTCCATATTCTGGAATAAGAGCGTCCACACATGGAGTTAATCAGGAATAGTCAATCCGCTTTAAAATCACACCCTACTTTATTCCAGATTAAGTTTCAGATGTAGACACACCCTTACCGTTGCCTCTGCATTTAGAAACCAGGGCTCCCCTTCCATAATTGATTACTTCGTTTCTACAGCAACCTTATATCCACAGTTAACAGTCCATTATTTGATTCTGGGGCTCCCCTTAAAGTGATACCCCTCTAATTTGGTGATGGGAGCGTGGATAGGAGACTTCCAGACTGAAGGGGCTCAATTCTCCATTGCCCTGTACTTTATGGAGTCGTTTGCACCTTGTGCCAAGCTGCCCTTCGGATCAAGTGACGTTCCACACCTGCTGTACCCCAGCGACTGCACCTGGCTACTTTAACAGAGAGCCAGGCTCAGAGATGCCTCTCTGCTCTCCCTGTCCCTGCAGCTTTGCAGGATGCTTTCAACGCGCTCAGCAAAATCAGCGGAGACAAGATCGAGGTGAGCAACTTGCCGTCGGCTCTGAAGGCCATGGGGATCCATTTGACCCCCAAGGAGTTGCAAGAAGCTCTAACGTCCTGCCCTGCTGACGGTGAGTGTCTGAAGGGTTCGTCTCTTGGGGTTTGGCAGGGCAAGTATGCTTGTTCTGCCCAGCCTGGGTGTATGTGGTTACTGGCTGTGTGAGAGTCTGAGGTGAAAGATGTGGGATCCTCTCTTCTTCTGGAATTGCCAGGGGGAGGGCTAGGGTTCCTGGGACCGTCTGAGGAGAAGGAAAACCAGTGGGAGGGTTAGGCAGCTGGGTGGTGCATCATCTCTGGTTTGCTGGAGACAGGCTGGTATCAATGCAGGACTGTGGGAGGCTTGGGGAAGGGAGTTAGGACCATGCTTGGAGGAAGGGGTCATGGGAAAATTTGCAGTTGAGACGCTCTGGGCCCAATTCCCGCCCTTGTAACACCAGGCCATTTCTGCAGTAACTCCCCCGAAGTCACTGCAGTTACTCCAAGTTTCCACCGGCGTAACTCATTTCCAGACTTGCCCTTCCGCCTGGCAGTCTCTTTGCCCGGTGTTGTCTGTTTGCCGTGCCTTTCCTTTCTGAGCCATTCTCTGCCTTGCAGAATCGGGGAGGGTGAATGTGAAGGAATTCATGAAGGTTTTGACCAACATCCCATGCTTCTCTGAATATGTAGGTGAGTAGCAGAGAAATCGGAGAAACAGCTTGGTCTGGGGTGTTGATAGATTGTATAGTCAGTTTCTTGACCCCACTTTGGTTTGTTATGATGGAACATATTCAAGAGACCAAATTAATAACAAGTGTCAGTCAGGTTTATTAATGGTGTACAGGAAAAAGGTTCTGTGGAATACTAGTCTCTGAGGAGCCATCCCATGTAGCGATGTTACATTCACCTTACACAGAAGCTGTGTCCCCAGCTGACTCATTTCAGCTGGTATTAGTTATCTGATGATTTTACAAGTTACACATCTCCTTACACATCACTAAAATCCAACCTACCAGTTTGTCCCAGTTCCCTAATTTGTTGTTTTGTGTTAGAGGGCTTATTCCTTCACCCACTTACTTCCCTGGTCCTTCTCGCATGAACAGAGAGCAACAATACCCAAAGTCCAAAGGTGCAAACAATTCGATGTTTATTGGGGTGAACTTCCAGCAAGCATGATTCCAGTTTCCTTCCTTAGTGTCCTCCTTCCCAGCTCTGACACCACAGAGCCTTACACCTGTGTCCCTGTTCCCATTCCTACCCTTAGCCAAACATGATTCCAACTTCCTTACTCCCATTCCCATTTCCCCCTTTAGCAAAACATGATTCCAATTTTCTTACCCCCATTCCCTGTTCCCATCTCACACACCCACATGCCCACCCCACCCCCACCCACACCCAGTCACTTCCTCATTGACTACAGATTATATAGTAAAACTTGAGTTCTGCTTAGCTATACCTTAACCAATCATTTTCCTGAAATTTAACTAACCAATCCTAACATATTGTAACATGATTATGTAACCAATTATATCCCACCACCTTAATTAGTTTACACCCAGCAAAATTAATTATACAGCAGACAGGAACAATCACAGAACCAGACAGAGATTATACAGACAAACAATAGCAAAGTGGGAACTACAATGACAAGACAACACAGAAGTGAGGATTTCACATCCCAGCTATTGATAAGTGAGTTCTTGCCAGACAGGATGCTATCAAACTAAGTTTCCTTTTACATTTTCTAGGCACTTCCCTTTCTCTGGAGGTGATAGGAATACAATCCTGTCCTGATAGTGCCTAACAGCCCAATAGCACCTTATTTCAATGTGACTAGTTTGGAAGGTGAGGATGTGACCGTTCGCTTCCCAGCTTATGGCTGCCTCTGCTGCTTAGCCAAAGGCCTGAGCCTAAGCACAGGGCCACAAACTGTCACAGTAAGAGAAGGCCCTTACACTGGCAGACAGTGGTTTTGATTCTTTCTTTTATACCTCTAACTAGCCAAGTGATAAGAATACACCTAAATTCTTAAAGTACAGGCCTTTGCAGACAGGCCTGAATATCTATATCCTAACATTTTGTTCCTGCCTTCTCTTTGTTCTGAATACCGGCATTCCAGGTACTGCTCCCTGAAAATCCTTCCCTAGCTTGTACTAAGACATAGAATGAATATATCTGTATTTTGACATGTTTCCTATATGCTTATTATGCCTAATGCCTTATGCAAATGCAAGGAGTTATGGGATAGTTAGCATAAGTGAACAGGATTATGGTATAGGCCAATTTAGGCTTTATCATTAATGCAATATTTGTGCTTAAGGTTATTGGTGCTTGATTCATATTTATATATGGTGCAGATAATACATATTATTAATATGAGATATATTTATGTGCTAGCCAGCATATGTTATTCGGGGGATAGGGCACTGGAGTGGGACTCCGGAGACTGGGGTTCTATTCCCAGCTCTGCCACTGGCCTGCTGGGGGACCTTAGTCAAGTCACTGCCCTGCTCTGTGCCTCAGTTTCCCCTTTGTTCTGTCTTTTAGAGTGTAAGCTGCTCAGGGGAGGGACTCGCTTACTACTCAGGGCCGTGAGGCTCTGAATCTCTAGGCAAAACCGAAATATGAATTTCTATGGAGCTGTAGCTCATCTAGTCAAGATTGAAGGCTCTGTTTTATACATATGGCCCTATAAGTCTGTTGTTGTTTCCTCCACTATTAACAGACCCCTTTTGACAGCACTACTGAGGCTGCAGCCATTGCTTTAATCAGCCACCCCCTCTCTGTAACTTGCTTTTTACCATGGCTGTGTGTCTGCAGCACTGCAGGATGCCTTGGAGACCATCAGCAAGATCAAAGAGGATAAGGTCCCTGTTTCTCAGCTGGAGCAAATCCTGAACAGCATGGGCATTCATCTGACCAAAGAGTCACTCCAGGAAGGGCTAAAGACCGCTACTGTTGATGGTGAGCATCTACCATATCGGCCCTTCTGCTGGAGGGGAACGTGGGCTTGGAGGTTCCACGTTCGTATGCCGCTCAGCGCCCGTGTTCTCTGCTGTGCATTAGATCCTACCAGAAGCCGAGCACGCTGGCCCTGATCCAGCAAAGCACTTATGCACGTGCTTGATGTTCAGCACATGAGCATGAGTCCCACCAATATCATCCAGTCAGGAAACAGAAATATACCACGTGACCTAGGGATCCAGTCACGCCTGCGTGACAGTCAGATGCCAGATATTCCCAACTAACTTACGAAGATCAAGAATTGCTTGTAGAAAATAATCAGCAAATAATCTATGACTTATTTGCCCAGCAATAGTAGGGAGTAGTGTCTGCCTGGGGCTTTCTCAAATGCTTCCTATGCATCTCCCAGACAAAAATTGTAAATAAATAAATGAGGAGGAAAGCACGGGGGGAATTCTATAATTAATGTGTGGGGAAAAGAGGCAATACGGTCCAATGGGCAGCACACTAGACTTGGAGTCAGGAGAGGTGGGATTGAACCTATTTGAGCAATTGGCCTGCTGGGTGACCAGGGGCAAGTCCAGACCCGTATCAGCTATATGCCTCAGTTTCCCCATCTGTAAATTGAAGGTAATTGTATGTACCTCCTTTGTAAAGTTCTTGGAGATCTCCCCATGAAAAGTACTATCTAAGGAGCTATTATTAAACTGTCTCTCTCATATGCCAATTTCCACAAATGCTGTGTTTCTGTAAGTCTCTATGAGACGCACTATATAAGAGCTAGGTATTCTAACAACAACAATAATATCCATCCATTGATGTTTAATTTGTATTTTACAGGGGATGGAAAGGTGAATTTCAAAGACTTTCTCACCTCCTTGGGTGATACCCAGAACTTCTCTGAGCTGGAAGGTAAGTGCGGGGTTTAGAAGAAAGGAAATAAAAGAGGCAAATTGTATAAATAGAAAATGATCCAGTCCATTAGCTCTGTCCAAGAACAACTTCCACAATCACCCATCTGCTACCAGCAGTGTACACCGGCAAAACTGTCTCCACGGTCAGCTGCAGGAGCAAAATGGGAGCCTGTTCTTAAAAATCAGGCCCGTTTGGTGAAATTCACCCTGAGCCAAGGCCAGCGCTCCACTAAAATCCCACTTAAGTTCTTGAAATGGCACTTAAGTGGTGCATGGATCCCATATATGGGGATGAATTTCACCTACAATGAATCACTCAGCAAATAGCACAAGGTCTCTAATGTCAGTAGCATTGAAATTCTCACCCGGCTTTTACAAGTCCTTCAGATCTGTCACTCCCAGTGCTGTGGCTCCCAGAGTCTGCTCTTTATTGCTATGGAAAATGAATCACCAGCACGTGCTTTATCTGTGTGTGCTAATGCACGAGCATACCTTTGTGTCTGCAAAAAGCCAAGTTTGCATGTCCCGTGGGAACACGTGAATAATTTGCGGGTAACACTGGATTGTCTTTGGCAATTTTTGCCTAAGAATCCAGGCGGATTTAAGAGATCTCTAGAGAAAAAGATTTGTAAATTTGTCTTCTTAGAGGTCAGTAATCTGGTCAGCCTGTCTTTAGTGCTATTTAACTGGTGACTCGTGGCCCATCTAACACCCTGCCCCTTCCCTGTGTGTTTTCAGCATTGCAGAATGCCACCAAAGTTGTCAGCGGGATGCAAGGAGGTAAGATTCACGTGGATGACCTGAAATCCACCCTGGAAAATCTGGACATCTCGCTAAAGGAGGAGGAGCTCCAGGAGACACTGAAGGCCGTTGCTGTTGATGGTGAGCATTGTAGTCCTCACTCTGCAGACACCAGGTGCAGCCGGTGTTGGTGTTCGCATGCATTGCTGCAGACGTGGTGCCCGGTACTCATTATACAACAAGGAGGGCGCGTGGGCTAAAGGATGGAGCACTTCTGTGTGAATCAGGACTCCTGGGTTCTGTTGCTGCCTCGGACACTAGCTCCCTTGATGAGCTGGGGCTTGTCACTTTGCCTCTGTCTCTCTGTAAAACTGGGAGAATGATATTTACTTGCCACCCCGTGGAGTCCTGGAACGTCCTCAATTAATGTTTCTAAAGGGCTTTTGAGACCATCTGTGGGGAGGTCCTTCATCAGCACAAATAAATACCTGTCTCAGCAACTCCACAGCCCTTGGCACTGTAGTATCTGAGTGCCTCACAATCAGCCATGGCCTTTTGTCCTCACAGCACCCCTGTGAACAAGGCAGGGACCATTCCCCTTTTACTGAAGGGGAAATGAGACCCAGGGCATAGGCTCTGAGGTTTTTTCTTTTCCCCAGAGGTGCTCCAGAGACCCTGCCTTCACGCCACCTCTTCCGGCCCCCAAGCCCTTCCCACAGTGGCCAATCAGCTGATTGGGGGTGCCGCCAAACAGCTGCGGTTGGTGGCTGCTAAGCACCCACTTTTTTTTTTCCTATAGCCCAGGGTAGACTAAGCGACATGCCCAAGGAGACACCAGGAATCTGTGGCTGAGCTGGAAGTTGACTCCAGTTCTCTTCAGTCCTGGGGCTTGTCTACATGGCGCTGCAGTCCAGTTTACGGGGGGGGAGGGGGGTGAACTGCAGAGCACTCAAACTTGTTGCACTGTCCCTGCCCCATAAAAACCCCGCTGGCACGAACTGAAAGGTACCTAGTTCACGTTGATGTAGTCCTGTTGGAGAGCAACACATTCCACACCCCCGCAGCCTGGACTGCGCCGTGTAGACAAGCCCCAAGTCCTAGGCACTAGACCAGGGGTGGGCAAACTTTTTGGCCCGAGGGCCACACCGGGCTTGCGAAACTGTATGGAGGGCCGGGTAGGGAAGGCTGTGCCTCCCCAAACAGCCTGGCCTCCACCCCCTATCCGCCCCCTCCCACTTTCTGCCCCCCTCAGAACCCCGACCCATCCAACCTGCCCTGCTCCTTGTCCCATGACTGCCCCCTCCCGGGAACCCCCCCACACTCCCTGTCCCCTGACTGCCCCAACCCCTATCCACCCCCTCGCCCCCTGACAGGCTCCCTGGGACTCCCATGCCTATCCAACCCCCACATTCCCTGTCCCCTGACTGACTCCACCCCATCCAACTACCCCCTGCTCCCTGTCCCATGACTGGCCCTTGGGACCCCCTTCCCTTTATCTAAACCCCCCCCGCCCCCTTACCATTCCCCTCATCCCTCTCCGCCCATCTCAGCTGTTCTGTCCCTTGCAGAGCGCGGGACCGTGAACCTGAAGGAGTTCCTGACGGCTCTCACCAGCATCCCGCACTTCTTGGACTCCGCGGGTGAGCAAATCACAGTTACAGGAGCGAGGGCCCCTTAGAAAATCCTGATCGCGCTCGCCAGCCTTGGACTGTCCCCGGATCTGAGCTCACCACAGAGCACCCACACAAAGCAATCTCCTGCGTTGCCCAAGCAAAGCCCTGAGCATCCCTCTTAACACGCGGTCCTCCTGAAGGGAAAAGCCGGAACGAAGAAGGAGGCGCTGGCAAACTGGAAGGGAAGCCAAGCTCTAGGACGGAAGTTTTAACACCTCTCCATTAGCGCAGCTCTATGTTGTATTTGCGAGAGGCAGCAAAGGGCAAATTTGCTCATTCCATTGGCCTACGTGGAACGTCCCCCACCCCATCATACCCCAGTGCCACTGAGAGCAGAACTTGCCCCGTGACAGGAAAGATTTTCAAATGAGCTTGGCCCCTCGGGTGCACGTTGGTTGCTGGGCCCTTTGGAACAGCTGGTCCCAACTGAGGCCACTGAGCACTTGGAAATCTGACCCTCCGTGTAAACTGCTTGTGGTGCTGACAGTCCTTGCCAGCCCACAGGCAAATCCTTTGCAGGGGCCGTTTCTCCTCTCACATCTTGTGAAGATTATTTTCCATAAGAGACAAAGATTCTGTGGCCCATTTCTAGGTCGATTTTTCCCTCCAAGGGATGCAAACACAGGGCCTGATCCTGGTCTTCCTGAGGGTGGTGTAAATCAGGAGTGACTCCCATCAGAATCAGTGGTGTTCCACCCCGAAAGTACATGTGTAAGCCCTGGCATGTGTCTGGTAGAGGGGCTTCATGGGACCTTTTTAACTCATTCTTCAGCGAGTAAATTCCCGAGCACATCGAGTCTCCTTGTTCTGCCCTTCCACACACCGGGGCTGTCCCTTACACCTGAGAGAAGTGAGCATATAGCATTTTATACCCACTTTGCATCAGTAGAAAAGGTGGACCCTCTGCTAGTGTAAATCAGCATTGGCTTGAGTGGAGCTGCTCTGATTTACACCTGCATAGATATTTAGGGCTAGATCCTATGCAAGGTATGCCAGGCTGTGGAGAATTGAGCCCCCCATAGCTGTCCGATCTTGACCGGCAGTGCTGCAGGACGCCATCAAGGCCTTCAGCAGGATCAAAGAAGACAAAGTTGATCTGCAGGACATGGGTTCCATTCTGGCCAGCTTGGGGATCAGCGTATCCAGTGAGGAGCTGCAGGAGGCTTTGCAGAAGATTTCCCCGGACGGTGAGCATTACCGCCAGCTGCCTGTTTTCCCTGGGTGCCACCTTCCCTGATGAGTCACCTGGGGAGCTGACACACAGAGGGAGCTTGGAAGATGGAGTGAGTTACACCAGCTTGGCCATTGCTTGATTCATTTAGACTCCCCTACGAATTTGGCCCTGTGTCTGTGTTGCCATGTTAAGGGCCGTGTCCATGTTAGAATACGTGGAGTCTGTGTGGTGACAGATCTGTGGTGGAGAGTCTTAAAAGAACAGTATCCCAACCCTGTCCAGGAGCCTTTGTCCCTTGCTTGTGGGTTGGGTCAAACATCGCTTGTTGGCTAATGCTAATCTCCACGGGCTGAAAACTTAATAAGGTTTGGGTGGGGGAGGAAAGAATTTCGGTGGAGTTGCAGAGAGCAGAATTTGGCCTGATATGTTTAAGACACAATGGCATCCTGCCAGTATTACATGTGCACTAAATGCACCTGCAAAATCTAGCACCGTTGTTGCCGGCTGATACAGAAATTGTACGTGTCTGCTTGTGTGTGTCAGCGTCACAATAACCTGGTTCTCGTGTTTTACACAATCCCATGTATTTATTTTTAGGCACATTTTCATCCCTTATTTATAGAAACTTTCTTAAAGTCACAACAGTCTTGCATCTAGGGAGATTTACTGCCATATCTGCTGTCCTGACTATCCATCATACTGGGTGTTAACTTTAAGGCGTTTTCTAAGTTAAACAAGAGGGTCTGTCTTCACGCTGGGTGTTTTGCCCAATGTCCATTCTGTCTGCTGTGTCCTCTACCTTGCAGAAGATGGGAAGGTGAACTTCAAAGAAGTTCTGATGAATTTGATAGACACCCAGCACTTCTCAGAAACTTCAGGTGAGTGAGAACAGGTATCCTTCAAAAGTAGATCTCCCTAGGCACATTTGTGGAAATCAAAAGGGCAGGTTCTGGTCTCATGACTTGGGTTTAAATCCAGACTAACTCTATAGACTTCAATGCACATAGTCTAGATTTATATCAATATAAATGAAAGGAGAATCTGGTGCCAAATATACTTATTATTTAGCTCCAGTGATCCAAGCAGATGTTCATTTCGGCTTCCTTTATATCTCATGGGAAGTTGATACTTTTCACCTTGTTCTCTAGCTTCATCTCCTGTTTAGAATGTTAGCAATACAGGTTACAGGTTAGCAATACAGGGTAGAGTTGATCTCAGCAGAAGTCCATGGACCAAATTCTCTGTACGGTTTGTAGCTACCAAATGCTGAAGCCTAAATTTTATGAACAGGAGTACTTGTGGCACCTTAGAGACTAACACATTTATTTGCACATAAGTTTTCGTGGGCTACAGCCCACTTCATCAGATGCATACAGTGGAAAATACAGTAGGACAATTTTATATACACAGAGAACATGAAACAATGGGTGTTACCATACACACTGTAACGAGAGTGATCAGGAAAGGTGAGCTATTACCAGCAGGAGAGGGAAAAAAACAAACAAACCAAAAAAAAAAAAAACCTTTTGTAGTGATAATCAAGGAGGGCCATTTCCAGCAGTTGACAAGAACATGTGAGGAACAGTGGGGGGGGGGGGGAATAAACATGGGGAAATAGTTTTACTTTGTGTAATGACACATCCACTCCCAGTCTTTATTCAAACCTAAGTTAATGGTGTCCAGTTTGCAAATTAATTCCAATTCAGCAGTCTCTCGTTGGAGTCCGTTTTTGAAGTTTTTTTGTTGTAATATTGCGACTTTTAGGTCTGTAATCAAGTGACCAGAGAGGTTGAAGTGTTCTCCAACTGGTTTTTGAGTGTTATAATTCTTGATGTCTGATTTGTGTCCATTTATTCTTTTGTGTAGAGACTGTTCGGTTTGGCCAATATACAGGGCAGAGGGGCATTGCTGGCACATGATGGCATATATCACATTGGTAGACGTGCAGATGAACGAGCCTCTGATAGTGTGGCTGATGTGATTAGGCCCTATGATGGTGTCCCCTGAATAGATATGTGGACACAGTTGGCAACGGGCTTTGTTGCAAGGATAGGTTCCTGGGTTAGTGTTTTTGTTGTGTGGTTGCTGGTGAGTATTTGCTTCAGGTTGGGGGGCTGTCCGTAAGCAAGGACTGGCCTGCCTCCCAAGATCTGTGAGTGATGGGTCACATAAACACCACCCTATCCCAGAAACCTACTGACTGCTGTACTTACCTACATGCCTCCAGCTTTCATCCAGACCACACCACACAATCCATTGTCTACAGCCAAGCTCTACGATACAACGGCATTTGCTCCAACCCCTCAGACAGAGACAAACACCTACAAGATCTCTATCAAGCATTCTTAAAACTACAATACCCACCTGCTGAAGTGAAGAAACAGATTGACAGAGCCAGAAGAGTACCCAGAAGTCACCTACTACAGGACAGGCCCAACAAAGAAAGTAACAGAACACCACTAGCTATCACCTTCAGCCCCCAACTAAAACCTCTCCAGCGCATCATCAGGATAGGTTGTAGATCCTTGAAGGATGACCCATCACTCTCACAGATCTTGGGAGACGGGCCAGTCCTTGCTTACAGACAGCCCTGGTGACTTGAAGACATCTAATTTGTTTAAGTAATTTTTAACTCGTTCTTTCCCTGTCTTAGCCTCTGATCCTCCCTCATTTTCACTGGCACATTAGGACACCACCCTGCGCTGATGCAGAGAGATGACCCAGTTAATGCTTTGCTTTATATTCTCTGCACATTTGCAGCCATGCAGGAGGCCTTGGATGTCATCAGCAAGGTTGAGGGTGACAAAATTGCTGTTTCTCACCTGGAGTCGGCTCTGGCCAACATAGGGATCACTTTATCCAAGGGAGAGCTGGAGGAAGCACTGAAGCATGCTACAGTGGATGGTAAGCAACCTTAGCAGGGCGGGTGCATCACCACATTTGTTTATAGGTGGCTAATCATGTGTATGGCACAATACGTGGGGTTGGTGAATACTCAAGCATCAATGCTGGCAAATGCAGGTGATCCTTTTAATGCAACATTTTCCACAGCAGCAAGGGAGATCCTTGCTCTGTCCAGTGGTCTGGTGCCGTTTCTCTTTGGCTGGGGAATTTAATTGTTCAGGTCTAGGTATCACCCAGCATCTGGAAACACATGGGGCATGTTCTGATGGGACCCTTTGTAGCTGTGGGGAGAGCAGAGGAACAAAGAGTCTCCCCTGTGTGTATGGCCAGCTCAGAGGCCTCTCTCTAATGCAGTCACTGTGTTCTGGGGTGCAAGGCACCCTGAGGAGGAAGGGCCATGGCCCTGGCCAAGCAGGGTGTTCGTCACATGTGCAAATACAGCTCTGCTTGCTTACGTGTGGCCGGGTCGGCCCCTCCATGTGGACTTGGAGCATTGGCCTGGGGCCAAGTGTCTCCTCTCGGCCAAGCTGACTTTGTGCTGTTGACACAGTGGTCAGTGGAGGAGGCAGGAAGCAGCTGGAGCGACGTGCCAGAGAATCCCCTCATGCAGGGTGACCCTGTGATGGCACGCAGCTGGCAGAGGCAGCGTCGCCCCCTCCTGCACATGCGCCGTCGCTGCTTCCTGCCCCAGACTCGCCCTCACTGCAGCAATAGATGTGGCCGGGGAGCAGAGGTGAAAGTAAGCCAGTACGCCCCGGTACGGCCTACCGGTTAGAGCAATTTAAAGCCCTGGGGTAGCGGCGGCGGGGCTCTGGCGAGGATTTAAAGGGCCCCGGAGTTCCAGGCCCTGCTACCCCCCGGCCCTTTAAATCCCCAACGGAGCCCGGCCGCCGCTACCCCAGGGCTCGGGCAGCAGGGCTCAGCCGGGGATTTAAAGGGCTCGGGGCTCCGGCAGCCGCTACCACAGCAGAGCCCCAGGCCCTTTAAAGTTCTGCCAGCGCCCAGAGCCCCGGGGTAGCAATGGCAGCCGGGAGTCCCCAGGGCTCCTCAGTGATTTAAAGCGTCCAGGGCTCCGCTGCGGTAGCGGCAGCTGGAGCCCTGGGCCCTTTAAATCACTCCCAAGCCCCGGGGGTTCCCAGCCGCCTCTGCAGCTGGTAACTCGGGGGTGATTTAAAGGGCCCCGGGCTCCCAGCCGCCACTACCGCAGCTGGAGTCCTGGCCCTTTAAATCTTGATTTAAAGGGCCCGGGGATTTAAGGTCCTGCCTCTTCTGGTTGAGGCCAAACCCCCTAATCAGGACTCTGGCATACCAGTGAGTCCTCTAACTTACTTTCACGCCCGCCGGGGAGGGGATGTGCCCAGGGATCAAAGGGAGCAGTGGGTGGCTGAGAACCAGGGAGCCCCGCTCAACCTATGGCCTGCCCCTCTGTGCCCGCACTGTGCCCAGACCCAGTGGAGAATTGTGCCCTGGTTCCTAGGGTCCACTGCTGCTGCCATGAACGTGCATGCAAGTCCCACTGAACTCCATGGCACTCATGGGGCAGTCTGCCAAGCCCGAAGGGCATTGCAGGTCAGCTGGTGATCTAGTTGCTTCGGAGCCAGGAAACCTGCCTTCTAGCCCTGTTCTGTTATTCCAGGGCATGGGACCTTGGCTGCATGTGACTTGCCCATTCTTTCAAAGGTGGCCAGTGATTTTGGGCTGCGGGCATCTGACTGGAGACAGTTTGGGCCTGTGTTTCAGAGGTGTTTCAGGGCACCTCCGAGCCCAGCACTCTGGTACAGGTATCAGAGGGGGGGGGGGGGGTCCCTTTGGGGGGGGGGGTCCTCAGAACTGAGTCCCCCCCCAGGTGGAACCCGCTGGTGAGGGTGTGTTACAGGATCTTCTCTGTTGCCAATCCACAGAGGATCTGAGTCTGTTACAGCCCCAGCTAGGGCTTTATGGCTCCCTAGTTCAAGCAGTAGTAGTTGAGACTTCCCTCTGGAGGTCTCCGGACTGGTTCAATCTCAGGTATCTTGGCTCAGATGGCGGCCTCCCACAAAGTCAATCGCTGCGTCAGAGAATGACCTTCCCTTCCCTGAGCCTCTGTTTTCCCACCCCTGTAACCGACGGTACAGCTGGGCGCTCTGCCTTTCTGCCTCCTCTCTACATCTGAACTGTGCGTTATCTTGCAGGAGATGGGAAGGTGAATTTTAAAGAATTTCTGAAGGGTTTGACCAGCACCAAACGTTTTTCCAGAACCTTAGGTGAGTGAGGAGCTGCGGTGGATGGAAGATGCTTTGCATCATGGAATTCTGGCTGTGTTTGCAAGGGTACCACAGTTCTCTATGGCATTTTAGGCATCTCTTTGGCATGCCCAGCTATCATCGTCTGTATCATTTGGGGCCAGATGAGAGACCAATCACGGATTCCTGTACCCAGTAGATCCTCAAGTGGTCAGTGCAGCTGGTTTATGGCCCGTTGGTGGCACAACACAGCTGAGGCTTCCTGGTAAATGGTATTTGCTTCATGACTGACAAAGAGCTTAGGACATGAAACACAAGAATCGCTTGACTGACAGTGCCACACTCTTAGAATAGTCCAAACTGTGATCTTCCAACGGGGTCTTAGCACCAGGGAGGGAGAATACAGAGCGTCCTGTCTCATCCCTAGTTTTATGTCTAGCTCTTTTCTCCCATAGCTTGCATTTGGCCCTACGGTGAATTCCGCTCCCCCACAGAAGCACGTTGCAAACATCCAGTGTAGACAGAGCCACCCAGTGTCTGACTACCATCAACAGATTGTAACAGCAATCAATGCCAGGAAGATCTTGGTGGTGGGCCCTTCTTAACCCAAGAGACGCTCTCTGTCCAGCAGAATGAGTCCAGCTGTCCATGGCTGAGCTGTTCCATGGAGCTCCTTTTCGTGCGAAGATTATCACCCAGACTTATCAGCTAGGACAGACCTACGACAGGATGTTCTGATTAGGCAGGAAGAAAAGGAGTACTTGTGGCACCTTAGAGACTAACCAATTTATTTGAGCATGAGCTTTCGTGAGCTACAGCTCACTTCATCGGATGCATAGCGTGGAAACTGCAGAAGACATTATATACACACAGAGACCATGAAACAATACCTCCTCCCGCCCCACTGTCCTGCTGGTAATAGCTTATCTAAAGTGATCATCAAGTTGGGCCATTTCCAGCACAAATCCAGGTTTTCTCACCCTCCGCCCCCCCCCCACACACACAAACTCACTCTCCTGCTGGTAATAGCCCATCCAAAGTGACCACTCTCTTCACAATGTGTATGATAATCAAGGTGGGCCATTTCCTGCACAAATCCAGGTTCTCTTACTCCCTCACCCCCCTCCAAAAATCACACACACAAACTCACTCTCCTGCTGGTAATAGCTTATCCAAAGTGACCACTCTATATAATATTATAACATTCATAAACCCGTCGGAGAACACTTCAATCTCTCTGGTCACGCAATCACAGACATGAAGGTCGCTATCTTACAACAAAAAAACTTCAAATCCAGACTCCAGCGAGAAACTGCTGAATTGGAATTCATTTGCAAATTGGATACTATTAATTTAGGCTTAAATAGAGACTGGGAGTGGCTAAGTCATTATGCAAGGTAGCCTATTTCCCCTTGTTTTTTCCTACCCCCCCCAAACGTTCTGGTTAAACTTGGATTTAATCTTGGAGAGTGGTCAGTTTGGATGAGCTATTGCCAGTAGGAGAGTGAGTTTGTGTGTGTGTGTGTGTCCCCGGGGCGGGGGGGGTGAGAGAGCCTGGATTTGTGCTGGAAATGGCCCACCTTGATTATCATGCACATTGTAGGGAGAGTGGTCACTTTGGATAGGCTATTACCAGCAGGAGAGTGAGTTTGCGTGTGTGGTTTTTGGAGGGGGGTGAGGGAGTGAGAGAACCTGGATTTGTGCAGGAAATGGCCCAACTTGATTATCATACACATTATTACCTATTACCAGCAGGACAGTGGGGCGGGAGGAGGTATTGTTTCATGGTCTCTGTGTGTATATAATGTCTTCTGCAGTTTCCACGCTATGCATCCGATGAAGTGAGCTGTAGCTCACGAAAGCTCATGCTCAAATAAATTGGTTAGTCTCTAAGGTGCCACAAGTACTCCTTTTCTTTTTGCGAATACAGACTAACACGGCTGTTACTCTGAAACCTGATTAGGCAGGGTGGCCTTAACTCATTTCCCCTTGTGACTCTTCTTCCCATTCTCCATGAGAAGGGGACCCAGAGAAGAGAGACTTAGTGAAGGAGAAAAGCAGGATATTACCATTGAGCTGAGTTACTCTGAGCTTTCCTACATCCCAGAGTTCACCCATCAATTCACCACCCCACTCCTCCTTCAGGGAGGGCAGACAGGGGTTACAGAGAGAGGAAACAAAGGGCTGAAAATGGGCCATAAATAAACTCCATGCGGGATGTGGCTGTCTCCATTAGGGACGTCTCTAAAGGAGACAGAACTCCAGTTACACTTAAGTAGACAGGTCTGCTTCCAGGGCCTGAACCAATGTCCATCTGGAAGTATTTCCATTGCCTTGGCTGGGCTTTGGATCAGACCTCTAGCTTTTGGTGCTGCTAAGAGTTCCCATTGAGTTCTCTTTCAAAGCTAAGAATTAGGGTCACATTTTCTTCTTCTCCAAGCAGCGTTCCCAACTAATCCCCTCCTCCCCCTGTCAGGAGTGGGCTGACTCTGCCGACTGGAGGCCTCACTACACCTTCTCTTCATGCTTGCAGAGATGGAAGGGGCCGTGAAAGCCATTGGCGTGATCAAAGAGGACACAGTGGACGTTCATCACCTGGAATCCATCATGCGCAACATGGGGATTCATTTAACCCCGGAGGAGATTCAGAAGGCGCTGAAGCATGTTATCTATGAGGGTGAGCGTTTCAAACAGCCTCCTGTTCTTTGGTGAGGCCTGTACTTTTTCTGGGGATGGGGAGGTGCTGTTTTTACACCTGTGAGGATACCTGGGGTGGGGTTCGGGTGTGTAGGGGCTACTCATTCCGTTTAAAACCAACTCCTGTGCTGTCATGAGCAAAATCCCTTCTCTGATCATTAACCTTTGACCTCATGCCCATCGTTCTAGTGGTCAGACAAAGTCTGCAATTAGTGGTCTATGACACAGTTGTCCTGTCCCTGGCTCGAGGATTTTAACAGACCTGCAGACACATCAGAAGGAGGCCTTGTCTTCTTCAGGGTCAAATCTGGGCTTTGGACATGGAGAAAGGCCCTTTCGTATCTCAGCCCCTCCGAGCTCCAGGCTGGGGGGAACCCCGAGAAGGTTTGAACGCTAATGAGCTGATTCACCACTGTGTTACTCCAAGGTGATGTGGGCACAACTCCATTGATCGCAATGGACCTATCCTGGTGTAAAACCAGCGTAATGCAATGGTGAATCCAGCCCTAAATATTCACTATGTCTGCCTCTCTGTTAGCGTTCAGGGGCTAAACTCATCCCTGGTGTAATGCTGTCAAGGTCAATGACAGTTTTAGGACTTTCAACAATTTGTCTGGAATTTTCCATCCAAAACCCTTTGGCAGCTTTGAACTTTCCCCCGTCCTCCTTTTTGACTTCGTATCTGTTCATCATTTTTTCCTTCTCCCTGACATGGATCATCTCATTGCAGAAGATGGGAAGGTGAATTTGAAAGATTTCATGATGGGTTTGACCAAGACCCGGCGATTTTCCCAAGCTGAAAGTAAGTGGAAACTGTAGTGAACAGTAGAGCCCTGCAGCGGGCCTGGGATCCCACAGGGCCTGCTGCCATAATAGCAGGAGCACGTAAAACATATTTTGTTGGGTGGATAAAAAAAAATCCTGTGGGAATTTGTGGGAAAACATTAAATCTCTTGGCTGTTTGTCCTAAATAGAATTTCAGCAACACAAAGCAAGTTTTTCTTTTTTTATTAAATAAAGATTTTAATACTTAAATTTAAGTGAGGAATAGAAAGAGATTTGATGTCTGTTCTAACAGGAGTTAAAGTATTTTTTTTACGTAGTTTGAACAAGATTTGTTTTATTCTTTTAGTGGTAAAAATTGTGTCTGAATTCCATTTATATATATGTATATACTATGTTAACTGCCTTTTTTTTTTCTAACGAGCACAGTGGAATCTGTGTCTCATGCGGAATTTGTGGGATCTAAGGTGTGAGCAGGTTACAAATGCAAGAAATGATGCAGGAGCGGGTGGGAGTGGGTATTGAGAGGCAGGATGAAAAAAATAGACCCGCACAGGGCTCTAGTTTAGTGTACTGGTATAAGGAAGAATAGATGGGGAGCCCTCTAGTGGCGCTCGCCATGTTCTGTGATGCTGCTAGGACAGCAGGATGTGTGTAGCTAGGTCTTGTGTGTTTGTGTGCAGTTAGGAAACACAGTTATTAAAGACCCAACAATGCCTTTGTGGTTTCTTCATGGTATTGGAGCTCTAGGCCTTATTCTGAGGCAGTTCTCTGGCCTGTGTTCTACACGGGGCAGACTACATGATCACACTAGTGCCTTCTGGCCAGTCTATGAATCTGTTGTGGTGTAAAAAGCAAAAGTCTCAGCAGAAACTTTACTGCAAACAGAGCTGCTGGAAAAACACATTTCAGGGGGAAATTTCCTCCCCCGCTTTTGTTGGTTTGCTTTTGCTTTTGTTTTTCATCAGAGTTTGGACATTTTCGGAACAGCTGCTAGAGCTGGTTGAAAAACAGGGGGAACAATTTCAAGAAAAGGGGGATGGGAATTTGTTTAGGCCATCTATTGAAATTTTGACATATTCAGAAGTTTTCCAAAGAGAGGGTCTGCAGGGTGGAAGCTGATAGACGGAGCCACGTCTCTGCATTTCAAGTGGTGCTCTCAGCGTTGGAGCTGTGTTTTCTCAAGATTATGTATTTATTTGCGTTACCTGGAGGCTGCAGTCATGATCAGGGCTGCTGTAGAGTGAGGGTGCCATCCAGACGCATAGCGAGAAATGGTCCCTGCCAGCAAAGTGTCTGAATAGACAAAGAGTGTAGGAGAAACAGAGGTGCAGAGAGAGCACAGAACAGAACTCGGGTCTCCTGAGTCCCAGTTCATTGTCCAACTGCTGGACAATACTGACTCTCCTCCTGCTTTGACTTCACTGGTGTGATGCAGGCTGATCTGGATCCCTGAGCTCAGAGCATTAAAAATTGCACAGACTCATGGGCTACCAGGCCAAATCCCAGCTCACTAGCCACAAAGGAAAAGAAAATCTGGCCCAATTAGTCTCTTCATGCCAGTTCCCCAAGTGCCAGGCTTCCAGGTATTTCCTTCTACAGAGTCTACCCCAGTTTAATTTACCTCTGCCAATTCTCTTGCTGTATACCCAGCCTGCCCTGCTCTTAAAGGGGCAGGCCTGTTACACAAACAAAGCCACTTCTCTGCATGTTGCCAGGCTGTTGGATGGCTTCAGGGCCAGCAGCAATATCCAACAGATTTTATTTGAAGAGAAGTTTTGGGCCTAGTTCTCCCCTCGTTTATGCCGGTGTCACTGCATATACTCCTGTAGCATTACTCCTATCTACACCAGGTGCACCTGAGGTCATAATCGGGCCCTTGGATTAAATCCAGCACCTTCATAGGGCGATGCAAAATGGAACAATCCACCGAAAAGGACAGAACAATCCCATGCAGCCTGTGTGAGGTGGTGTTTCAGAAGAAAGAACTCTGTTTTCCAGCCAAGGTTTCAGGACAAATCCTGCATTGTGGCAGGGAGTTAGAGTAGATGATCCTTGCAGTCCCTTCTGACCCTATGGTTCTAGGATAGTCACAGAAACTGTTTTTCCTTCCCCTATTCAAGAGGACAGAGTTGATGTCCGGAACCTGGACTCCATTCTGGACAACATGGGGATCTACCTGACGAACGAGGAGCTGCAGGAGGCCCTGAAGAACGTTACAGTTGATGGTGAGCGTTGGAAACACTGTGTATTTTGGTGCAATGCAGACTCCTGTGGGGGAGCCCGCAACCGTATGTGCATTATGCCTCGTGCATGCCTTTGGCAGCAGTGAAGAAGAGCAGTTCTGGCTGCCCCGGGGCCCCTCCATCATGATGGAGGAGCTGCAAGGCCAAACATGAGCGCACGGCAGCCCCCGTGTAGCATGTCACAATGCCGCTCACGATGGAGGGGTGGTGGGGCCAAACCTGCGTGGTCTGTGGGGCACCCAGTACTGCTCCTCCTCGCTACAGGCCATGGGCCTGGCTTCTGCACCAGGGTTCCCACCCAGGGGCCTGCCTGGCATTAACCCACTTCCAGCAGCCCGAGTTCCCTCTTAGGGATGGGGAGAGACTGCACTTGGACGGACCAGGCTGGAAGGTGGGGGCTGAGCAGGTGAGGCCCTGGGGTCAGCAGCTGCAGTGAGGATGGCTCCATGGGGATTGATGGTAAATACTGGGGTGAAAAATTCTGGGGATGCCCCTGGGCTCCTGTAGGGTGTGAGTGTGGGTGGGTGGGTGGGTGGGTGAATACACAAGATTGTTGAAAGAAAATATGTGATCCATTTAAAACAACCCCCTAAAATGTAACTGGTAGAATCACCTCTCCAGTCCTCAGCGCCTGTCCTCTGGAAATTTAGGTAAGTCAGTTGGAGCAGTGGGATAGGTGCTCACAGGCCATTCTAGTCTGCAGCTCAAGAGGCAGATGAATTACACCTGATTGGAACAGGAATGGGGGGTTGAGAAATAGCACCACCCTGTTTATAGTTAGTAATATCAGGGTTGGAAGGGACCCCAGAAGGTCATCTAGTCCAACCCCCTGCTCGAAGCAGGACCAATTCCCAGTTAAATCATCCCAGCCAGGGCTTTGTCAAGCCTGACCTTAAAAACCTCTAAGGAAGGAGATTCTACCACCTCCCTAGGTAACGCATTCCAGTGTTTCACCACCCTCTTAGTGAAAAAGTTTTTCCTAATATCCAATCTAAACCTCCCCCACTGCAACTTGAGACCATTACTCCTCGTTCTGTCATCTGCTACCATTGAGAACAGTCTAGAGCCATCTTCTTTGGAACCCCCTTTCAGGTAGTTGAAAGCAGCTGTCAAATCCCCCCTCATTCTTCTCTTCTGCAGGCTAAACAATCCCAGCTCCCTCAGCCTCTCCTCATAACTCATGTGTTCTGGACCGCTAATCATTTTTGTTGCCCTTCGCTGGACCCTCTCCAATTTATCCACATCCTTCTTGTAGTGTGGGGCCCAAAACTGGACACAGTACTCCAGATGAGGCCTCACCAATGTCGAATAGAGGGGAACGATCACGTCCCTCGATCTGCTCGCTATGCCCCTACTTATACATCCCAAAATGCCATTGGCCTTCTTGGCAACAAGGGCACACTGCTGACTCATATCCAGCTTCTCGTCCACTGTCACCCCTAGGTCCTTTTCCGCAGAACTGCTGCCTAGCCATTCGGTCCCTAGTCTGTAGCTGTGCATTGGGTTCTTCCGTCCTAAGTGCAGGACCCTGAACTTATCCTTATTGAACCTCATCAGATTTCTTTTGGCCCAATCCTCCAATTTGTCTAGGTCCTTCTGTATCCTATCCCCCCCCCTCCAGCGTATCTACCACTCCTCCCAGTTTAGTATCATCCGCAAATTTGCTGAGAGTGCAATCCACACCATCCTCCAGATCATTTATGAAGATATTGAACAAAACCGGCCCCAGGACCGACCCTTGGGGCACTCCACTTGATACCGGCTGCCAACTAGACATGGAGCCATTGATCACTACCCGTTGAGCCCGACAATCTAGCCAGCTTTCTACCCACCTTATAGTGCATTCATCCAGCCCATACTTCCTTAACTTGCTGACAAGAATACTGTGGGAGACCGTGTCAAAAGCTTTGCTAAAGTCAAGAAACAATACATCCACTGCTTTCCCTTCATCCACAGAACCAGTAATCTCATCATAAAAGGCGATTAGATTAGTCAGGCATGACCTTCCCTTGGTGAATCCATGCTGGCTGTTCCTGATCACTTTCCTCTCATGCAAGTGCATCAGGATTGATTCTTTGAGGACCTGCTCCATGATTTTTCCAGGGACTGAGGTGAGGCTGACTGGCCTGTAGTTCCCAGGATCCTCCTTCTTCCCTTTTTTAAAGATTGGCACTACATTAGCCTTTTTCCAGTCATCCGGGACTTCCCCGGTTCGCCACGAGTTTTCAAAGATAATGGCCAATGGCTCTGCAATCACAGCCGCCAATTCCTTCAGCACTCTCGGATGCAACTCGTCCGGCCCCATGGACTTGTGCACGTCCAGCTTTTCTAAATAGTCCCTAACCACCTCTTTCTCCACAGAGGGCTGGCCATCTCTTCCCCATTTTGTGATGCCCAGCGCAGCAGTCTGGGAGCTGACCTTGTTCGTGAAGACAGAGGCAAAAAAAGCATTGAGTACATTAGCTTTTTCCACATCCTCTGTCACTAGGTTGCCTCCCTCATTCAGTAAGGGGCCCATACTTTCCTTGGCTTTCTTCTTGTTGCCAACATACCTGAAGAAACCCTTCTTGTTACTCTTGACATCTCTTGCTAGCTGCAGCTCCAGGTGCGATTTGGCCCTCCTGATATCATTCCTACATGCCCGAGCAATATTTTTATACTTTTCCCTGGTCATATGTCCAACCTTCCACTTCTTGTAAGCTTCTTTTTTATGTTTAAGATCCGCTAGGATTTCACCGTTAAGCCAAGCTGGTCGCCTGCCATATTTATGTTCCTTTCGACTCATCGGGATGGTTTGTCCCTGTAACCTCAACAGGGATTCCTTGAAATACAGCCAGCTCTCCTGGACTCCTTTCCCCTTCAATTTAGTCCCCCAGGGGATCCTGGCCATCCGTTCCCTGAGGAAGTCGAAGCCTGCTTTCCTGAAGTCCAGGGTCCGTATCCTGCTGCTTAACTTTCTTCCCTGCGTCAGGATCCTGAACTCAACCAACTCATGGTCACTGCCTCCCAGATTCCCATCCACTTTTGCTTCCCCCACTAATTCTACCCGGTTTGTGAGCAGCAGGTCAAGAAAAGCGCCCCCCCTAGTTGGCTCCTCTAGCACTTGCGCCAGGAAATTGTCCCCTACACTTTCCAAAAACTTCCTGGATTGTCTATGCACCGCTGTATTGCTCTCCCAGCAGATATCAGGAAAATTAAAGTCACCCATGAGAATCAGGGCATGCGATCTAGTAGCTTCCGTGAGCTGCCGGAAGAAAGCCTCATCTACCTCATTCCCCTGGTCCGGTGGTCTATAACAGACTCCCACCACTACATCACTCTTGTTGCACACACTTCTAAACTTAATCCAGAGACACTCAGGTTTTTCTACAGTTTCGTACCGGAGCTCTGAGCAGTCATACTGCTCCCTTACATACAGTGCTACTCCCCCACCTTTTCTGCCCTGCCTGTCCTTCCTGAACAGTTTATAACCATCCATGACAGTATTCCAGTCATGTGAGTTATCCCACCAAGTCTCTGTTATTCCAATCACGTCATAGTTCCTTGACATCACCAGGACCTCCAGTTCTCCCTGCTTGTTTCCAAGGCTTTGTGCATTTGTATATAAGCACTTGAGATAACCTGTTGATTGCCCCTCATTCCCAGTATGAGGCAGGAGCCCTCCCCTCACAGACATTCCTGCCTGTGCTTCCTCCCAGTATCCCGCTTTCCCACTTACCTCAGGGCTTTGGTCTCCTTCCCCCGGTGAACCTAGTTTAAAGCCCTCCTCAATAGGTTAGCCAGCCTGCTGGCAAAGATGCTCTTCCCTCTCTTCGTAAGATGGAGCCCGTCTCTGCCCAGCACTCCTCCTTCATGGAACACCATGCCATGGTCAAAGAATCCAAAGTCTTCTCTCCGACACCACCTGCGTAGCCATTCGTTGACTTCCACGATTCGACGGTCCCTACCCAGGCCTTTTCCTTCCACGGGGAGGATGGACGAGAACACCACTTGCGCCTCAAACTCCTTTATCCTTCTTCCCAGAGCCATGTAGTCCGCAGTGATCCTCTCAAGGTCATTCTTGGCAGTATCATTGGTGCCCACATGGAGAAGCAGGAAGGGGTAGCGATCCGAGGGCTTGATGAGTCTCGGCAGTCTCTCTGTCACATCGCGAATCTTAGCCCCTGGCAAGCAGCAGACTTCTCGGTTTTCCCGGTCAGGGCGGCAGATAGATGACTCAGTCCCCCGGAGGAGAGAGTCCCCGACCACCACCACCCGCCTTCTCCTCTTGGGAGTGGTGGTCGTGGAACCCCCAACCTCAGGACATCGCAATTTTGAATATCTGTTGTTTTTGCTGTTTTTGTCAATAGCTACAGAAGTGATGTGAGAAAAATGGGAGCTGCCCCTTTAAGAGTCGGGGAGCACACTGGGAGTGAGCTTCTGCTGCAGGGCTCGAATGTGCGGGGGGGGGGGGGGGGCAGGTGCTGCTGCCGGCCCATAGCTGTGCCCTGGGGAGTTCTCAGCCTGCAAGAAGCTTCTCAAGAAAAGGTTTGGAGTCCCAGAATAAACAAAGTTTTCCTTGACAAGCTGAATCTTGGGATTAAGAGTCATAGAATATCAGGGTTGGAAGGGACCTCAGGAGATCATCTAGTCCAACCCCCTGCTCAAAAGCAGGACCAATCCCCAATTAAATCATCCCAGCCAGGGCTTTGTCAAGCCTGACCTTAAAAACTTCTATGGATGGAGATTCCACCACCTCCCTAGGCAACGCATTCCAGTGTTTCACCACCCTCCTAGTGAAAAAGTTTTTCCTAATATCCAACCTAAACCTCCCCCACTGCAACTTGAGACCATTGAGTCTAGCCCCCACAGCCTCATGACTCGGGTTTAGGGCCATCTGGGCCTCTGGGCACACCACGATACAGGCCTGCACCCCACAGCCCCACCAAAGAGATGACTAGGGCAGTTCAAACTTCTCTGAGCCATTGTTTCAGGCTCTCTACACACTCAGGCAGACTTCACTGCATCGGTTACACTCGGGTCACGTTTTTGAGGTTTTTTGCTTAACCTTTTTTCTAGGAACATACTTTTTTAATGAAGCTGAGAATCTAATGTAATCACATGACTCCAGGAGCTGGGGCTGCAGACATGGGTCTACAATGTCTGTGACTTAATCTGACTTTGTTCAAGTTTAGTGGAGGGCGGGTTATATTTCACTGTAACCCCCTTTCTGAGACCAGCAATACTCAAAATGCAATGAGAGGCATTATGTCAATGGGCACACCCCCAGCCTTGCCCACTTCTCCTTTGAGCTCTGATTGGCACATGCAATGGGCCTGCCTCTCTTAAGCACCATCTGTTGGCAACAAGGGCAAAATGCAGGTGCAAATGCCTTATTTGCATGCACAATTGAATGGTTTTCCATGTGCCGTTTAGAAGCACTTATTTTAAAATGCCAGCCACAGGGCCTGTATCTCCTCTCTTTTAACCCTGAACTCTCTTTCTTGCACAGTGGATGGGAAGGTGTATCTGAGCAAATTTCTGCAGGGCGTGAGAGCCCTCCGGAGATTCTCCCACAGTGAAGGTGAGCAGTGAGGAGTTCCTGTCAAAGAGGGCTGGACCATGATAAACAAAGCATGCTGCAGATATATTTATTGTGAATTCTCACAGTCCTGGCCAGTCCTGCAAGGTGCGGGGCACCCTTAACTTCGCTTGACTTCAGTGGCAGCTGATGGCATTCAACATCTCACAGGATCAGGCCCACGGACTGATGGCACAAAGATTCAATAGAGGTGGCACTAGGCTTGCCACCTTTCTAATGGCTGATAACTGGACCCCAAAGGCCCCTGCCCCACCTCTTCCCCCAAGGCCTGTCCCCTGCCCCGCCTCTTCCTCCAAGGCCCCAATCCTGTAAGCCGCATGCCACTGCGAGCCACACAAGCAGTCTGGCCTCAGAGGCAGCAGCGGCTCCTTCCTTCCATTTATGGTTGCCACCTTTTCCACAGATCAAAAAACCCAGATATCAGTGTGATGGGCAGCCCCCAGCGTGCCACCTGGAACTGGGGTACCACTGAGCCCTCTGACCCACCAGCCTGGGCTCCCCCTCACACTGTGCTGCTCTGACAAGCTGCAAAGCCCTCCAAGCTTGCACTTCCACCAGCATTCACACAGGAAGGGACACACCAGCTGCAGTTACACACAGGCTCTCTAACCACCAGCTTCCCAGCCTTGGACCCCAGAGCAGTACCATCCTGCCCTGGTCAAATCTGGCCAGTATATGGGTTTAACACCCAGTCTGTCTCTCCCTCAGTGTGAAGAGAACAATGCACACTTGTGGTAACCAAGCAGAGATTTTCCCCAAGCACTCCAGTCAAAGCTCACTGGTTTGGATTAAAACATAAAATAAGTTTATTAACTACAAAAGGTCAATTTTAAGTGACTATAAGTGATAGCAAATGGATCAAAGCAGATTACCTAGCAAATACACAAAAAACGCAAACTGAGCTTTACACACTAGATAGGTAGGATATGAATTAGCAAATTCTCACCCTGAGTGATAAACAAACTGGCAGATTTTTAAGGCACAAGCTGCCTTTGCTTTGCAGCTTGGGTTTCCCAGGTTTTCATACACAGGCTAAAAATCCCTTTAGCCTGGCACCATCACTTCCCCCAGTTCAGTCTTTGTTCCTCAGGTGTTTACAGGTGTGTTGTTGTAGGGAAAGTGAGGTACCATCACAATGTCATTTTCCCCCTTTTATATCTTCTTCCCACTCGCTGGAAAGCTCTTTTGCTGTGACCTGGGTCAAACAGTTCCCACTGTGTGGCGCTATCTCTGAGAGGTTTCTGTTGCACACAGTTCCTGGGGTAATCCTGGTGCTTGTGTGCATTTCCTCAATGAGCCGTTAACATTGTTTGGCCTTTTTACTGTTGTACCCGAAAGGCTACTTGTGTGTCTTTTCAACCTCACAACATGCTTCAGCAACACCTACATAGCCAAACTTCCTAACTTCACATATGACGATAGCACATACAATCCAATGAGATATTAATATCTAGCAGATCAAGACTTTTAGAATGATACCTCACAAGACATACTTTGTGCAAAACATATCCTAATTACATGACAGTGGTGAATAACAGGGTGCCAGGGTGTCACACTAAGGGCTTGTCAAATGACACTGCAAGCCAACACCCAGACTGTCCAGGTGAAAACCGGATGAGTGACAACCCTCGGAGGCACTCTACCCTCTGAGTCAATATCCTACCGTGGCGCCGGATCAGGAGGGGCCAGGTGCTGCCAGAAGTGCCACCTTTGAAAGAAGACATAAATCCAAGGTCCTGATTGGTTAGAACTCCTTGCCGGCAGCTATTTGATGTGCATACTAACAGTTTTATTGAGCCTGTAAACTTAACAGAGTCTATTTTTCTTACATGCCACTAGATGATGATATTTATATATACAAATTGTATGCATCCTGTTATATATTCTAGATTTGATTTTGACAAATAGAGAGGAACTGGTTGAGATTTTGAAAGTGGAAGGCAGCTTGGGTGAAAATGATCATGGAATAGTAGAGTTCATAAGCTAAGGAATGGTAGGAGGGAGAACAGCAAAATAAAGACAATGGATTTCAAGAAGGCAGACTTTAGCAAACTCAGGGAGTTGGCAGGTAAGATCTCATGGGAAACAAGTCTAAGGGGAAAAACAACTGAAGATAGTTGGCAGTTTTTCAGAGACATTAAGGGCACAAGAACAAACACTTCCTATCTTTCCTACACAGTGGAATAATGGCAAGAGACCACCCTGGCTTAACCAGGAGATCTTCAATGATTTGAAACTCAAAAAAGAGTCCTACAAAAAGTGGAAACTAGGTCAAATTACAAAGGATGAATATAAACAAATAACACAAGTATGTAGGGACAAAACTCTACAAATACATTAGAAGCAGGAAGATGACCAATGACAGGGTAGTCCATTACTCAGTGGGGGAGCGGGGGGAAATAATAGAAAATGTGGACATGGCAGAGGTGCTTAATAGCTTCTTTGTTTCAGTTTTCACCAAGAAGATTGGTGGTGATTGGATGTCTAACATAGTGAATGTCTATGAAAATGATGTAGGATCGAGGCTAAAATAGGGAAAGAACTAGTTAAAAATTACTTAGACAAGTTAGATGTCTTCAAGTCACCAGGGCCTGATGAAATGCATCCTAGAATACTCAAGGAGCTGACTGAGGAGACATCTGAGCCATTAGCGATTATCTTTTAAAAGTCATGGAAGATGGGAAAGATTCCAGAAGACTGGAAAAGGGCAAATGTAGTGTCAATCTATAAAAAGGGAAATAAGGACAACCCGGAGAATTACAAACCAGTCTTAACTTCTGTACCCAGAAAGATAATGGAGCAAATAATTAAGCAATCAATTTGCAAACATCTAGAAGATAAGAAAATGGAGATTAGTGATAAGTAAGAGTTGGCATGGATTTCTCAAGAACAAATCGTGTCAAACCAATCTGATAGCTTTCTTTGACATGATAACAAGGGTGGTGGCTAAGCAGGAAGCAGTAGATGTGGTATATCTTGACTTTAGCAAAGTCTCTGATAGTGTCTCGAATGACCTTCTCATAAACAAACCAGGGAAATACAACCTAGATGGAGCTACTATAAGGTGGGTGCAAAACTGGTTGGAAAACCGTTCCCAGAGAGTAGTTATCAGTGGTTCACAGTCATGCTGGAAGGGCATAATGTGGAGTCCCGCAGGGATCAGTTCTGGGTCTGGTTCTGTTCAATATCTTCATCAATGATTTAGATAATGGCACAGAGAGTACACTTATAGAGTTTGTGGAAGATACCAAATTTGGAGGGGTTGCAAGTGCTTTGGAGGATAGGATTAAAATTCAAAATGATCTGGACAAATTGGAGAAATGGTCTGAAGTAAATAAGATGAAATTAAATAAGGACATATGCAAAGGATGGTACTCCATTTGGGAAGGAACAATCAGTTGCACACATACAGAATGGGAAATGACTGCCTAGGAAGAAGTACTGTGGAAAGGGATCTGGGGGTCGTAGTGCACCACAAGCTAACTATGAGTCAACCGTGTAACAGTGTTGCAAAAAAAGCAAACATCCTTCTGGGATGTATTAGCAGGAGTGTTGTAAGTAAGACACAAGAAGTAATTCTTCTGCTCTACTCTGCACTGATTAGTCCTCAGCTGGAGTATTGTGTCCAGTTCTGGGCACCACATTTCAAGAAAGATGTGGAGAAATTGGAGAGAGTCCAGATAAGAGCAACAAAAATGATTAAAGGTCTAGAAAACATGACCTATAAGGGAAGACTGAAAAAATTGGGTTTGTTTAGTCTGGAGAAGAGAAGACTGAGAGGGGACACGATAAGAGTTTTCAAGTATGTAAAAGATTGTTACAAGGAGGAGGAAGAAAAATAGTTTTTCTTAACTTCTGAGGCTAGGACAAGAAGCAATCGGCTTAAAATGCAGCAAGGGTGGTTTAGATTGGACATCAGGAAAAACTTCCTTTCAGGGTGGTTAAACCCTGGAATAAATTCCCTAGGGAGGTTGTGGAATCTCCATCACTGGAGATTTTTTAAGAGCAGGTTAGATAAACAACTGTCAGGGATGGTCTAGATAAAACTTAGTCCTGCCTTGAGTGCAGGGACTGGACTAAATGTCCTCTCAAAGTCCCTTCCAGTCCTATGATTCTATATAAAGATACCATTTTCCATAGACAGCTCTTGTAACACTGATGATTTACAGCATTTTAAAAAATGGCACGTATTGGAAGTATTACCCAAATGCTCTGGCTAAATTACATTCTAACAATCTACAATTCCCTTCTGGTTGTATCTGGATATAGTATTCCTCATTCCATGAGCAGAATTCGGCTTTCCCTTAGACCTTGCAACTTCCTGGCTGCAGTAGACTTGCATGCTATAAATGAAAGCAGAATTGGGCTGTCCAACTTTTGTGCAAGATTGGTACAGCTGCAAAGGACTTTCAGTTCTTGCCCCATGTTTGCACCTGGTCATCTCTTTCTCAAACTTTCAGCCCCCAAGGAGAATATTTTAGAAAGTTTGAGCAAACTCCTTTTAGCCATGTTTGAACATGGAAAGTAATACCAATGCAAAGTGACTGACTGCAAAATGCAAGTAGAGCTTCCTCTTTAAAATGAATACTGAGCAGGTTTAGTTTAATCTATAGTAAAACCAGCGCAAGTTTAGAAGTTGAAATGTTGTCTGTAAACAGCCCTTAATGAGGACTAATCAACCTTGCTAGGTTTGTGGGGGTGAGTTATACGTGATTGTAAAATCATTTCTGAGTATGCTTAAGTAGCATCAGCAAAGAATTTTTGCAGAGGTCGGTTAAACCTTAACCCTTTGGTGACATTGCGGTTCCTTATCTCTGCCCATCTGACTGGAACAGTCCTGCTGCTTGGACCCCTGACATGATAGAGATTATAAATATCTCGGTGAAACTGACATGGCAAAAAAAGATACCTTTTATCCAGGACACACAAAGAAATGAAGACCATTGCAGATTCTAGGACTCGATATCCACAGCTAGTGCAGCAAGCTGAGACATCTTGCAAACTCAATGGCTCTGAAATTGGTTTTAAATTAAGTTTTTGGGCTTGAGTTTTACTTACACTAAACATGCCCCATACCATTGGCAATCTGCAGTTTTGGCAATATAAAGGGACATTAAAGTTACAGAGCCTGATTCTGTACTGCCCTGCACCTTACACTGTCATGTACACCAGTGCAAAGTGGAAGGAAACTGCTATCAGGCTGATGTGGTAGCATTTCCCCACCTTTGCATGGGTGTAGATGACAGCACAAGATGCAGGGCAATGGGGAACCAGACACAGAATGTAAAGGAGCCCTGGTGTATATGAGAATCAGGCCCTGTGACTCCATTTGTCCCTTTAACTGCATGGCCTGATTGCTGTCTTCATGTAGTTTTGTGCCTTCTGCTCTTATTATTGCAAAGTCTTCAGACACTGGTGTTGCCAAAATCTGTCAATGCACCTGCAGGCAAGTGGAGATGTTTTTGGAGAAAGGCTGCAGGATTTGGCTTCACATTAGGTGGATGCAGGGTGACGTTATTTCTAAACTCTTGGTGATTAAAGCCGATGTCAAGCAAACCCCTTCCCAGAGTGGTACAAGCCAGAGCAGTAACCAGTGAATTTCCAGCCAACGTGCTATGAAAAGTCAGGCATTTTGCTATTATTTGATATATTTCTCTCCATCTATCCCAGGGGGAAAGGTTGATATCCAAGACCTGGACTCTCTTCTGGCTGAAATGGGGATGCACTTAACACAGGAGGAGCTCCAAGAAGTACTGAAGCATGCCATTGTGGATGGTGAGCAGCTTGGCATAGCGCTGTGTTGTCTGTAGACCTAAACAATCCGTGAGATCAAAGATTTTGGGGGGGGAATGTGTTCAAAGTCAGAACAAGAAGCTGAAATTTTAAAGTTTCCCACAAAATGAAAATTCAGAACAATTTCTGTTCAGGACCATTGAAACATTTCATCTCAACGTTCTCATTTTGGTTCACTTCATTTTTACTTCTGTATGGTATTAACATCATAGCCATAATATAGAAAACTGTAAAATAATATTTAAAATCATACTTTAATATCCTAGAAGTCAAACAAAAGGTTTCAGCGTTGTCCAAACAAAACACGACAACTTTTTCCCATCAAACTTCCATCAAAATTGACCCGTTCCCACGAAATGTTTTGATTTCAACAGAACAACATTTTTCAGTGGACAACTGTTCGGAACAGACCGCTGTCTCTTTCTGCCTCCCTGGCACTTTCTCTTTGCAGGAGACGGGAAGGTAAATGTGAGTGACTTTACGAAGAGTGTGATCAGCACACGGAGGGCTTCCCAAGCTGAGAGTGAGTCAAGACCTAGTGATAAAGTTGGATGAAATGTTGTAGACCTATGCCTGATTCTCATTTCTGACTCAACAGAGGCCCTGCCTATGAGCCACAGTTCAATAGTACATTTGTAACCCAGGCTCACTTGGGCTGTGTCCAGAGGTTTAGGATCTGCTACTGCCTGGTAGCTAACAGATCTGGTCCTTCAGCTCAAGTAGTGGAGGATTTATGCTTTGAAATTGAACATTTCAATTGTCACTAGTGACGATCTAGCCATCAAGAAAGGAGTTTTCATTTTCCTGGGTGCCCCGAATGTGAAACCTATCCCAGTGCCCAGCACAAGGTCTGAGCAACGCATACGTCCTACTTAAACGCTCCACATAGGATGTAAGTAGTGTCCAGACCCTCTGCACCTGGCAGAATTTCACCCAAATCCTCTGCTGCTTTGAGGGGAAGCCCAGGGACAAACCAGCCAAGAGAGTTTATTTATTAGGCCCATTGCTAATAAATTTACTGAGCAACACATCAAGCAGATCCAATAGCAGTCTGTCCACACTGAAGTCAGAGGTGTGACTGCAGCACATACACACCAAGCCAAGGATAGCGCTCATCTTTCTCGCCCCAATAACAATCGCAGTGAAGCCGCTGCAGTACAGGCTAGTCACTCGAGTACATACCCAGCATCCTGGCTGGGCTCGTACAGCCCAAGTGGCTGCAGCTTCACGGCTATTGTTATTCACGCTAGCTAGATGAGAGCTAGTGTGGGTCTGTCTACACGTGCTGCAATCACACCTTGGCTTGCAGAGCGGGCGTACCCTTCTGTCCAGTGTCCAGTCAATGTTTTCCAGCCATGTGAAACCTTGCTAGGATTTTAGCATTTAATCCTTTGTCTCTCGCCGTCCAAGGGGACAGGGTTGCTACGAGTCACCTGGACTTCATTCTGGGCAACATGGGGATCTTTTTAACTGAAGAGGAGCTCCAGGAGGCGCTGAAGCACACAGAAATAGATGGTGAGCATTACAAACATCTCTGGAGACGCATGTGCTTTCGTACTGATGCTCGTCCCAAGAGGGAGTTGGGTACATCTGTATAAAGGGATCTACTTCCCCTTGCTAGTGCAAACCAGGAGCCTCTCGTTGCTCAGTGCACTCTCACCCCATTCCTGTGGCACCATCAGCCAGATTTCCCTTTCCACGTGTATCCTCTGCACTTGAGTGGTTCTCAAAGCCTCCTGCATGCTCCTTCTCTCACCAGGGCAGGAGTGGGTGTGTCTGAGGACACACGGGCTTGTGTATGGTCCTCGTCACTTAGCAACATGTTCCCCTGTCAGGCTTCTCGCCACCTACTAGGCTGTAGTAAATAGGGCAGCTGCATAGTAGCACTCTCAGTAACACAGGATTTGTCCTTTGCGTGTTTAACCCGCAGGACTCTGTGCCAGTCTGTCCCAGAATGCCCATCTTCCAGAACGTCTTCTGGCGATGGAAATGCAGATAAATCCGTTACAGCCACTTGCAGGGCTCAGAAGAGCCTTTTCCCTCCCCTGCCTCTCATTTCCTTTCCCCTCCCGCTCACCCAGGGTTGGAGGGGAAAGAGAGGAGAAAATTTTGTACCACATGAAGTTAAAATATCTAATGCTAATTTCACTGGGCCCAGCCATCCCTTGCATTTCACCATGTGTAGCCATTCACGCCAGTGCAAATTGGGTGTGAAATGCTACCGGAATGACTTACTTTGCATCACAAGGGGCAAAGGAGAATTGGGCTCAGTAACTTTCATTATTTGCACAAATTTAGGCCAAAATTTTCCATTTGACAAGAAATTCCAGCATTTCAGAAACATGGGTTTGTTCCAAACTGGAATGAAAAGTTGAAATTTGTTGCAGAACGGAAAATCCAAATGAATTCTATTCAGAAACATCGGAAGATTTTGTTTCTCTAATGACAAATCACTTGGTTTTGACAATGCGAAAATGTTTTGGTTTTGATATGGTAAAAATATCCCTTTCAATAATGTCAAAACATATACTGTATTTTATTATATTTAATATTATATATACAATTAAATGAATATTTACTATAATAAAAAGTCTAAACAAAATGAAATGATAAAGTTGAAGCAAATGGGTTTACCTTATTGCTCTGAAATGTTTTGACATTATTGAAACAAAATGAGAGTCAGAATTATTCATTTAGATGGTTTCCAATGGCAAATGTCTTTGAAATTGACATGTTCCCATGAGCTGTTTTGATTTTGACAAAAGTGCCTTTTCCATTGGGAAAACTGTTCCCTGCGCTTGTGCCAACCAGCTCTCCTGTTCTGCCTTTCTCTCTGCCTGTTCTCCCCTGCAGTGGAGGGGAAGGTGAATTTGAGTGAATTCATGAAGAGTGTCCAGCGATTGTCCGAAGCTGAAGGTGAGTGACGACTGTCAAACGAAGATGGATGGTGGATGATGACCGGAAGGTGTCACATGCTGTTCAGTTTTAGTTGCCTTTCTCTGGGTGTATGTAAGACAGTTCTACAGCATGCAATCTCCTGGGTCTTTTCTCTGTACATAGCTGGAGACTGTGATATGATTCGATGTGCTGAAGAGTTTTGAGTCACTGGACTGATTGATGGTGCAAAGATTGACTGGGCTGCATTCTTCCCTCTTAAGGGTATGTCTCCACTGCAAGCCAAAGGGTGGTTGCCGCCCTGGTAGACGCACCCAAACTAGCATGGCTTAAAAACAGCAGTGTAGAAGCAGCAGCCTAGGCTTCAGCCAAGGCTGTACAAGCCCATCCAGGGTGCTGAAGCCCTTGCTGTTGTATCTACACTGCTATTTTTAGCCATGAATGCAGGTAAAGCTAGCACGGGTATGTCTACCCACGCCACTATCACCCCACTGATTGCAGTGTAGACACACCCACAGACTGGCCTGTCCTGATGTCTGAGCACAGGGTTAGGAAGAGATGCTGGGGAATCAGTAGGTGTCGCTCTCCCGTGGATCTCGGCTTTTGTACTGCATGCGTCACCGTGGTATCTGCTTCACCACAGCCCCGGCGTGGTGTTAAAGGGTTGCTGGAGGTGCTGCCTTTCTGACCAGAACTAAAATCGAGGTCCTGCTGGAGCTGTGCAGTTCCCCCTCCCCCCCGGATTTCAGTTTGTGAGCTCTGGGCATGTCAGGGCCAGTCGTACAGTCACTAGCCACAGAGCAGGGAACTCTGGTCCAGGGAGGCTTCGTAGGATCATTAGCTGAGATTTTCAAAGCGGCCTAAGGGACTTAGAGGCACAGCTCCTATTGCAGTGAATGGCAGAACTGAAAACCTCAGCCATCACCTCTATGGGCACACCTCGGGGCCAAAACCTGCAAGGGACAGGGTGAGGCCTCAGAGGGATGAGAACCAGAGCAGTCGGAGTCAGGAATGCTGAGCGCCCGCCACTCCAGTTGACATCATTGGTGGGAACCTTTGGGCTTGATTCCTGTTTACACTGAGGTGGTTTTACACCACTGTGGTAGGGCAGAGGGGCCTTGAAATGAGTGTAAATAAAATGAACACCCACCTGGATGCCCTTTTACACCACCAGCAAGGTGGAAAGTGGCCTGAGGTCTCGTCTGCACACACTTCATGCACTGAATTAACCGGTTTGGAAACTGATTAAGTTAAATCAATACAGCCTCCTTGAGTGGACACTCTGAAATCCAACTGAGAGCCTTACACTGGTTTCCTTAAGTGGGTATTATTTTTTTTTTTACTGACTTGTGCCCTGTTTCTGTATAGCTCTCTTAATCCGAAATAAAAGCGTCCACACACAGGAGTTGCATCAGTTTAGAACAGGGGTCTCAAACACACGGCCCACAGGCCACATGCAGCCCATGGGGTTATTTCCTGCGACCTGCCCTAGGCACCGATTCCCCCGCCCCCCCTTTCCTCCCCCCAAGCATGCCGCGTCCCCGCTCCTCTGCCTACCTCCCAGCACTTCCCACTGCCAAACAGCTGTTTGGCGGCACTTAGGACTTTCCGTGAGGGAGCAGGGAGAAGCAGGGCATGCTCAGGGGAGGAGGCGGAGAAGAGGCGGGGCTGGGGCGGGGATTTGGGGAAGGGGTTGGAATGGGGCAGAGAGGGGGCAGAATTGGGGGGGGACTTTGGGGAAGGTGTTGGAATGGGGGTGGGGAAGAGGTGGGGCAGGGGCAGGGCCTCATGGAAGGGGTGGAGTGGGGGCGGGGCCAGGGGCAGGGATGGAGCTTTAACCGAAGTAATTCTAAAAGTAAATGCATGTTTTGTTGTTTGAGTGAGGTACATTACTGAGTGTTTATATTTTATTACAGTTTTTAAAAAGTTAATACATTGACTTTTCATAGCATATTATATTACTCTTCATTTTTTTCATTTTTAACTATACTTTTGCATCATTGTATGAAAAGGTGTCAGTGATGCGGCCCTCAGGCCAATGTACTAGTCCTCATGTGGCCCTCATGGTGATTTGAGTTTGAGATCCCTGGTTTAGAAGCTGACTTTGCTCCATCAGTGCACAGATTGTGTGTATGCCAGCCCTTGGATCTGTTATGTTTTGCACACCTCTACTCCTGACTTTACACGGCCATAAAAAAAATCTCATGCCAGAATAGGAGCATTCAGTGACCTGGCTAACTCTGTGCTGGATAAAGGCCTTCCGAGCCCCCGGATTTCCCACCTAGTGTCAGATGGATAACGCTTCCAGCATTTACTGTCGTGAACCGGTGCACAGAATGACGTCTTCCTCAGAGACATGACACCATGTTATGCATTCTTTCCCCCCTCTATCCAAAGGGGAAAAGGTTGATGTCGATAACCTGGACTCCATTCTAGCCAACATGGGGATCCATTTAACTGATGAGGAGTTTCAGAAGGCGCTGGGGAGTGTTACTCGTGGTGGTGAGTAATGTGGCATGTCCCCCTCTGTTCTTCAGTGGAGTCTCTGCTGGAGCTGGGAGGGGAGGGGTGTGCACACACAGGTTGTCAGTGACCGGGACTTGGGCAGTCGGGCTTAGCCCTGGTCTACACTGGGGGGGATTGAGCTAAATTACGTAATCTAAACTAGACACGATAAATCGATCCCTGCTGGATTGCTCGCTGCCCGCTGATCCGGCGGGTAGTGAAGACATACCCTTAGTGGTTGGGTAGGAGTCAGTCGTCAGGAATCGGAGCCCAGCGTCAGAGCCGGAATCAGAAGTCAGGAATCGGCGCGAAGGGGCAGGACCAGGTCACCTGGATGATGTATCCCAGCAGATTAGGAGCTGCTGCAATGAATCACACAGACACTGTATCATTTTAAAGTAAGATTCCCTGGATGGCTGGTTTAATAGTGTAGCTTGCAGAACACGGCCTGCAGTGTAGCTAACGGCAGTCTCTAGACCCAGCCGAAACTGGAGTGGACTGACGTGAGCCGGCTGCTGGACTCCGGACTCTCCAAGACCAGCACGGCCCCCAGAGTGGATTCTCCACAAACGCTACGGCACAGGGAGGCCAGGCTGGGGCCACGGCAGGAGCAGGGGCAATCACAGTCCTCAGCAAATGCTTTGGAGCCGCTGTTGAGCTGCTGCTGCTGGGCTTTGGAGCTTGGTTGCCCGGAACCTGGCTCTGCTGCAGGCCCTGATTCCAGGGTTGCGCATGTGCACCAGTGTTCTGACAAGCGCACGTGCGTGTGTACAGGGTGTACACGCACACGCACACACGTGTCAGAACACGCAGGTCTGGAGTCGGTCTGCCTAAGGGATAGCTGATCCATTTCAGCTCAAACTCTCCACTGTGTGGGGGATGATCCCCTCTGGGATTGTTCATTTTTAGTCCCTTTCCCATGTTCCCATAAGTCCCATTTCCTCTTCTCCTAGCATGTATTGTTGGCACATTTCCTGCTTTTCAATACGGAGGGACAGCAGCGTGAATAAATCACTGAACCCCCTGCGTCGAGACGCAGAGAACTCGCCCCCTTTCCCAGCTCCACCTCGCTGTCAGGTGAAATGAACTGGGAAAATCCCGATTTCCCTTTGCAAATTTTCATGGGTTTTAGTTCTAAATACACAATAAATACACTTTAAAGCTTTCCTTATGCTGCCAGAGCAATGTAAATAGGCCACAGCCTTTGGGCATGTCTGCCCTTGGAGCTGGGGGTTTGATTCCTGGCTGGAAGAGAAATACTCACAATAGCTCTCATGGAATGTGAGAGAAATACTCTTACTCATGCTAAAAATAGAGTGTAGCCGTGGTAGCACAAGGGGTGGGAGGAGCTAGTGACCCGGAGTACTGGCCTGGGGTCTCAGACAGGTACGTACTCAGGGGGCTAGCCTCTCCTGCTGGTTGTGCCGCCGTGGTCACACCCAGTTCTTAGCACGCTAGCTCAGTCAGCGCTGGCATGAGTCTGTCTGCTCCAGCCAGGAATCTCTCAGGTGCAGACGTAGCCTCTACCTTGCCGTCTGTCTCTGATCTGCATTTCGTCTTGCAGCGGACGGAAAGGTGGATTTGAAACACTTTATGGAGAGCATGATGGGCACCCAGCGGCCTTCCTGGTGTGAAAGTAAGTCAGGGCTACTGCAACCCAAGTGGCTAAGGACGGGCGGGTGGACAAAGCTGCGTGTCAATGGAACAGTCACTACACCTGTCAGCATGACATTCCACGCATGTGGGTGGCACTGGATTCCTGCTTTATGATTGGCCGGAAATGTTGCCTTAGTACTGAGACCCATGTGGCTGATGGCACAAAGATTCACACATGCTGGGATTTTCAAAGGGACCTCAAGGAGTTAGGGTTCGACCTGGGAGTCGATGGGCATTGGCATCTAACGCCCTGGGGCACATTTGAAAATCCAGGCCCAAATGGCAGCCTCCCCTGAGATGCCATTACCCTCTGGGCACTTGTTGGGAGCTGGGGACATTCAGCACTTTGCAGGATGTGGTCCGAAGACAGCCCAGAACCAGTGCACCTGCATGGTTTCATCTTTGGGAAGAGTCATTTAAAGCCGAGCCCCAGCCCCTGAGGTCCGTACACCATTATTACTTTCTTCTTACTCTGGCAAACCTCCCCAATGATTAAATCTTCCCCACCTATCCTAGGGGATACAGTGGATCTCCAGAACCTGGACTCCATCCTGGACAGCATGGGGGTCCATTTAACCAATGGGGAGCTGCAGGAGGTGCTGAAACATGTTACTCTTGATGGTTGGTCTTTCAAAACTCACTCTGTGTTCTTTGCAGGAGGGGGGGACCCTAAAATCAGCAGAATTGACAGGGAGGGTTTGAAATCCTGCTCATGCATTGTGCTTGTCAAAACCCAGTGGTGTGATGTGTGCACAATAGGCAACAGGGACAATCAATCTGTTTAAAATAAATCCTGGGCCCAGATTCTGCTCCCACTTACGAAGGGGTAAATCTAAGTCATGCCACTGCCACCAGCGGACCGACTGACCGATTCCCATTTACATTAAGGCAGCTTTACCCCACCTTGGCAGTTTAAAGGAGCCTTAAAGTTGGATTAAATTTATATCTGCACCCACAATTAGAAGAGTTTAAAGTGACCACAGTGTAAATGAGAATTTGACTTAGGGGGGTTCATCTGGATTGACATGCCTGGAAAGGGGATCATGATCTGACCTTTTAAATGTCATACCCTCCCTTTTCCGATCTTAGAACTCTGACCCTTTCAAGAATGCCAGCCATTTTTCTTTTAGAAAGAAGTTCTTAGTCACTTATGTCAAAGTGTCTCCGTCCAGTGCTAACCGACCTGAACTACAGCAATCGGGTCAATTCCCATCTGTCTCTGTGTTCTTCCGTGTGTGTTGCTTCCTTTGACTCTGAGCTGTGTTTTGTCTTGCAGCCAACGGGAAGGTGAATTTGTGTGAATTTATGAAAGGAGTGAAGACTATCCAGAAATTGTCCCCAGGTGCGGGTAAGTGAGAAGCTAAAAATACAGATGGATAGATGGAACTGCACTGAATGAGGCAGGAGACACATGGTGGGGGGAAGTGCTATGTGATCAGGTAATTAAAGGCTATCTCCTAATGAATCCACATAAGGGGGCAGAGTTAAGGTTACTTAAGCAACCTTAGTTGCTGCTTTCCTCACTCTAGAGTATCTGACTTAGTAACCTTAGGCTTTGATCTTGTAAATATGCACAGGTCCGACTCACTCGCATGAAGTCTCAGTGAAGTCACGGGGTGAAGTTAAGCAGAAGCTTTAGTGTTTGTGGGATTGGGGGCTTAATAGTGTACCTTTAACTGAAGTTTTTGAATGTAGCAATAATAATCCGTGTGATACATTAGTGAGCTCTCCAGGATACAAACCTAAGAGAAACTGTGCTCGCAGATAACTACTTATCTAAAATGTAGGGGCTGTGCCGTGTGAAACAACGGAGTCAGTTAACTATCTTGGAATAATTAGCCAGAAGGGCAGGATTTTTAATGGATGGATTCTTTCCACTTCAGGTTTTTTCTTGATCATGTTGAGAGTTCTTGATTTATTCAGTGCCCAACTTGAATAGCATATGATAAGTTCTCTGTAGATTTGCAAAGAGGCCGAATGATTTCAATGCCAGTCTAAGGACACCAGAGAAACACTACCATGTTGTCAAACATAATGAATAACCAGCACCGAGAGCCAAATTCCGTGCAGGTTTCAGAGTAGCAGCCGTGTTAGTCTGTATTCGCAAAAAGAACAGGAGTACTTGTGGCACCTTAGAGACCAACAAATTTATTTGAGCATAAGCTTTCGTGAGCTACAGCTCACTTCATCGGATGCATTCAGTGGAAAATACAGTGGGGAGATTTATATACACAGAGAACATGAAACAATGGGTGTTACCATACACACTGTAAGGAGAGTGATCACTTAAGATGAGCTAATACCAGCAGGAGCTCCTCAGAGGTTCTTGTCAACTGCTGGAAATGGCCCACCTTGATTATCACTACAAAAGGTTTTCTTCCCCCCTTCCCCCCCCCCCGCGTCTCCTGCTGGTATTAGCTCATCTTAAGTGATCACTCTCCTTACAGTGTGTATGGTAACACCCACTGTTTCATGTTCTCTGTGTATATAAATCTCCCCACTGTATTTTCCACTGAATGCATCCGATGAAGTGAGCTGTAGCTCACGAAAGCAAATTCCCTGCAGAAACTCCCTTAGACTTCAGTGGAATTGCACCACCAGCTCATAGACATTTAAGGTTTCAGTATCACTTACCACGTAGCACAGACAGGAAGGATGGTTTGGTGGCTGAAGGATAGATCTGGAAGCCAAAACACCAGGCCTGCATTCCCCACCTCTGCTGCAAACTTTGAGCCAATCGTCTAATGATGTGTGACCTTGAACAAACCACTTAAACGTGCTGTGCCTCAGTTTCCCTTCCCAGGGGGAGAGTGACATTTATTTGACAACTGTGTGGAAAGGGCTTTGAGATCCTCACATAGAAGGTGCTAGAGAAAGACAAAGGATTATTGATATTATTTCTATATCATCAAATCTCTTGCGCGTCCTGGCTGCCCAAAGGGGAATAGGGCCTAGCTTAGTTGTGCGGGATGACTGTTAAATGTACAAGTCATGAACCAGTACGGATTCCAGTGTTATTTCCTCTCCGTTCCCAGAGGACAAAGTGGATGTGGGGCACCTGGACTCCATCCTGGCCGGCATGGGGATCCATTTAACCCAGGAGGAGCTGCAGGAAGCACTGAAGTACAGCCCCGTTGACAGTGAGCATGTCCACTCCCACTCTGGCTCCGTTTGTGTTGTCAGAGGCCCTTATGTGGGTCGAGGCTTTCTGCTGCCAACATGGTGGTGGGGGTGGCTGCTCCTTCCTAGAACTACCTGGGCATGTCAAAGGTGCTAACTCCACCCTCGCCTCACCCGTCTTCCCCCTTACACCCTCAGGCTGCTCTCTCTTGCAGCCAGCTCTTATGGCCTCAGCTGGGTAACTGGGAACAACCAGAGCATTGAGGTTCCCAGGCCATGGCCCTTCCCCTCCAGTTATTCCCCCCATATGCCTTCTGTGCAGGAGGCTGCAGTGGGGCAGGACCATAGAGCCAGAACCCCATGTGGCCATTTCCTGTGTCCCCAGAGGTTCCTGAGTAGCTGGAAGCTGCCTTTGTGACTCAGGGGTGCTATAATGCAGGAGGAACAGAACCTGGAATCCCAGGCCTCACTCGCTCAGCTGCTTCCCTGCCCATGGCCAGGTCCAGCCCTTGTCTCTGAGTGGTGCTTTCCCTTGCAGGAGACGGCAAAGTCTTCCTGAGTGCGTTTATGAAGAGCGTGATGAATACGCGGAGACCCTCCCAGGCGGAGAGTAAGTGAGAACAGACGCAAGGCTGATGTGTCCTCACCCTGACATTTGGAGAGAGGTGTCGATGCGGTTAAAGTAGTATGCGGAGGGACTTGCATATTCTCTGCCCAAACCAACCCTGAGGTCCTCACTCCATTATTGCACTCTCCTGACTCAGTCAAGCTGCCCCATGGGCTAAACTGTACCTCTTTCCCATGTGTCCTAGGGGATAAAGTGGATCTCCAGAACCTGGATGACATCCTGCGTAGCATGGGGGTCCATTTAGCCAGTGAGGAGCTGCAAGAGGCTCTGAAACATGTGACTGTTGATGGTTGGTATTTCAAATCTTGCTCTGCGTTCTCTAGTGGGGGGCTTGAAATCAGCAGAAATGATGGTGAGCATTGGAAACCCTGCATTCCTCAGTTTTTCCATGTAGGATGAAGGAAGTTCTAAGTAAATGATGGCAATTTATCTCCTTTCTGTGCTAATCAACCTGAATTTTAGCTGATCAACCTGCCCCTCAGCTTCTGTGTTCTTTAGTGTCTGTCATTTCCTGTGACTCTGAGCTGTGCTTTACCTTGCAGCTGATGGGAAGGTGAATTTGGGCGAATTTATGGAGGCGGTGAGGACTGTCCAGAAATTGCCCCCAGGGGAAGGTGAGTGACCATCTAATAATCCAGAGAGAGGTTAGAAGAGAGTGACCTGAATGAGGCTGGTGTTCTCTGGAAAAAATAGGGTGTCATCATGTAGTTAAAAACCACCTTTTAATGAATCTGCACAAGGGGCAGAGTTAAGGTTATACCAGAGCCCTTAATTCTGGCCCTTCCTCACTCTTGAGTGCCTGCCTTTGTAACCTTAGGCCCTGATCCTGCAAACATGCACGGGTTTTGCTTTTCTCATGTGAAGTCTCCTTGAAGTAAAGTTAAGCACATTCAGGACTGTTTGTAGTGTAGGGGGTTGTAATAGCATTCATTTACCAGAGGACTTTGTATAGAGTAATAATAATTCTTGTTTCAGAGTAGCAGCCGTGTTAGTCTGTATCTGCAAAAAGAACAGGAGGACTTGTGGCACCTTAGAGACTAACCAATTTATTTGAGCATAAGCTTTCGTGAGCTACATCGTTGCATCCGATGAAGTGAGCTGTAGCTCACGAAAGCTTATGCTCAAATAAATTGATTAGTCTCTAAGGTGCCACAAGTCCTCCTTTTTTTAAAATAATACTTGTGATATGCTAGTGAACTGTCAAGGATACAAAGCACAGAGGGATTGTGCTTACCAATAACTCCTCATCTAGGACAGATTACTATTATTATTATATTATGATTCCTATATTGCCAAATCTCTCTCTCATCCTGGCTGCATGTAGGGGAGTAATGCATAGTTTAGTTGTCTGGGATGATTGTTAAACATTCAAGTACTGAACCAGTGCAGATTCCAATATTTCCTCTCCGTTCCCAGAGGACAAAGTGGATGTGGGGCACCTGGACTCCGTCCTGGCCGGCATGGGGATCCATTTAACCCAGGAGGAGCTGCAGGAAGCACTGAAGTACAGCCATGTTGACAGTGAGCATGTCCACTCCCACTCTGGACTGTTTGTGCAGCCGGAGCTGTTGTCAGAGCCCCGTTGTATAGGGCGAGGCCTCCTGCTGCCAACGTGGTGGTGGGCAGAAGCACTGTGGGAGTCTGCTCCCTCCTAGTGCTGCCTGGGCTTGTCAAAGGTGCTAACCCCACCCTCACCTCACCTCAGCTGCTCTTCCTCTTTAGATCTAAATGCTGCTCTCCCTTACATCCAGCTTTTTTGTCCTCAAGGGGGCAGCTGGGAACAGCTAGAGTGTGAAGATTCCCAGGCCATGCCCCTTCCCCTCCAGCTATTCCCCCCTACCCCTCTCTACAGGAGGCTGCAGTGGGGCAGGGCCATACAGCCAGAGCCCTATGTGGCCATTGCCTCGGTGCGCAGGGATTCCCGGGTAGCTGGAAGCTGCCTTTGTGCCACGAGGGAGCTATAAAACAGGAGGAACCGAACCCAGAACCCCAGGCCCCACTCGCTCAGCTGCCCATGTCCTTTTGTGGCCTTTGTCTCTGAGTGTTGCCTTCCCTTACTTACAGCAGACGGCAAAGTCAGCCTGAGTGCTTTTATGGAGAGCATGATGAGTACACGGAGACCCTCCCAGGCCCAGAGTAAGTGAGTACAGACACTCTCTGCGCTCATTCATTATTGGTGTGCCCCTGCCCAGACAGTAGGAGACAGGTTCAGATGAGAGTTAAAGTGGGGGGACCTTGCCCATTCTTTGCACAAGCCAAACCCTGAGGTCCTGACTCCATTATTACTCTCTCCTCACTCAGGCAGAGCTAACCCATAGACTAAATTATAGGACTTTCCCATGTAACTTAGGAGACAACGTTTATATCCAGAACCTGGACTCCATCCTGGACAGCATGGGGGTCCGTTTAACCAATGAGGAGCTGCAGGAGGTGCTGAAACATTTGACCGTTGATGGTGGGTATTGCAAACCACTGTTTTTTGGTCGGGCTTGAAGTCAGCAGAATTGATGGGGAACCTTGGAAATCCTGCTGTGTGTTCGTGCTGTGTGCTTGTCAGAAGACAGTGGTGAGATGTGTGCACAATACAGACAAGGGACAATCAGTCCTAGCCTCAGCTTCTTCTCCCACTTACGCCGGTGTAAATCTGGCGTAACCTCACTGATGTCAGTGAACTGATTGACTGATGGCCATTTACACAAAGGCCAATTTCCCCCACGCTCGCAGTGTGAAGGGGCCTTAAAGTCAGATTGAATGATATGTGTGCACTGACTAAAGTAATGTGAAATGACCATTGCGTAAATGAGACTCTGCTCCAATGGAGTTAATCTGGATTTACGTCACTGGATACAGGAGCAGGATCTTGCCCTTTGAATGTCGTGTCCACCCGTTCCCAGTCCCAGCACTGTGACCCTTTGCCAGGATTCCATCCAGTTTCTGTTTCGAATGAAGATAGTTCAAAGCAACTTACGTGGAAGTGTGTCTTCCAGTGCTACCTTACCTGAACTATAGCAGTGAACTCAGTGCTGCTCTGCCTCTTTGTCCTTCTGTGTGTGTTTGTCATTTCCTTTGACCCTGAGCTGTGCTTTACCTTACAGCTGACGGAAAGGTGAATATGGGTAAATGTATGAAGGAGGTGAAAAATGTCCAGAAATTGTCCCTGGAAGGAGGTGAGTGAGAGTCTAATAATAGAGATGGGTGGTAGATGAACGTAGTCTTAATGATGCAGGAGCCCTTTGGGGAAAAAAGTGTTATGTGATTGTGTGATTAAAGACATTTCCTAATGAAGCCACACAAGGGGGCAGAGTTAAGGTTACATCAGCTACCTTAATTATGGCCGTTTTAACTCTTGAGTACATGACTTCGTAACCTTAGGCCTTGATCCTGCAAATGGGCATAGACTGGACTTCTCACATTAAGTCTCATTGAAGTCCCACGGGTACCATCCATTAGTGATTGTGGGATTGGGGCCCTATTGGCGTTCTTTTACCGGAGGTTTTCATACATAATACTAATACTGGCAATGCGTGACTAAGCTCTCAAGGATACAAAGCTAAGAGAAACTGCTCTAACGGACAACTACTTATCTACGCTATTTTGGCTTGAAACAAAGGATTCAGTTAACTATCATGAAAAATTAATTAGAAGGGCAAGATTCTTAATGGATTGGATTCTTTCCACTTCATGCATTTTCTTAATGATGTTAGGAGTTCTTGCTTTATTAGGTGCACAAGCTGCATAACTTACGATACATTCTGGGTATTTGCTGATATCCAGGATGCTTTAAATGCCATCGTAAAGGATGTCAAAGAGGATAAGAGGTTTGTGATTAAATATGTTGCAGAATTTTTCTAACATAGTAAATAAGGGATGTGTAGGGCTAAATTCAGCCCTGCTATTACTCCCCTTGGCTTCTGGGGCATTACACCACTATCTCATAATAGTGAGATAGGTTTCAGTGTCATTTAGCAAGTCGTGTACAGAGTGAAAGAATTGTTTTGCCCATATGGATAGGTCATGAGGCCAAGGAACTTGGGTTCTCTTCCAATCGCTGCTGTAAACACTTGAGCAAAACTCTTTGTGTCAGGAACTAATCATTTAGTCTGTCTGTGCCTCGGTTTCCCCTCCTGTAAAATGGAGATAATTCTTCCCTGTTTCCCAGGGCAAGTGTAAGATGTATTTCACTAATCTGTGTGAAGTGGTTTTAGATAGTCAGATGGAAGGAATGTTTTTTTTATTATTGTTGTTATATTGTCGACTCTCCATCCCCATCCTAGCTGCACATAGCAGAATAATGCCTAGTTCAGTTGTTCTAAATGTTTCTTTAAAGACCAAGTGCGGTCTCCATCGCCCGAGGACAAAGTGGATGTGGGAAACCTGGACTCTGTGCTGGCCAACATGGGGATCCATTTAACCCAGGAGGAGCTGCAGGAGGTGCTGAAGCACAGCCCAGGAACTTATCCTTGCAACAAAGCCCGTTGCCAATTGTGCCCACATATCTATTCAGGGGACACCATCACAGGGCCTAATAACATCAGCCACACTATCAGAGGCTCGTTCACCTGCACATCCACCAATGTGATATATGCCATCATGTGCCAGCAATGCCCCTCTGCCATGTACATTGGTCAAACTGGACAGTCTCTACGTAAAAGAATAAATGGACACAAATCAGATGTCAAGAATTATAACATTCATAAACCAGTCGGAGAACACTTCAATCTCTCTGGTCACGCAATCACAGACATGAAGGTCGCTATCTTAAAACAAAAAAACTTCAAATCCAGACTCCAGCGAGAAACTGCTGAATTGGAATTCATTTGCAAATTGGATACTATTAATTTAGGCTTAAATAGAGACTGGGAGTGGCTAAGTCATTATGCAAGGTAGCCTGTTTCCTCTTGTTTTTTCCTACCCCCCCCCCCAGATGTTCTGGTTTAACTTGGATTTAAACTTGGAGAGTGGTCAGTTTAGATGAGCTATTACCAGCAGGAGAGTGAGTTTGTGTGTGTATGGGGGTGGGGGGGATGTGAGAAAACCTGGATCTATGCAGGAAATAGCCCGACTTGACTATGTAAAGAGTTGTCACTTTGGATGGGCTAGCACCAGCAGGAGAGTGAATTTGTGTTGGGGGGGTGGAGGGTGAGAAAACCTGGATTTGTGCTGGAAATGGCCCACCTGTTGATCACTTTAGATAAGCTATTACCAGCAGGACAGTGGGGTGGGAGGAGGTATTGTTTCATATTCTCTGTGTGTATATAAAGTCTGCTGCAGTTTCCACGGTAAACATCCGATGAAGTGAGCTGTAGCTCACGAAAGCTCATGCTCAAATAAATTGGTTAGTCTCTAAGGTGCCACAAGTCCTCCTTTTCTTTTTGCCCGGTTGACAGTGAGCATGGCCCCACTCTGGCTCCCACTCTGGCTCCGTTTGTGTTGTCAGAGCCCTGTTGTGTGGGTCGAGGCCTCCTGCTGCCAATGTGGTGGTGGGCAGAGGTGGTGGGGGAGGCTGCTCCATCAGCTTGTCAAAGGAGTTAACCCCACCCATGCCTCACCTCAGCCATCTTCCTCCTTAGACCCTCAGGCTGCTCTCACTTACACCCAGCTTTTATGGCCTCAAGGGGGCAGCTGGGAACAACCACAGCATTGGGGGTCCCTGGTCATGACCCTTTCCCTCCACTGCATAAGCCCTCTGTACAGGAGGCTGCAGTGAGGCAGTGACATAAAGCCATTGCCCCACGTGGCCATTTCCTCTGTGGACAAGGGTTCCCTGATGGCTGGAGGCTGCCTTTGTCACACTGAAGCAGTGTAAAGCAGGAGGAACAAAGCCCAGAATCTGAGGCCCAGCTTGCACAGCTGCTTCCCTGCCCATGGCCATGTCCGGCCCTTGTCTCTGAGTGGTGCTTTCCCTTGCAGGAGACGGCAAAGTTGGCCTGCGTGCGTTTATGAAGAGCGTGATGAGTACACGGAGACCGTCCCAGGCTGAGAGTAAGTGAGAACAACTGCTCTTTCCCCACATCCATCCCTGGTGTGCTCTGTTCTGGGGAAAGCCTGGTGCGGGTGCCCTCCTGCGTCTGACCTCAGCAGCACATGCAGATCCCTTATCATTGTAAAATCAGTTATTCTGAAAACCCTGAAGTAAAACAAAGGAACACAGCAGCTCTTCAATCCCATTCTCTGGTCCCTCACCTGACGGTTATTAGCCAGTCGGTCTCAGTTCCTTTGGCCTCTTCCAGGCCCCCACTCTCCAGGCCATCCACCTGAGAGTCCCAACACCCCCTCTCTCCCACGAGTCTTCTCCAGTAGCCCAAAGTCAGGTCTCCCCCTAGAGGCCTCCCTGCAATGTTCCACTCCCTGGCCGCCTGCCCTGTGAGTCTAATCCCTGCTCCTGGGGATCTTTCTCCAGAGTCAACCCCTCCTGGGCCCAGTATGGCCTGACCAAGCTGGTTCTTCCCCTCATTCTTCAGGGCCTCTGCATGAGCCTTCCTGCACTTTGCCGGGGATCCCCAGCTCTCGCCAGCCCTCCCAACAGGTTTCCTCAGAACGCATCACCGACAGCTCCCCGTTACTGCTCTCCTTCAGGCCTCCTGCAGCTCTTTCCTCGGGGAACTCTCTGCCACTGTGCCTTTCTCTCCTGTGTTCCCAGGGTCTGTCTGCACTGCATTGTATGTCCCGGGTTAGTAGAACACACGTTAGCAGCTTCTGGCTTTGTTAGCCTAGGAGTCCCCAGGTTAGGAACTGTTGAACCCTGGGTTCCAGCGTCTACACTGCATTATGTGGGCCTGAGTCCAACCCACCCATATCCCAGACTTCCTAGCACTCTCCAAAAACATGGCTGCTTTAGCCCTTTGTTCATGGTGCAGGGTGGGTAAACTTAACTGTCCTGAGAACAAAGTAAGTCTGCCTGGGGGATTGTGGGATATTTTTGGCAAATTCCCAGAGCACACATCCAGTGGGGCTGCATCTATACTGCAAAGCTGTAGGGCTTGAACCCTGGATCCCAGTTTGGCTCAGGCTCTGACCATCCACCACAATGGGCTGCTGGGTCCAAGCCCTGGGTTAGCACCATTTGTGTGTAGACAGAAGGGGGGTTAGGCTTGAGCCTGACTTTAAATGGCAGTGTAGACATGGCCTCTGACAGCTCTCATCTGTATCTTCCTTACACTCTCTCTCTTTCTCTGTCGACCCACTATATGTTATTACTCTTTCCTTACTCAGGCAAAGCTCCCCATTGACTAAATTAGACCTCTTTCCCATGTATCCCAGGGGATAAGGTTGATCTCCAGAACCTGGACTCCATCCTGGACAGAATGGGAGCCCATTTAACCAATGAGGAGCTCCAAGAAGCATTGAAACACGTGACTGTTGATGGTTTGTATTGCAAATCTTCCTCTGTGTTCTCCAGCAGGGGGCGTGAAATCAGCACAAATGGATGGAGAGCGTTGGAAACCCTGCTGCATGCGTGATTTGTGCATGTAAAAAGAAGTAACGTGATGTGTACACAACAGGGACAAGGGACAGTTGATCCAAGGCCCAGATTCTGCTCCCACTTACACTGGTGTAAATCTAGGTAATGCCACCATCACCAATGGATTGATTGACTGGTTCTCATTTACACTAAGGCCACTTTACCTTATCCTGGCAATGTAAAGTGGCCTTAAGGTAGGACACATTTATATTTTTGCACCACATCTAGAACAGTGTAAAGTGATCATTGTGTAAATAAGAATCGGGTCCAACGGGGTTCATCTGTATTCACACCAGTGCAAGTGGGCTCAGGATATGGCCACTTGAATTTCATAAGAATGGCCAGATGGGGTCAGACCAATGGTGCATCTAGCCCAGTATCCTGTCTTCTGACAGTGGCCAGTGCCAGATTCTTCAGAGGGAGTGAACAGAACAGGCAATCATCAAGTGATCCATCCCCAGTCATCCTCTCCCAGCCTCCGGCAATCAGAGGCTAGGGACACCCAGAGCTGGGTTGCACCCCGACCATCTTGGCTAATAGCCATTGTTGAACCTATCCTCCATCCTTCATACCCTCCCTTTTCTGATTCTAACTCCATGCCTCCTCCTCTCAAGGATTCCTCCAGTTTTCTTTTACAAGGAATAAAGTCTCTTGTCTGACCAGAACTTAGCAATGATGTCCATTCCCTTCTGCCTCTTTTCTTTAGTGTCTGTTTGTCATTTCCATTGACTTTGAGCTGTGCTTTACCTTGCAGCAGACGGGAAGGTGAATTTGGGTGAATTTATGAAGGAGGTGAGGGCTGTCCAGAAATTGCCCCCAGGGGAAGGTGAGTGAGAACATAATAACACTTATGTTTGGAAAAGGAGAGTACGCTGAATGAGGCAGGAGAAAATACTATGTGACCATGTAATTAAAGATGGTCTCCTAATGAATCCACACAAGGGGGCAGAGTTAAGGTTATGTCGTGGACCTTAATTCAGACATTTCCTACCTCCCTCTTGAAATGGGAGTAGATCAAAGTGCAGCTACAGAGCTTTTAGTGAATGGTAACAGGGTCCACTCCGCCAATTAGTGCATGGCAGGCTAGAGAGCTGTAGATTTACATACCAGCTTACTGTGCACTAACCGTCTGTATAGACAAGCCCTCAGTTAAGTATTGTGAAAAACTTATTAGAAGCGGGTTCTTTCCCCTTCTAGCTGAATAATGTATTTCATGTTTCCTGGGTATTTGCAAAGATGTAGGATGATTTCAGTGCCATCCTAGAGGATATCAAAGATGACGATGGTCACAGAAGCCTTTTGCCTAGTTGTGTTAATTGAGCTGCACGTTGTGTCTGTGGCTGGCGCTGGGCTTCCAGCTGCTCCACGCAATTCTTCTCAAAGTCATGGGCTCCCACCCTTACAGCGTAGCGCCATGCAAAACGATCCATTGCCTGTTGCTCAAAGGTTGAGTCAGAAATGTTCGCTTGGGGCAGGTTTTGTTTCAGGGTGTCTTTGAAGCATTTCATCTGCCCTCCACGCTTACAGTTGCTTTAGCTTAATTCAGAATATAAGACCTGTTTTCATAGATGGGTCTCGGGCATTCAAATTACATGGTGAGTCCATCCCAATAGGGGACAAATCAAATGAGTCTAAATGCCAGCCCAACCCGTTTTCACCTCTTTTATCAAAGAGGATAAGGGGTTTGTGTCTAAGATACGTTACCAAAGTTTTCAAACATAATAAATAACCAACACCTAGGGCTAAATTCATCGCTGCTGTAAATCTCTTATACTTTGCGGGAATTATGCTACTAGGCCATAGAATGTAAGCTCTTTAAAGCAGTGACCTTTTCTTTCCTGTGTATCTACAGTGCTTAGCAACGTGGGGTCCTCTTTCGTGACTGGGTTCCTAGGCACGACAATAATATTTTTAAGGTTTCGGTATTCCTTAGCAGGTCGTGCAGAGAGGGGAAGGACTGTTTTGCACATATGAATAGGTCTAGAGGCCAAGACACCTGGGGTCTATTTCTTCCTGTGCTGCAAACGCTTGGGCAAATCACCTAATTATATCTGACCTTGAATAAAAATGTAATTGCTGTGCCTCGGTTTCCCCTCTTGTATAAATGATGATACTTCCCTTCTGTCCAGAATGGGTACAAGTTTCATTTCATTCTTCTGTGTGTAAGATAGAGAAAAAAACAAAGGGTTATTGTTTTTATTATTAATGTTATCCTTATATTGCCAAGTGTCACTCCCCAGCCTGGCTGCATGTAAGGGAAGAAAGCCTGGTTTCGTTCTTCAGGATGATTCTTTAACATAGGACTAATGAGCCAATGCAGAGTCCAATCTTCTCCTCTCCGTTCCCAGAGGACAAAGTGGATGTGGGGCACCTGGACTCCGTCCTGGCCGGCATGGGGATCCATTTAACCCAGGAGGAGCTGCAGGAAGCACTGAAGTACAGCCCCGTTGACAGTGAGCATGTTCACTCCCACTCTGGCCCGTTTGTGTTGTCAGAGCCTGTTGTGTGGGGCAAGGCCTCCTGCTGCCAATGTGGTGGTGGTTAGAGTCTGCTCCCTCCTGCTACTGTCTCAGCATGCCAAAGGTGCGAACCCCATCCCCCCCGCACCTCCGCCAACCTTCCCCCTTAGACCCAAAGGCTGCTCTCACTTACACCCAGCTCTGATGGCTTCAAGGGGGCAGCGGGGAACAACTGAAGCTCTCAGATTCCCTAGCCACAATAGTTCCCCTCCAGCTATTCCACACTATGCCCTCTATCTAGGGGGCTATGTGGGGTGGCATAGAGTCATTACCCCATGTGGCAATTCCCTCTGCCTGCAGGGATTGCCAAGGAGCTGGAAGCTGCTCTTGTGCTGTAAAGCAGGAGAAACAGAGCCCAGAATCCCAGCCCCCATTCGCTCAGCTGCTTCCCTGCGCATGGCCGTGTCTGGCCCTTGTCTCTGAGTGGTGCTTTCCTTCGCAGGAGACGGGACAGTCAGCCTGAGTGCATTTATGAAGAGCATGATGGGTATGCGGAGACCCTCCCAGGCCGAAAGTAAGCAAGAACAGACGTGCTCTTCGCATCCGTTGCTGATGTGGCCTTACCTGGACTGTCAGAGAGCAGCGTATAGTCGCTCTCCATGTTTTTTTTTTCTGAGGACGCGGCTTCTCCTGCAGCTGCTTGTTCAGGCCTGTCTGTTCTCCTTGGGGAGCTTCTTTCCAGAACTGGCCTTTAAATACTTCAGGGGCTTTGATCTCATGGCCAGAGTTACAGACCCATCTTCTGATCTAGTGAGAGTGGGTGCGACCCCACTGACTTCAGTGGAGTTACTGTTGTTCACACTGAATCCAGCCCATGCTCCCCACTCTGCTGGCTGCCGTCTATCCCACCCTTCTTCTCGTTCCCTCTGAGAGGATTTCTCTCCTCACTGTAGCCAAAGGGCTTGTCTTCACGTACAGCGCTGCACGCACACAGCGGTCGCGGTTTAGATCTGGCCTAAGTGACTTAGGACCACAGGCTGGGATTTCAAAGGAAGCAAAAGTCGTTAAGTGGCCGACTCCCACTGAATTTCAGCAGGATTTAGGCACCTCCCTTCCTTCTGCTCCTTTGGAAATATCAGCACAAATCCCATTGTCTGTCGGTGCTTCCAAGGCCAGGTCTACACTACAGACCTCTAGCGGTATAACTATATCACGCAGGGGTGTGAAAAATTAAACGTAGTTATACTGACCTCACACCCCCTTGTAGACTGCTTCTCCCACCGACAGAGCTGCCACCTCTCGGGGAAGTGGAGTCACTCTGCTGACAGGAGAGCTTTCTCCCAGTGACTTAAAGCGTCTTCATTAAAGTGCTCCAGCAGCGAGGCGCGGCCGACACAGCGTTTTAAGTGTAGACCTGTCCTCAGTCACCTAGAGTGCACTTTAAAAGCCTTCGGTGTTGAATGTGACTCGGCTCCCATTGGCTTCCCTGGGCACCAAGTCAGGCCATTGCTGAGCACTTTGCTTTTCACAACCCCACCCTCCAAGGTCAGGCCAAGATTTTCAAAACTGGCTGCCCAAAGGTAGGCAGCTGGGCCCAGATTTTCAAGAGTGCTCAGTACCCACAAGTGAGCTGTGATTTCCAGTGAGCCCTGCTCCTGTCGGAGCCTCTAAAGGAAGTGGCTGAATTTCCAGAAGCGCTCAGCACTCACCCACGTCCCTGGAATTGAACAGGAGAAGATGGTGCTGATTTATGTTCCTCCATATGGACTTAGGCCCAACTCCTCAAAGCTACGTATGCCCAGAACTCCCATTGAAATCAATGGGAGTTAGACACCTACACTTTACCTTTGAGGATCTGGACCTTTGGGCACATAACTGCAGGCCCCCCCTTGTGAAAATACTGGCCCCAGTTTTTAATGATTTTGCACTTAGGAAAACCCTCCGCATTCCTATTGAATGAATGGAGTCCAGGGGGGTGGCCCCCTGACTCTACATGGGAGGGTGAGCGCCTCATGTCAGTCAGGCTTGTAGGATCCCCAGACCACCAGCTTTCATGCAGCTCCAGCATGCTTGGAGTCATACATTTCCAAAAGAACTTGACTTACCCTTGGTGGAAAAGATGTTGATATCACATCTTAAACCGTCCCATTGAGAACACAGGGAACAGGATCCTGGAAAAAAGCAGCAAGCACCGGGGTTACGGGGTTTAAGGGAATGATCCAGCAAATCCGACTCGCAAGAGTAAGGCCTCCAGAATTCAGTGAGGCTACTCGTGTGAGTAGAGACTGCAGGACTGAGCTCAACATTTGTTACCACCAGCAGTTTTGAAGAGGCAGAGTCTACCACTAAACATGAGCAGGCAGTTCCCACTGAGGTGCTGGCGATTTCAAAGTTCTTATTAAAACACGAGAACCAGCCGAGCCTGGCAGGGCTTTGATTCCCAGTGGCATTAACAGTTTTACAGTCATACAGGAGAGGTAGGATGGCCCAGCGCTCAGGGTGCTAGCCTGGAACTCCTAAGACCTGGGGTCAATTCCCTACTCTGCCCTAGACTCCCAGTGTGGTCTTGGACAAGGCACTTAGGGCCAGATTTTTAAAGGTAGTTAGTCATCTAAAGAAGTAGATAGGTGCCTAGTAACAGTTTTTTAAAAAAAATGCAAATCCCACTAAGCCCCGGTGTGCATCTGTAGGCCCCTAAATGCCTTTTAAAAATCTGGCCATTTAAAAAAAAAATCCTGCCTCAGTTTCCCCATCTGTAAAATGAAGAGAATAGCACTGCCCTGTCTCTTTAATGTTGTGAGGCTGAATACAGTAAAGATGGTGAGGTGCTCCAATAATCACTTTAGATCAACACACCTGAACAAGAACCTCACTTCCTGATCTACCCAAAGGGTCAAGCTCACCCCTGAGCAGAGGGCTTGCGCCATATAAGCCCTAGCTGGAGGTCTTTCATGGGATTGAAATGGCACTTAGCCCTTGTGCTGGCTCTCTTCTCTGCCTGGGGGAATTTCACCAGTGCCTTCAGCACCATCAGCAAAAGCCAAAAGGATCCTTCACTTAATATATCGCACTTCATTATTCAAACGTAGCAAACCATCAACTCACATGGGTGTGAATTCTGCTGTCAGTGTCTACATCCACACTGGTGTAACTGAGAGCAGAATTTGGCCCAAGATGCATGGGTTGGGTGCTGGGGTGCAGTTACACTGGCGTTACACCATTTTAACTCTGCTGGGCCAGATCCATTGAAGTCGATGGAGCTATACTAATCAACGGGATCTGGCCCCAGTGGAGAGACTTCTGATTTGCAACAGTGTCTGTGAGAGGAGGATTTGGCCCCAGTGGCCTTAATTGAGATTTTTTACATCTCAAAGAGGTGATGCCAAAAGGTCTAAGGGGACTCTGCTATTTCAAATTATGGGCTTCCCGGGAGGGAGCGGGGAAAGTGCACCGCGTAAGAATTCGGAGTGGTTGTCATAGCTACAAGAAAGCAAACAGTAAAACCCCTAATCCTTCTATCTACTTAAAGGGGACAGAGTTGATCCTGGTCACCTGGACTCCATCCTGGTCCACATGGGGATCTACTTAACCAATGAGGAACTGCAGGAGGCGCTGAAATTCATGACGGTGGATGGTGAGTCTTTCAGGTCTCCCTGTGCTGCGTGGTAGCGTTCGCATCGGTGCCAGAAAACTGGGCGAATGCCTGAGCCAGATTTTCCCTTACAGCCGATGGGAAGGTGAATTTGAGCCAATTCATGCGAGGAGTGAGTGCTGCCCAGCCAATGACCCAAGGACCCGGTGAGCAAGAGCTTTATTAAAGAGTCTCAGAGGGGTAGCCGCGTTAGTCAGTATCAGGAAAAACAACGAGGAATCCTTGTGGTACCTTCGAGACTAACAAATTTATTTGGGCATAAGCTTTCACGGGCTAAACCTCACTTCATCAGATGCATGGAGTCGAAAATACAGTAGACAGGTACAAATACACAACGCATGAAAAATGGGAGTTGCCTTACTGAGTGGGGGGATCAGTGCTAATGAGGCCAATTCAATTAGGATGGATATTGCCCATTTCCAACAGTAGACAAGAAGGGGTGAATATCAACAGAGGGGAAATTACTTTTTGTAGTGCTAACAAGGCCAATTCAATCATGGTGGATGTGTCCCATTCACAACAGTTGACAAGAAGGTGTGACTATCAACAGAGGGAAAATTATTTTTTGTAGTGACCAAGCCACTCCCAGTCTTTATTCAGGCCGAATTTGATGGTGTCCAGTTTGCAAATTAATTCTAGTTCTGCACTTGCTCATTGAAGTCTGTTTTTCAAGTTTTTTTGTAGAAGAATGGTCACTTTTAAGTCTGTTATTGAGTGTCCAGAGAGATTGAAGTGCTCTCCTACTGGTTTTCGAATGTTACAATTCTTGATGTCTGATTTGTGTCCATTTATTCTTTTGAGTAGAGACTGTCCGGTTTGTCCAATGTACATGGCAGAGGGGCATTGCTGGCACATGATGGCATATATCACATTGTAGATGTGCAGGTGAACGAGCCCCTGATGATGTGACTGATGTGGTTAGATCCTCGGGTGGTGTCCCTTGAATAGATATGCGGATAAAGTTGGTAACGCAGTTTGTTGCACTGATAGGTTCCTGGGTTAGTGTTTCTGTTGTGTGGTGTGTAGTTGCTGGTGAGTATTTGCTTCAGGTTGGGGGGCTGTCTGTAAGCGAGAACTGGCCTGTCTCCCAAGGTCTGTGAGAGTGAGGGATCGTCCTTCAGGATAGGTTGTAGATCCTTGATGATGCGCTGGAGAGGTTTTAGTTGGGGGCTGTAGGTGACGGCTAGTGGCATTCTGTTACTTCCTTTGTTGGGCCTGTCCTGTAGTAGGTGACTTCTGGGTACCCTTCTGGTTCTGTCTGCTGCTAAGCACCCTGGTCACTGTTCCTTTGCTCTCTGGCAGTTCCCCATGGTGACGTACTTAGAGATGGTAACGTGTGGGTAGAGGTTGGTGTCTCTTGAATGGCTTCTGCTGTCTGTCTCTCAGGCATGCCGTAAAACAGGCAAAAAGCCTCTCTGGGTCACAAATGTTGCTGGGGGTTACGGATTGTCTGGGCACATAGCATGGTGAGGTCATAATCACAAGGTCTAATGCCCATCGCTGAGCTGGGTTGGGAGCCGGTGAGTTGAATGAAGCTTGTGGCAATTGCCACGTCCTGGGCATCCCAAAGTCGATTGTGCTTTGTTAACCATCGTTTAACCTTTTTTACACTACCTCTTGCACAACAATGGGGACTTAGGACACTAGACAGTCAGGGTGGGGCAGTACTGAGGCCACAATTTCAGGTGTGTCATGGCAGGTTTAGCTGCTTGGCAGAAGCCCCAATGAGATCAGTATCTCATGGGGGGTAAGTCAAGGCTCTGGAGAGCTCGGAATACCTCAAGCCCAGGGCTGCTTAAACTTGGAGGAGTGTCATGATTCTGGATGCAAGTCACAGAGCTGACGGCCCCGATCCATGAGGTGAGATAGCCAGGAAAGAACAGGGAAACTAGCTCTTAGTTCCCCTACCCCTTATCTAGCCCCATTGCCCGTAGAATCTGAGTGCCTCCCAGGCATTAATATATTTTCCCTCATGACCCCCCTCGGGAGGGAGGAGAGTGCCATTATCCCCATTGTACAGATGGGGAAATGGAGGCACAAAGCAGCTAAGTGCTTGCATAGCAGCACATCACTCAGGGGTTCCTTCCTGAGTCTGTATAGTGGCCTTCCTCTTGCTACCCTCCTCCTTAAAGCTGTCTCCGGTCCCAAGCTCTGGGATCAAAGGAGGTTTAAAGTGGGAGGGAGCCTCTGACCCTCTCTACCTGTTTGTGTTACACCCCAGAGAAACCTCAGACGACCTTTGGCCTGGTCTCTGAAACCAATATGACACTGAAGTCCCTGCCGAAGAAGATGATGTTGAAACCCCTGCCAAAAAAGACCAGCGGGTGAGTGTGGAGGTGTCTGGGCTGCCATCACCATGGATTGTCAGGTCCTCTGAGCAGGATCCCTGCCTTCACTCCTGCCAGTAAAACACCCAGCATGCTTGGTGCAGTAATCAGCATTAATTACCCTTTTTTCCAGCTGAAGGAGCTGGCTCTGCTGGACTCTCCCATGCCTCCCTGTGGCTGTAAAACTGTGTGTGTGTAACTGAGTTTCTGTCTTTCCTTTTTTTCTTCTTGTTTGTATAGAAAATATAAACACATAACTAAATGAAACGTACAGAATGACATGCACCAGATAGAAATAACCTCTCAGTAACAAAATTCAACCTTCATTATTTGCAAAACCGGGGGGGTGGGGAAGCTGACCCCATACAGGTCATGGAGGGCATCAGTTAGTAAAGTGACTAATTAGATAAATGATACCATAACCTCTGAGTAACAGGAACTAATATATACTCAGCTGCAAACGTATGCAATTGTTTCATGTGTGACCACAGCCTCATACCTTTTCCAAGTGTTTCTATTAGGCAGAGTCACTTTTCCCATCAATGCAGTAGTAGGAAGGTCACTAAGCCAGTCTGTAAATGAAGGAGGAATTCTCAAAATAACTCTTTTGGCCACTAAAATAGTGACTGCAATCCACTTCTTACTGGTAACACGAACTCATTCATCACCCCTCAAACACATAGGCTTGGAGAAGGAAAGAGAGCACACACAAAGTTTTTGAGAGAGTACTGAATATGGTGTTCCAGAACATGTGCATTTCTGGACAGGTCTAGAAAATGTGCAAAAGGTTGGCACGTGGCTGTTTGCATATCCAGTATTCGCTGTGCATTGCCTTAAACACATGTTCTGGAGTCCAGTCGCGCCTGTTTAATGTCTTGTTCTGGAAGAATCACAAGGATAAAGAACTTGAAGTATCTTGCACATTAACCCAGATAGCCTTTATTCTCACAACGGAAACCTGGGAGGATACGTTCTTTTTCCCATTTTCCTTTGAGATTGAGAGGGTACTGTAAAGCATTACGCCATCTAAGTAATTCCTACAAAATGACTTTTGTTTCCATATTTGTTATCATCCTCTTCTAGAGGTGAAAGAGTTGAAATGGACCAATTGTCCCCTCTACCTGCATGAATCCTTGAAAATAGCTGCTGAAAGAAGGATGTGTGAGGCAGTAATAGAGGATATTTGTTACATGTAGAATTGAAGGAGGCCAGTCCATCATCTTGTATTACATCTTTAATTTCTGTTAATTCTTTTTCTATCCAAATTGTCTTAATCATAGAATCATAGAATATCAGGGTTGGAAGGGACCTCAGGAGGTCACCTAGTCCAACCCCCTGCTCAAAGCAGGACCAACCCCAACTAAATCGTCCCAGCCAGGGCTTTGTCAAGCCGGGTCTTAAAAACCTCTAAGGAAGGAGATTCCACCACCTCCATAGGTAACGCATTCCAGTGGTTCACCACCCTCCTAGTGAAAAAGTTTTTCCTGATATCCAAAAAGCATGGAGTTGGCCTTGATCCTGATGCATGTGTTATCCTGTAGTGGTACGAGAAGAGAATTAGTAAGATCGGATGCTGTAATCATCTTAGTGCATTGCAGGGTGCCCCATGTAGATGCAAAGATTGGACTTTTCCTTAAGGGTGTGGGTAGCCTCTTAAGGGATATAAAAGAAGAGAGGGAGCCAAATGACATAGCTAAGCTTTTTTCTATCTCAAACCAGGCCGGTGTGTATGCAGAGCAACTGGAGGGGAACCACCTTAAAATAGGACGCATTTGGAATGCTAGATAATACAGACACAGATCTAGCAACCCCCGACCTCCCGTTGTCCAGTATTTTTAAGGGTCTTGTGTGACAAGTGAGGCTGGTTTTTATCTCAGATAAATTGCATGATTAGCCTATTGATTTTAGCAAAGAGTGAGGGAGGGAAAGACCTTGAAAGGCAACAGGCTAATGATATAAAATCAATCTTGGGCAGATATTCATTCTGGCTATTTCTATTTTCCCCAGTAAGGATACAGGGAGGAGACACCACCTTTCTACATCCTTGGACAGTTGTTTTTATATGTAGTCCATATTTATAGAAACAATTTTGGAAAGATTAGGACAAAACACCTAAGTAAAGTTATTTCCTTGCATATTGGAAATGGAAAATGCTGAGTCTGAGAAGGATCTGGTCTTTTGGATACATTCGTTGCTTGTGATTTATTCCAGTTAATGCAAAAACCAGAGCTCTCCAGAAATGTAAGCTATACTCTATAACGATGAGATTAATGAGGATGGATTCTTCAATAGTACAAAACTGTCATCTGCATATAAACTGATTTTGTATTCTTTCCTGTTTATAGTCACACCTTCAGTGTGTACATTGCCACTGGTTCAAGAGAGAGATTAAAAGGGAGAGGCAAGAGGGGACAGCCTTGTTGTGTCCCTCTTTCTAGTTGAAATATGGGAGAAATAATTCTATTAGTTGATAGTGCAGCGAGGGGAGAGTTGTATAATACACTCAAGACAATTCAGGATATTGATGCAAATCCAATTTTTGTTTTGTTTTCTTAGGACATCCATTACATAAGGCTATTCAACCCTATCAACGGCCTTCTCTGCATCTAGAGATAGGGCTATGGAGGGAACATCTGACAGCAGAACTTGCTGGATCAATTGAGCGATTTTTCTCATATTCTCAGCAGCCAGGCTTCCTTTCATGAAACTACACTGATCTGAGTGTGTAATTGATGGGATGCGGCTGCTAAAATTTTTGCAATTAGTTTTCAATCTGTGTTGAATAGAGATATGGGACAGAAGTTGACACTGTTGCTACCATCCTTGTTCTTCTTTAATATTAAAGTAATTAAAGCAGTTTTCATGTTGTGAAACATGGTTCTCTTTTGGAATGTTTCAGTGAAGACCTCTGAAAGAATAGAAGAAAGCTGATTACAGAATGTTTTGTAGAAATCTGCCAGAAAGCCGGGGAGCCTTGCTGGAGTTTGTTTTTTGTAGCCTGTTCAATTTCTTGTGTTGAGAAAGCTTTGTCTGTAAACAACGCTTGTTCTGAAGTTAGGGTATTAAAAGGCAGGTCTTCAGTTAAATGATCCAATTGATTAGAGTCAGATTGGTTGTCTGATCTCTAGAAAGCTTGATAGAATTGCGTACATTGATTATTTACATCTGTTGGTTCCAGGATGGCCCTCCTGTCTTCTTGTAATAAGGAAGAAATATTGTTGTTGGCTAGTTCCATCTTAAATCTTCTGGCAAGTGGCTTACCTGCGTTATCTTCCCATTCAGAATATCTTTGTTTGACCCTGTTGAGTGTAAATTGAACTTGGCTGGATAAGCATTCATTATATTTATATTTGGCATTGATAATGTAGGAGGTTTTCATTATTTGGGTCCATCTTGTGTGTTTTCTCCAACTCATCTATTTCCGTGGCTGAAAAGTCTAGTAACTTGAGTCGTTCTCTCTTCTTTTGGGAGGCCTATCTTACGCACTCACCTCTTACAGTAGCTTGTAGAGCTTCCCAAAAGATGTAACTGAGGTAACCGAGTGCTTATTTTCTTGTATGAAGTGAGAGATGACAGAATCAACTGTGCAATTAAATTTTGCATCTTTTAGTAGCAGTGTGTTCAGCTTCCAGCGAAGACTTTAATGAGGTGTAACCAGCATCTATGGTAAGTATAATTGGAGCCTGATCTGAAATTATCAATAGTGCTTCCAGGCATGCTGGAATCAGTTCTGAAGACACAAGAAGAATTCAGTTCTGGAGTAAGAAGAATGTACTGCAGAGAAATACGTATAGTCACGCTCCGTGGAGTGTCTTAGTCTCCAAATACCTTTTAAATCAAGTTCATTCGTTGGTAACGAGGGTTGTTCTATTGTGCTTTGAGTGCTCGGTCTCATGTATTTGGATTTGTCCAGACATGTCTAGCATAGTATTCCAATTGCCTCCCAGTATTACAGGAGTGTCTTTTTTATTAAAAAGAATGTCTGCAATGTCTTTGAAAAATTCAGAATTATCTCCACTTGGATTGTAAATACTTCCTAGAATTAACTTTTTTGAGTTGAAACATCTTCAGGAAGAATGTTTCTTCCTTCAGAATCAAACCAAGACTGTACACATTGAAAAGTTAATACTTTTATGAATTAAGATGAGTACAAAAAGATCTGTAGTTAAATATCATGTGCCTTACAAATATACTTTGGAACAGAAAACAAAAAAAAGTAAGACTTAAAACAAGCCAGAATGGGCAAGTTCAGATCCTGATGGCTTCAGTTCTATCTCTCCTCCCCTCCCTATATTATCTAATAATATCCTAAACATCTCTAAATGCATATTTTAAGTCAAATCTTACCCTGTAAATACCATTGGGTAGTCTAAGAACATGTATAATGTTTTCCTACCTACAGAAGTTTTGATGTATAGTTATGTATGCATATGTATATGCAGACTCATCACAAGAAATTTACAATTGGTTTGGTAAATCAAATACAAATTAGTACAAAATCTAAATACGAAAAATACAACATAAAAAAAGGTTTCAGAGGAACAGCCGTGTTAGTCTGTATTCGCAAAAAGAAAAGGAGTACTTGTGGCACCTTAGAGACTAACCAATTTTTTAGCATTCGTGCGCCCCCCCCCCCCCCTCCAAAAAAAAAGGTTTCTTTTTCTAGGTTTTTCAAATGCCTTGCGCAAATTGAATAACTAGTGCTATTTAAGGTTAGGTTATAGTCTGTTTTACATGTCGTGAATACTGACTGTTCCACAAGGGACTTGTGGTTACCCTAACACAACCCATCAGAGGAAAAGCTAGTGAAGAGATTCTGTCCAGCAGTGCAAGCTGTGATGATTAGTGCAGATAATACTTCAGCCAGTAGATGGTGCTATATCCCCCCGCTTAGTGTTCACAGTGTTAAAACGGTTACTCTGCGCCTTGCGATGCTATACATTTGTTATTGCTCAGTTTTAAAGGAGATCAGCTGAAGAGTTCAGCCTACCTGGTTATTTGCTAGGAATTGGAAGTTTGTGTAAGTGACTATTAACATGTCTACAGGGATACCTAGAAAAACAAACTTATTTTTAAACTTGTTGAGGTTTGCTTTGTATTGGTTTAAAAAAAAACCCATTCTGCTATTTGTTGGTCAAATCTGATCTCAGTCTTTGAAGTGTCTGCCAAGCTTCAGAAGGGGTTTGGCAAAATCTGGCGGTGCATGCTGAATCCATGGGGAAGGTGAATGGGTACTTGATCCTGTATCTGACGTTGGTCCCCCTCAGGATTTGCTTTATGGAATGCAGCCCTCTTTTTGTTAAGCTCAGCTGAGAAGTCAGGGAAAAGAGATTTTGTGGCCTTTGTACATAAGGGTTTCAGCTTTTCTAGCAGCATTCATTAATGGTTGTTTACCATTGAACTTCAGCGGCTTGAAGACGATGGGCTTGGGCTTGGGCTTGTCAGATTCCCACCATCTAATACCAGGCATTCGATGAGCCCTTTCAATGTCTAATGGGGGAAGCTGAGGGTGGATTTTAAATAGGTCAGGGAGCAGTTTCTGAAGAAATCTGATAATATCCGCCTTCTCCAGACCCTCAGCAATGACCAACAGGCGAAGTTTGTTTCTTCAAGTTCTCTTTTCTAAGTCATCCTGGGTTTCTTCCAGTTTGTCTAGTCCAAGCTTTAAGAAGGAGGCCATTTCTTCTTTAATTTCACTGGTTCAAGGGCAGCCTTTGGCAGCTAATTTTCCAAGTGAGCCATTTTGGGATTTTGCATCACACACATCTTTAGAGAGCCCTCGGATATCTTTGGAGATTGAATCCAGGCCTGTGAGGAATTCTTTCAGTGTCACAATATCCTGGGCTAGGTTCTGCTATGGCCTTCTAATCCCCCTTCAGCTGTTTGGGTGATGCAGGCTGAGGTCTTTAACTGCTCCTCATTTATTCATTGGGATCTGTCTTCAGCAGCTTGAAGTTTATCCAGGGGTTTAATTTAACCTTTTATGACAGAAACTTATTGCCAGTTTGCTAGGAAAGTAATGATTAGAGATGAATTGACATGCGGAGGTCCGGGACTAGGCAGCCATCTTCCTCACAGGTATCATGTGATCCTGGGATTTCATTCTTTCTAATGCTGTAACTTGGCAAAAGCTGGGACCCCCCAGATCAGCTACATTACTACTGGTGCTTTCTCCCCACTGCTTTCCAGGGGAGGAGAGGGAGCAGGCTCACTGGGTGGGTGCCCAGCAGTGGCAGAGTTAAAGATGAATGGCTTGGTTTTTCCCAGGTGCTGAGCACCCACATCTCCTGTGGAAGTCAATGGGAACTGTGGGGAACTCAGTCCTTTGGGGATCTCAGCCCGTAAATGCCAAAGTCTTTATGAAGCCCTGAGGAAGTTAAAGGGATTGCATAAGAGGGCAGAATCAGACCCTAGCAGTGTCTCCAGAGTGACCCTACAGCATCTTAGTGGTATTCACATCTGTGTACAACTGATGTGAGAGCAGAATCAGATAATAAACTCTTCTCTGTTCCATGAATGCAACCCCTCTGAAGTCAGTGTGGTTGCACCAGTGTAGCTGAAAGACACATGTGGCCTCCTGCATCATATCCTGCCCTGAATCCATGCGCTCAGCTGCTCTTCCATCAACAGGAGCTGCATATCTGCAGAGGAATGTTGGTTTGCATCTTTTAATTGTCCTTCTTTCTTCTTGAATGTTGTATGGCAGGGAGCTATCTGGCATCCTCCTAGGCAGGAATAAGTGCAAAGCAGCGAAGAACCTGACCATGGACCAGCTAGAAGGTAACAATGCCCCAGTTATCTGTCTTTCACTTTGAAAGGCAGGTTGACAAAAAGACTGTTCAAGGTTTATTTTTTAGCTTGTTAGATCTTTATTTTTTCTACTAAAGTAGCAACTGTGGGGACAGCCCCCATCTGAGGTCAGGGCCCCCTTGTGCTGGAATCATAGAATCATAGAATATCAGGGTTGGAAGGGACCTCAGGAGGTCATCTAGTCCAACTCCATGCTCAAAGCAGGACCAGTCCCCAATTAAATCATCCAGCCAGGGCTTTGTCAAGCCTGACCTTAAAAACTTCTAAGGAAGGAGATTCTACCACCTCCCTAGGTAATGCATTCCAGTGTTTCACCACCCTCCTAGTGAAGAAGGTTTTCCTAATATCCAACCTAAACCTCCCCCACTGCAACTTGAGACCATTACTCCTTGTCCTGTCCTCTTCTACCACTGAGAATAGTCGAGAACCATCCTCTCTGGAACCACCTCTCAGGTAGTTGAAAGCAGCTATCAAATCGCCTCTCATTCTTCTCTTCTGCGGACTAAACAATCCCAGTTCCCTCAGCCTCTCCTCATAAGTCATGTGTTCCAGACCCCTAATCATTTTTGTTGCCCTTTGCTGGAATCTCTCCAATCCACATACTTCTTGTAGTGTGGGGCCCAAAACTGGACACAGTACTCCAGATGAGGCCTCACCAATGTCGAATAGAGGGGAACGATCACATCCCTTGATCTGCTCGCTGTGCCCCTACTTATACATCTCAAAATGCCATTGGCCTTCTTGGCAACAAGGGCACACTGCTGACTCATATCCAGCTTCTCGTCCACTGTCACCCCTACGTCCTTTTCCGCAGAACTGCTGCCTAGCCATTCGGTCCCTAGTCTGTAGCTGTGCATTGGGTTCTTCCGTCCTAAGTGCAGGACTCTGCACTTATTCTTATTGAACCTCATCAGATTTCTTTTGGCCCAGTCCTCCAATTTGTCTAGGTCCCTCTGGACATTGTACATACCCAATCCCTGGCCCAAACACCTTACAATCTCAGCTGACCAGACAGACAAAGGAAATAGGGCTGTCAAGCGATTAAAAAAATTCATTGTGATTAATCGTGCAATTTAAAAAAGTAATTGTGATGAATTGCATGATTAATCGCACTGTTAAACAATAATAGAATACCATTTATTTAAATATTTTTGGATGTTTTCTACATTTTCAAATATATTGATTTCAATGACAACACAGAATACAAAGTGTACAGTGCTCACTTGCACTGTAAAAAAACAAAAGAAACAATATTTTTCAATTCACCTCATACAAATTCTGTAGTGCAATCTCTTTATCGTGAAAGTGCAACTTAGAAATGTAGAATTATGTACAAAAAAATGGTTTATTTTTTAATGCAATGTAAAACTTTAGAGCCTACAAATCTACTCAGTCCTACTTCTTGTTCAGTCAATCACTCAGACAAACAAGTTTGTTTACACTTTCAGGACATAATGCTGCCCCCTTCTTATTTACAGTGTCACCTGAAAGTGAGAACAAGCATTCGCATGGCACTGTTGTAGCCAGCATCGCAAGATTTTTACATGCCAGATGCGCTAAAGATTCATATATCCCTTCATGCTTCAACCACCATTCCAGAGGACATGTGTCCATGCTGATGATGGGTTCTGCTCGATAATGATCCAAAACAGTGCGCACCGACGCATGTTCATTTTCATCATCTGAGTCCGATGCCACCAGCAGAAGGCTGATTTTCTTTTTTAGTGGTTCAGGATCTGTAGTTTCCGCATCAGAATGTTGCTCTTTTAAGACTTTTGAAAGCATGCTCCACACCTCGTCCCTCTCAGATTTTGGAAGGTACTTCAGATTCTTAAACCTTGGGTCGAGTGCTGTAGTTATCTTTAGAAATCTCACATTGGTGCTTTCTTTAAGTTTTGTCAAATCTGCAGTGAAAGTGTTCTTAAAATGAACATCATCTGAGACTGCTATAACATGAAATATATGGCAGAATGTGGGTAAAACAGAGCAGGAGACATACAATTCTCCCCCACGGAGTTCAGTCACCAATTTAATTAATGCATTCTTTTTTTAATGAGCGTCATCACCAAGGAAGCATGTCCTCTGGAATGGTGGCCTAAGCATGAAGGGGCATACAAATGTTTAGCATATCTGGCAAGTAAATACTTTGCAATTCCAGCTACAAAAGTGCCACGTGAATGCCTGTTCTCAGTTTCAGGTGACATTGTAAATTAGAAGCGGGCAGCATTATCTCCCATAAATGTAAAACAAACTTGTTTGTCTTAGCAGTTGGCTGAACAAGAAGTAGGACTGAGTGGACTTGTAGGCTCTAAAGTTTTATATTGTTTTGGGTTTTAATGCAGTTATTTTCCCAGAGCAAATATTTGTAATAAATAAATATAAAGTGAACACTATATACTTTGTATTCTGTGTTGTAATTGAAATCAATATATTTGAAAACGTAGAAAAACATCTAAAACTATTTAATAAATTTCAATTGGTATTCTATTGTTTAACAGAGTGATTAAAACTGCAATTAATCATGATTAATTATTTTAATTTTGTAATTTTAATTTTTTGAATTAATTGTGTGAGTTAACTGCGATTAATCAACAGCCCTAAAAGGAAGTGTCACTCCCTCTTTTGCAGATAGGGGACTAAGGCACAGGGGGAATAAGTGACTTGCCTGAATTCACACAGGAAACCTGTGGCAGAGCCAGGAGCTGAACCCAGGTCACATGAGTCCCATAACCACAAGATCCTCCTGCCTTTCCTCTGGTTTCATGATTCTCTTACCATATTGTTTCATTGACCTGGGTAGAATCTTTGTGTTGGCATAAAAAAAAACAACCCTAGGCATTATGTCCCTTGGTTTCCAAAGAGCATAGTACATGAAGTTCGTACATCCCACCTGACGTAACTGGTGGTACTTTCCCTACATGCCCACAGCTTTCCACCAGGCCTATAGTTTCTTCAGTAGGGACGTAGATGGCAGTATTGACCTAGAAGGCTTGGAGATGACTGCAAAGAAGCTGGGGATTAGTTTAACCGAACAAGAGGCCTACGATGAACTGTCATATGCTGATATGGATGGTGAGTGTACACAATCATTCCTGATTTAGCCCACAGTGGTACATTCCAAGGGTCTGTGTTTGTGAGTGTGTGGTGTTGTGCTCCCTTGAAACTCCTGGCACTGGGGGAGAGCAGGGTGTGGTGCTAGACACTCTTCCTACATGTCACATGAAGCAGTCCCTGCCCTGGGGAGTTTACAGTCTAAATAGGCAAGATAGAGGGTAAGAGGAAGGAAGGATTAGGTCGGCATTTGGTGATTTGCCAGAGGCAACCCAGCGAGTCTGTGACAAGCTGGGAACTTGCACCAGCTCTTCCGCGTGCCTTTAACTCATCATCTCCTGCACCTGGTTACAGAACGTGACTCCTGTAGGGAGTACAAAGAAAGCACATTAAGGCTACATCAAGGGTGAGATCTCAAAGCCTCGAAAACCAGGAGCTGAGAGAGTTAAAGGTGCCACAACATCCTGACCTCTGCCCCCTGGGCCCTGGGCATTGGGATGAGGGGGTCCATCGCTTGCTGTCTGGCAGAGGTTTTTGCTAACTCCAGCTGGAGCAGTGGAGGGCCCGGTCTGTTACAAAGTGAGAGACCAACTCAGTGTGAAAGCAGGGCTCTTGCAGGGGAAATGGGCAAAGTGGTGGGCAGGTGGGGGCAGCTGTGCACAGGGCTAGCTCCAGGATGGGCAGGGAGTGCACGAGGCTGACAACATGCTGATCCAAAGGGGTAGGGGCCAAGGGAGGATGGGACTATGCCCGCCTCTTCATTAGGCAGCTCTGTGAAGGGCACCATGTGAATGGGTAATGGGAGTTTGCCCTGCAGCTGTGGCTGCTCCCTCAAGAGGAATCCTGGCTGAGTCCACAAGAATTCTTCCTTGGGCTGCCCTGACATTAGCACACATCACTCACACACACACACAAGGAGCCCAGACTAGAACCCCAGTCTTTCTGCTCCCAGAACCGCCCCTCTGCCAGCCAAGCTAAAGGACACCTCCCTCAGCAAGCATCCAAAGCAAGTCCCCCTGTGTCCTCTCTGTGACAACACAGACTCATACATACCCTCATACCCTCCTCAGCCCTTTCCAATGCAGCCAGTGGCTTAAAGCCACATTTGGGCCCAAAATGTATTGGCCCCTTTGGTTTCAAACTGGGATTCACTAAGGTTTTCTTCTCTTGTAGTCCTCCCCCCGCACAGCCCTCCCCCCTCCCATGCACACAGGTCAGAAGCAGGCCAGCCATACAGCTATCACTATGGGCCCTACCAAATTCACGGTCCATTTTGGTCAATTTCACGGTCATAGGATTTTAAAAATAGTAAATTTCATAATTTCAGCTATTTAAATCTGAAATTTCACAGTGTTGTAATTATAGGGATCCTGCCCCCAAAAGGGGTTGTGGGTGGGTGGGTTTCACAAGATTATTGTGGGGGGGGGTTGCAGTACTGCTACACTTACTTCTGCGCTGCTGCTGGCTGCAGCGCTGCCCTCAGAGCTGGCCAGCTGCAGAGCGGCGGCTGCTGGCCGGGAGCCCAGCTCTGAAGGCAGATCCGCTGCCAGCAGCAGTGCAGAAGTCAGATTTCATGGGGGGGAGACCGGATTTCATGGTCCACGACATGTTTTTCATGGTTGTAAATTTGGTAGGGACCTAGCTATCACTCTCTGACACAGGCTCTCTTGAGCAGCATGGCCTCAGAACTTAGACAGACCCATGCTGATGACAACCAACCGAGTGAGGGAGGTATTATTATGCACTTGTCTAGCGTGGATCTTAGCAACAGAGCCCCTTCTCCACCAGCACTCAGGGGAAGGTGGTTGTAGCCAACCTGGCCTGGAGTAGGCCCATCACTACCCTGTCCCTGGGGTGAAAGGTGCTTGATCAGTGGGAAATGCTGTTTACCTTGCAGGAGATGGGAAGGTGAACTTCTCTGATTTTCTGACCATTATCAGCGACAACAAGCGCTTCATCCAGGCTATAGGTGAGTGCGGTGAACCGGGCCCAGCCAATGGGATTGGCCACAGTCCCCCCGGCGATGTTAGTGTGTGGCCAGAAAATCCCACTTGCATAGAGGCATTGGTGTTTCCTGAACCTTCGGGCAATTGGGAGTTCACATGATGTGGACTCGGACATCAGCATCTGGGGTACCACAAAGAACGAGCTCGCGCACAGCAGGCCCCCATTCGAAACAGCTGTACAAAGCCTTGACCATCCAGCTCAGGGGAGGAGGCAGCTGCTGAGCTCCATGCTGAGGGGCCTGTGGGCACAGAGAAGGGTGCAGGCACTGGCAGAACTCCCCAAGGTAGCCTGGCTCATGAGGAGGAATCACCAGGAAAGGGGAGTGATGACGGGGAGCCCAGGGACCCTGGGGCCTATAAGCAGGGTTCAGATAGCCAGGCTGTGCTCCACATACTCAATCTGAGTCTCTCTGGCTGGAATACCAGGACCAAATCTGCATCTTCCAAAGCGTAGGGGAGCAGCATTATCTGGAGATACTGTGCTTCCTTGGGCGATGGGAGAGGGCCGTGAGAAGTACCCCTTGCTAGGTGTAGCTAGCACTTGCCCCAGTGCACCAGGCAGGAGACATGCTCCCACACACGCATACACCATACTTGCTCAGACAAAATGTTGTTGGAGGTTCCTGGTGCTGACTGGGGTCTCTGAAGGAGATGGGTTGGTGGGGTGGGCGCTCTGATTGACATGCATCTCCTCCCCAGCCCCCGAGAAAGGCAGCATGGAGGACCTTGATTCCGTCGACGCCTCAGGAATCCTGTTCTTTGAGGTCCTGTCAAAGCTGGTGGAAATGTCAGCTCTGCCAAGGAAGGCCATGCTTGAAATAGTCAGGTGAGTGCTAAAAGCTCTAGCAAGGTCTCCAAAGAGGGGAAAGGAGATCTCCATTTCATAGGCTCGGCAGACTCAAACAGCGGGCCCAGGGCCAGACTTACAAAAGTATTTAGGCACCTAAAAATGCAGCTAGGCACCTAATGGGGTTAACAAAAGCACCTAGGTGAGTTAGGTCCCAAACTTGATTGGAAGTCAATGGAAATTAGGCCTCTAACTCACTTAGGCACCTAGTGGAATTTACAGTAGTGGTTATCTGCATCTTTCCGTACCTAAATACCTTTGTAAATCTGGCCCCAGTTCTTTAGGCACATAAGTGAGCAGTGTACCTGTGTAGGCAAGGGCAGCCATATAAATGAGGACAAAACAGGGCCCTGTAGATGTATTTCATACCTCCCCCCGCTGCCCCCTGGAGAACAAAAACACACCTGTTCTATCTGCCGTATGGCACACACCAAAAAGCATATCCCTCTTCTCTACGTAGCCCTTATGACCTTACCTCCAGAACAGTGCCTAAGCCTCCCAGTCTGGCTGCTTGCATCAAGCTGGAGCGTTGTCTGCCGGATTCTCCTTGGCAAGCTACACCTTTCCAGGGTATGAAAGATGAGGATGGCTACAGGCTGTGTGAAGGAAAGCTGTGGGTAGCGGGGGCCGACCTCCGGGCTAAATCAGGATCGGCAACCTATCTTTAAAGGTGACTTGCAAAGAAAAAGAGGTGCTGTGGTTTGCTTCCTTATGATGGGTAGAGAAGGCCTAGAAAGGATTTTTTCACCCTTTAGGAGTATGGTTTTCAAGTCTTGCCTGTGCGGGTCTGGTTGGAGGACTTGGAGGTATGATCTCAGAGCTTTCTCTGCCCTTATCAGCAGGGCGGGGAGCTGAATCCTTAAGACAGAGAGCCCTTCTCCCAAGTGTTTTAAGATGCTTTGGAAAAACAAGGGCGCTAGACTCGGTTACTCTTCCTCTCAATGAACCGTCTCTTCCGCCATGAGCAGTCTTAACAGAAATCAGCAGGGTACAGTGCTATTCAGCCTGCACCAGGGTATCCCAATGGGATCCAAAGAGCGTTAATCAATCTGAGTAGAAATCCCTTCCTTCTCATGGTGAATCAGGATTCTGTTTCTAGATATTGCAGGTACCATAATCCGACCAGTTCTCCAGCTGTCCACAGAGTCTCCAAGGAGACGTAAGAGCTGAATTTATGCTAAAGTTAAAAAAAATTAAAAATAGGGAAAAAAAAGTTTCAAATCCTCCCCAGCCTCCTCTATGCAACATAAAGCAGGAAAAGGACACAAGCTCCATTCCCCTTTGCTAGCCCCCTTTAAAGAAGGCGAAAAGGGCTGTTCACTGGTTATAGCTGTCCTGTGTGCAGAGTGTTCGGTGACACTGCGCCATCTTTTGTCTTCTAGTTACTACCGGCAGAAGTTCCTGGCGTCCACTGGCAAGCGGGCCTGGATAGATGCTGGCAACTTAATGGATCATGGGAAGGGACTCCACACGCTCAAAAAAGCCCCGACTCCTCAGAGAGGCAAAGTCACTCCTATGTCTGCCTTTGCAGGTGCTGCCCGCATCTCAGTGATGAATGACAAAGAGCTGGAAGCCTATGTGGAAACCCTCAGGGGTAAGAACTGCACGTGGCTCAGCCACTTGTGTTTGTGTGTCTGAGTGGCACCTCCACTGAAATTCCCAAAGAGGCAGAAGGCCCATTTGGGGGTCACTGCTATTCACTGCAGCATCCTAAGTCCCCTCTCCCTACTGGACTTTTGGGCTTTGGATCAGGGCCTAGGTTAGCAAACATTTTTTTGCTACCTGCACCCACGCAAAATAGACACTGCTTGGACTCCTCTGGGGACTGCACAAAGACATGAGTGACAGGAGGAAGCATAATCTTGTAGTGAAAGTGCAGGACTCCTGGGTTCTCTTCCCAGCTGTGCCACAGACTCATTGGGTGATCTTGGGCAAATCACTTCAGATTTATAGAAGTGGCCACTGATTTGGGATGCCTCCAAGCCAGGACTAGAACCCAGATTTGCCAGTTCCAGATCGCTTATTCGATGAGAAATCAAATGGGGGGGGGGGACTCTTCCAGGCTCCACCCACAAAATAAGCTCCACCCCTGTGAATCACCAGACTGACACCTTTCAAATGATCAAAATATGATCATCTGTTCTTTGAGCTGCACAGGGCACCTTGAACGTAGTTCCCCCTTCAGTGGGGCTTGAGTATGCCTCTGGGCTCTTTAGATTTGCTTCTTTCTTGATTGATAAAAAAAAAAATAGTCTCTCCCAGATGCCACCCATTGATGGCACCAAAATGGGAAGTCACTCACAATAAATTGTGTAGATCTCCTTTCTTACATGAGGAATGAAATCGTTGACACATGCATTATCAGAATGGTCACCATGTAGAATAAACATAAAATGGGAGAATTAAAGTTAGCTTAAGTTTGGTTAAAGAAATAGGGGTTGTAAAGAAAGGTCTTGAAAGTAAAGAGTTATAAGGCTCGTAGGAATGAAGTAGGGAGGCCGTCTGGTTCAAAGGATAACTAATGAGATAAGGGGAAGTCTCTAAAAAGGCTTCTGACCAGTACGGGTGACTGGTTTTAATAAGACAAAGAGAATCTGTTTCAAAAAGAGCCAACATGGCCCTTCCCACCGCACACACCAATGTTATCTCAAAAAACAGGGCCTATGTTAACCCAGATACAAAGGAAAACCTGTGTGTCAGCAAGAAGGAGGGGAAGAGATAAGGAGGAAAGGCCTTGGGGAGAAAGGAGGTTGTAATCTTGTCTGGATTAAGACTGGAAATAAGGGTGAACTGTCTCCAGTTGGCTTTTACCTGAAGTCAGTAATTGGCAATGACATCACTCGTTTGTTAAAGGGTACAAAAAAGTAAACTCTTCAAGGGTTCGTTGCTAATACTACCTGCCCACATCGGAGCGAACCAATATGCGTCTAAGCACCCTTGGGTGTTTAGCCCATTTGTAAGTATCTTGATCAAATGCTTATAAATGTTTTGTTACTGTTTGGATGTAGTAAATTGCTTATTATTCAGGCTTTGTAGGCATGTTTAGAGCAGTTGTATAAATACCTTTCAGCCTCTGGATTTAATAAAGGAATTCATGATAATATCCTGCGTAAACAATAATTCCAACACACCACTTAGCCCAAAGGAACCTTAAATAACTGCTTAGTTCTTCTTGGTGGCTGCTCAGTGTATAATAGCTCATGGGCTACCAAGGAGTCCATCTCCAGTTCTTAGGACCTATGGCTAAGACTTTCAGAGGTGGCCTCTAATTTGGATGTCTCCATTTATGGTTTCCCAACTTTAGATGCTTGTGGGTTGATTATTCAGAGGTCCTGAGCACCCACAACTCTTTGCCTACAGCTGGAATAGTGGGGGCTCAACATTTCTGAAAATTAGGTACTAGATCTGTAAAGTTGGGCACCCAAAATCAGAGGCTACTGGCTCATATTTTCAATGTGTTTTACGGAAAGTAAGGTACAAAAAAGGAGAAAAAGTGAATAGGGGAGATCTCAGAATGTGTGTAGTCCTGCCTTGGTTGGATTGGTCATAGAATGGGAAGAGCCAAAGGCTAGAAAACAGATGGTGGGTACTGTGTCCAATAAGTGATATCCGTTGTTTTCTTTGCCCCTTTGCTAGCAAGCACTGTCCCCTCCGACAGTCCTTATGCTCAGGTACCCATCTTCCCATTGCTTCCCAACCGGGATGGAATGACAGTACCGAAGCCAAAAAAAGACTTACAGAAGCTGGAGATGCAGAGAAGGAAAGAGCCTATATCATCGTTTGAAAACCACTTTTTCCGTAAAAGAAACTGGCTGCGCGAGGTAAGATAAGGAAGCAGTTAATCTATGTAATAACAGATGACGCACAAGGGCAAGTCAAGTCTGAGTTGTTGTGCTGTAGACTCTTCCCCATTGAAATGTGTGGGGTTAGCACACATCCTTTCAACACTTACATTCCCTTGGACTAAGTGGGTCAAATTCAATGATGTCAATGGGGCATGACTCTGCGTAAGCCTGGAGTTGTCTAAGGTGATGTAATATACACATTGAGGGTGACGGAAGGAAGTGTAAATTACACAAACTTAACTTCCATTTAGACCTTTTTAGAGTCATCACTGAATACGGCCAACAGAAAATTGTTCCCAGAAATGTTCTTGAAATTAATCTATGAGTACTGTGTAGTTTACCCTGCAGTTGGTGCAGCTGGCATACTGTGGCTGTATATATGTTCGAGATTAGATAAAGTGGGGAATTCTGGTGGTTTGTATATCTGGCATTCACCAGAGGTATAATGGATAGAATAGCTCTCCCCTTTGCAGCCCAGAAAGCCTGATACCTCTGGGTGACTATTCCAGGTAAGACAGGACACACTTTTACAAGGAAGCAAATACCCTTGATTTCTCTTAAACATATTAGGCTGGCTGAAAAGGGTGTGGGTTTGATTCCTGTCCTAAAAGATTTGAGGCAGGAGAGTCTGTCTGAATTCCCCCATGTTCCCATCTGCCACAGATATAAAGAATATATGATAACATGATCACCTGATGGGTTGTCTTGATGGGATGATTAAAGGAATGAACCCTGCCACGAATGCAGAAGAGAACAGCCGGCTGTCCGTCCCACAAAACAGCCTTGGTTTCTCACTTCCCAATCTCAAGATATGATCAAGTGACCCAGACCACACAAGACACTTACTGAGGATGTCTACTTTCTCTGTTATCCTCTGCAACACACACCCTGAGACATGTGGACAGCTGATGGGAAATCATGGCTGTGCATGACAACACTGAAAGATCTTTTCCAAGCAGCAGGCTGTGCTCCCTCCTCTTGGGGACAGTACTGGTGCATAGCAGTACTGGAAGTAGATAGGGCCAAACCCTGCTCTTGTATATTGCAGTGTAAATCTAGACTAGTAACCCCATTGACTTCAATGGATTTAGTCTGGATTTACACCAGTGTAACTGAGAGGAGAATTTTGCCTTGTACATATGCTCTGGTACCCTTGCATTGCTGAGCTAGAGCTAATCAGATCTCATACTTCAGCCTGGCTGCTGCAGGAAGGAATTTCCCCAAATGTGATACACTAAACAATTGGCCAGGTGCAGTAGAGAGGGTTTTGTTGTCCCTGAAAGCAGTAGGTCACAGCCACTGCCTGAAGCAAGAGGCCTGTCTTGATGGACCATTGGTAAAGCCTCTCTTTCTGTCTTTTTCAATCAGGGAACTGCGTTCAAACTTCCTGCTTCCTTCAGAGACCGGAAAAACGCCCTTAGTCTCAGCCCTCACTTGATGGAGAGGCAACACCGTTTGACTATAGAAGACCTGCGTGAGATACGACTAGATGTGAGTATGAAGTCTACCACCCCTTCCAAAGAATTCCTCCCTCTTTTGTCTCTGGTATTTTAGGAGATAACCAGTTTTACACTCCATCAGATCCTCGCCAATCAAACACAAGGCATTAGGAAGGGCCTATGGGGTCCCTTTCATCACCAGGGCACTAGTTTGGATGCTGACTGGGTTGCTAGCAATGAAAAGATGGCTATTTTGTGGCCTTTATAAAAAGAGTTCAGTCCTGGTGAAGTGGGGTCACATCACATGAACCAGCATCCATCCCAGCTGGCCTCATTGTTCTCCTTTTCGGAGGTCAAAGGAGATGGCTGTGGCCACCTAATACTACCCTTTCACCTAGCAGCCATCCCGTCAAGGTAGGGCTGAGACACGAGTGAGGGGCAGCATACGGATGTTTGCATTGCCATACTGCCCAAGCTATAGAGAAAGGACTTCAGCTCCCAGTGCTGTCAATCTGATTCCTTCCAGACAGAGAATAAGCAATGTCTCTCTGGAGTTTTGCTTGTTGAAATATAAAGCTGCTTAGTATATGGAACAAATTCAGACCTGATGTAAGCAAATCCTCTGCCACTGAAATTGCTGGACATGCGAGGTGCTCAGCATCTCTGAAAATCAGACCACTTTTATAGGGACTTAATTTTAAGTACTCAGATTGGAAACTCTGGCCCTGAGGTCCTCACTGCTCTGCATGGGCATTAAAGATTCCATCTGCTATTTTCTGTAACAGAGGAGCTGACTCAGTCTATTTGACTTCCCTCCCCTCAAATTGTTCACAACTTTTCAGACTGATTGCTGCCCTCTACCCCCAAAGGTGGCTGCATTTCAGTGGTGCTTTGAAGCCCTTTGAGACAAAAGGTGCTACAGAAATGAATGATTGTCAGTAACTCAGATAGTACAAATTACTGGGTTGCTGCTGCTTCTCCATACCCCTGTTCCACCCTGATTGTCTCCTGGCAACAATTCCTCCTCTCCCAGAGGCATATGCAAGAGTTAGGAGCAGCAAGTACAAATACATTTGGATATTACCACTTAGATACAGAAGCAAGGGGATGGGGACCTTAGAAATATTGTAAGAACTGGGGTATATGCACAACCCTTTATAATACAGTGACTGTAGTTACACTGAAGTTCCAGTGTAGTTACAAGGTGTAACCCATACAATTAATTTTCTGGTGAAAGGATTTTAACTAAGGATCTGTATTACTTCTTAGTAATTTCAAAGAATTGCATGAAGTGTGAAACCAAAGGGATAATAATAAATAAGTCAGTTAATCTTTCAGTTACATAAATTGGTGATATTTACTGGCATCTAATTGCCGTCAGTGCTTGATAAAGGGCATCCAGGATCTTTTTTTGACAACCTCACACTTCCCATCTGTGAGACTTCTGCAGTAGCTGGTTTCCATTTGGGTAAAGATCTGGCTCCATGCTATTCTGCAGCCTATTTCAACCTCCATCTCTTCTCCATAGGTGAAGAAGGTAACTGAAATGTACAAGCAGGGGATGGCACTCAAGGAGAGGAACAGGATGCTAAGACTGTGGCGGAGGTTGCATGGTGGCCAGATTGGGCTGGAGTCAGGGAACCACAGTTTCTACCACACTTTCTCCACCTACTCGTGGTCGTGGAACACTCACCAGGAGCTGGTGACACCTAACGAACTTCAGCACTACGATAACAAACTGTACCGCAGAGAACATTCCTCAGCCTGCTCTGATGACAGCGAAGTAAAGGGTGGGATAAGGAAAGGAAAAGAAAGGAAATGAGAAGAGCGAGCCATGCTGCTCCATTTTCTTAATATCACTGTTGACTACTATCATCCTCCCCACCCCATTCTTTTCCCCATAACAGTCTCAGGCTCTTACACAGGTCTGTCCGAGGGTAGGAAAGAGAACCGTTTCCCCTTTGCATACTGGCTAATACAATGAGAATTAAAAGAGAAACATGTTTTTCTTCTATCGGTCTCAGCTCTTTCTCTGTAACAATCACTGAATTCAGGAATATCACTATAGGGGTTACACAAGAGGATAGATTTGGGGGTGGGGTGTCAAGATTCCTCTATTCTATTCCTAGCTCTGCCACTGACTTTCTGTTCCTTGGTTTTCCCATCTCTGAAGGGGGGCTCACACCTACCTCAGAGGGAGGGAAGCTGTAGGGGATTCAATGACTGATGACCAGGGCTGTCAATTAATCGCGATTAACTCAAAAAATTAACTGCAGTTTAAAAAAATTAATTGCAATTAATTTCACTGTTAATAGAATACCAATTGAAATTTATTAAATAGTTTTTCTACATTTTTGAATATATCAATTTCAATTACAACGCAGAATAAAGCATACAGTGCTCACTTTCTATTATTTTTATTACTAATATTTGCAGTGTAAAAATGATAAACAAAAGAAACAGTATTTTTCAGTTCACCTCCAAGTACTCGCAAAAAGAAAAGGAGGACTTGTGGCACCTTAGAGACTAACCAATTTATTTGAGCATGAGCTTTCGTGAGCTAGTGAGCATGAGCTTTTTCGTGAGCTACAGCTAGCTCACGCTCAAATAAATTGGTTAGTCTCTAAGGTGCCACAAGTCCTCCTTTTCTTTTTGCGAATACAGACTAACAGGGCTGTTACTCTGAAACCTCCAAGTACTGTAGTGCAAATCTCTTTATCATGAAAGTGAAACTTACAAATGTAGATTTTTTTGTTACATAACTGGACTCAAAAACAAAACAATGTAAAACGTTAGCGCGTACAAGTCCACTCAGTCCTACTTCTTGTTCAGCCAATCGCTCAGACAAAGAAGTTTGGTTACAGCTGCAGGAGACAATGCTGCTTGCTTCTTGTTTACAATGATACCTGACAGCGAGCACGGGCATTTGCATGACACTGTTGTAGCCAAGGTTGCAAGATATTTACGTTCCAGATGCACTAAAGATTCACATGTCCCTTCATGCTTCAGCCACCGTTCCAGAGGACACGTGTCCAGGCTGATGATGCTCGTTAAAAATTAATTAAATGTGTGCCTGCCCTCCTGGGGGAGAACGGTATGTCGCCTGCTCTGTCAGGGCAGCTGTCACATGGGGGGAAAAGGAGCAGCCGGGCCCTTGCTCCCTGAAACCAAAGGCTGTGCGATGGGGGCTGGGTGACCCCACTGCTCTGGGTGGGACGGGCCCCTAGTCCCCCTTGCCCCACGTGGGACACATGACACGGGTGGGCGGTGACCTCACTGCTCGTGGGGCTGATCCCCCGCCCGGGGCCCGGCACGTGCGCGCGCAGGCGGCGGGCGGGAACTGGCGCGAGGGCGGGCGGGGCCCGCTGTTCCCGCCCTTCCCAGGCCGCCTGCTGGCCAAGGTAGTTCTCTCTCCGGTCGGACGGCGGGGGTCAGGCGGCGGGTTCCGGTTCCGGGTCGCGCAGCCTGTCATGGCGGCGCCCAGCGGGCCGGGGGAAGAGGCGGCGGCGGTGGCGGCCCCTGGGAGGAGGCAGCCGTTCGGGAGCCGCTTTCTGACCGACCCGAGCCGGCTCTTCCAGCACAACGCCTGGTGAGGGGACCCCCGCCGCCCCGAGAGCCGCCCTCGGGGTGGGCCGAGCCGAGACAGCCGCCCTGGGGGGAACGACCCCCCCCTTTCTGCGAGCAGCTTCCCCCTGCCCGGGGGGCACCCACCCCCCACCACGCGCAGCCCGACCCCCAGCCCCGGGGGGCGCAGACACCCTCCTGCCGGCAGCGCCCCCCCCAGCCCCGAGGGGTACTGATTCCCCCCTGTCTGTGCACTTGTGCAGACTCCCCCAGCCCTTGGGGGTCACTGACATCCCCTGCACACAGCACCCCCCAGCCCTGGAGTCACCAAACGACCCCCAGTCCAGAGAGGCAATGATCCACTTCTCTGTGCGCTCACACAGCCTCCCCCCACGCACAACCTCCCCCGGCCCAGTGGGCACTGACACCCCCCATGCGCAGCCCGACCCCCAGCCCCGAGGGGTACCGATCCCCCCTCTGTGCACTTGCGCAGACTCCCCCAGCCTGGGGGGCACCGACCCCTCACCACACGCAACCAGATCTCCAGCCCCAGGGGCACTGACAACCCCCAGCCCTGAGGGGCAATGATCCACTCCTCTGTGTACTCACGCAGCCCCGGGGGGGCGGCACAAACATCCCCCTCCACACACACACACATACGCACCCTCCCCCAGCCTGGTGGGCACTGACACTCCCCACGCACAGCCTGACCCCCCCCCCCCCAGCCTCGAGGGGCATCCTGCGAAACTGGGAGAACTGCCCCCCTTTCCACGTGCGCACAGTTCTCCCCCCTAGGCCCCAGGGGAACCAAGCCCCCACCCGCCTTTCCGTGCAGACCATCCTGCCCCAGGGGAACCAAGCACCCCTGATGGGAACTGTTCCTTCTCTCCAACTGCACAACCCGTCTCCCTCCTCACTTGATGGTAGGGTGACCAGATGTCCTGATTTTATAGGGACAGTCCTGATTTTGGGGTCTTTTTCTTATATAAGCGCCTAATACCCTCGACCCCCGTCCCGATTTTTTTACATTTGCTGTCTGATTACCCTACTTGGTGATCCAGTTTTGGATTATGTGACTCAAAGGCGCTTCATAAATGTAAATCCTCAATTTCCTGTTTCCAGAAATGAGGCATTCTTAGGGATCTACTGTTCTGTTTCTTTAAGTCTTTTGTCTCTATCAAATAGTATTGAAAGAATAACCCATTTTAGGTCCTGAATAATTCTGCTAGGCCCCTACATTTCTTTGTCCTGTCTCCTTTGCATCATCTTGCTTCGCTCTTTTTAAATTATCACTTACTTTAATGCCTGCGCAGCTGTGTATGCACATTGAAACTGTCAACATGTTTTTAACATCTGAAAGTTTCCCTGTATCCAGTGCTATCTCTAGGGTATTCATGCATATTGTTCAATATTAAATCTGTGTATGAATTAAAGCAATTTAGTACATGACAGGAGTATTGTCTGCTTTGTCAATAAAGGGTGCCTATTTGTATCAAATGTGATAGTGATTTTGTGGTGTGGATTTGTGTCCATTGAAACTGGATGGGCATCCAAAACCATTCACATACACCTCTGAACAGCCATCACATGTTATGTGATCAGCTTTAGATCACTACCTAACTGGCCCAGAGTTGAATTGGAGACCTATAGATGAAAACCCTATTATAACCAGTTCAGTGAGCCGTCTAATTCCCTCCCTTTGTTTGCTTATTAAGAGTGGTTTTGGTTCTTAATTTACCAGATATTGAAATGCTGTTGCACTGCCAGCAGCCCCCCTCCCCCCCGCCATCTTAACCTTCCTAGCTAAAGCGGCAAAGAGTCCTGTGGCAATAATGTCTGTTAGTCTATAAGGTGCCACAAGAGTCTTTGCCACTTTTACAGATCCAGACTACTCTTCTGATACCTTCCTAGCTAAGTAGCTTATTTTATTTTTCCTAACAGGGATAATGTAGAATGGTCTGAAGAGCAGGAAGCCAGTGCAAGGAACAAAGTTCAAGAGAACAGCAGGCAGCTTGTTCCACAAGACAAACAAGGTACTTCTAGATGTCACTCTATTTCTTACAAATCTTGACGTATCAATACAATAGCTGACTATTCTAGCCAAAAACAAAGATTCATCTTCATTTATTCCCCCCCCCAAATTTTCCAAAACTGCTGATTTTAAAGACTCAAAAAGAAAAGGAGTACTTGTGGCACCTTAGAGACTAACCAATTTATTTGAGCATGCGCTTTCGTGAGCTACAGCTCACTTCATCAGATGTATACCGTGGAAACTGCAGCAGACTTTATATACACACAGAGAATATGAAACAATACCTCCTCCCACCCGGTATACATCTGATGAAGTGAGCTGTAGCTCACGAAAGCTCATGCTCAAATAAATTGGTTAGTCTCTAAGGTGCCACAAGTACTCCTTTTCTTTTTGCGAATACAGACTAACACGGCTGTTCCTCTGAAACCTGTCATTATTTAAAGACTCAGAGACTGTTTAGTATGTGCCACTAGATGCCTTTAGAACTTTTCCCATAACTCATCCCATTAGACTTTAATGATAGGTTTCAGAGTAGCAGCCGTGTTAGTCTGTATCTGCAAAAAGAACAGGAGTACTTGTGGCACCTTAGAGACTAACAAATTTATTAGAGCATAAGCTTTTGTGGGCTATAGCCCACTTCATTGGATGCATAGAAAGGAACCTATAGTAAGAAGATACATACATACAGATAAGTTGGAAGTTTCTATACAAACTGTGAGAGGCTAATTAGTTAAGATGAGCTATTATCAGCAGGAGAAAAAAGCTTTTGTAGTGATAATCAAGATGGCCCATTTAGACAGTTGACAAGAAGATGTGACTTTAAGTGATCTTGGCTGGGAGGATCACTTTGGCCTTGAACTCCCTTGTTGATGTTTTATGTATTAATAGGAAATGCCATAAATCATATAAACAAACTTCTCCACTGGGAGAAGGGCAAGGGGCTGATTCTGTTCTGCCTTCATGGCTGTCTATCTGTCTAGCAGCTTAATGACTTCTAACATTTAATCTTCAAGTTCCTTGCATCATGATACGTTGCTTGTGAAATAAACTCAGTTTTTCTCCTGGTTAAGCTATAGGCAGTATTAGAGGTACCCATATTTATCTGCATTAAGTTAATGGTAATAGTTGAAACAGAGACTAAGAAAAATGTTAGTTTATCCAAGATCATGCATTGAATGATTGGCATCAAATCATAGGATTGGAAGGGATCTCATGAGGTCTTCTAGTCCAGTCCCCTGCACTCAAGGTAGGACCAAGCACTATCTAGACTAGGGGTGGGCAAACTTTTTGGACCGAGGGCCACATCGGGGTTGTGAAACTGTACAGAGTGCCGGGTAGGGAAGGCTGTGCCTCCCCAAACAGCCTGGCCCCTCCTCCTATCCGCCACCTCCCACTTCCCAACCCCTCTGCTCCTTGTCCCCTGACTGCCCCAACCCCTATCCACATCCCTGCCCTCTGACAGGCCCCCCAGGACTCCACTCCCAACCCTCCCTGTTCCCCGTCCCCTGACCGCCCCCCACCTCCACCCCATCCAACCACCCCCTGCTCCCTGAATGCCCCCCTGGGACCTCTGCCCACTTGGGCCAGAGCAGTGGTGGTGTGGCTGTGGGGGAGAGGGAACAGCAGGGGAGGGGCTGGGGACTAGGCTCCCCGGCCAGGAGCTCAAGGGCCGGGCAGGACGGTCCTGCGGGCCGGATGTGACCTGCGGGCCGTAGTTTGCCCACCTCTGATCTAGACCATCCCTAACAGGTGTCTGTCCAACCTACTCTTAAAAATCTCTAATGACAGAGATTCCACAGCCTCCCTAGGCAATTTATTCCAGTGCTTAATTACCCTGTTAGGACATTTTTCCTAATGTCCCATCTAAACTGCACTTACTTCAATTTAAGCCCATTGCCTCTTGTCCTATCCTCAAAGATTAACGAGAACAATTTTTCTCCCTCCTCCTTGTAAGAATCTTTTACATACTTGAAGACTGTTATGTCCCCCCTCAGTCTTCTCTTCTCCAGCCTAAACAAACCCGGTTTATTCAATCTTCCCTCATAGATCATGCTTTGTAGACCTTTAATCATTTTTGTTGCTCTTCTCTGGACTTTCTCCAAATCTTTCCTGAAATGTGGCACCCCGAACTGGACACAATAGTCTAGTTGAGGCCTAATCAGTGTGGTACTAAAGTTCTAAGCTGGTTCTTTCAAATTCCCTTCACTTGCTCAGACCTTGGTGCAGGAGATATTGGCGTATCCATCACTTAAACTCACAGTAGTTATAAAATCTGAATCAAGCTGGAGAAGCATAGCTCTGCAGCTAATGTTTTGGTTAAAGCTGCTCTAAAGTTCACCCAGCACCTTTCCTTTCCTACTCCTCTCCTTTCCTCTCCTACTCCTACTCTCTGCTGTCCTCTGCTATATCTTTCTCTCAAGAGCAAGACTAGGGATTTGGTTGATGTTACTTGTTATATCCCACCTCACACTTGGATGTAGCTAAATAGGAATAGTCTATGTTGGTATTTCTACAGAAGGCTGCTCCTGGGTATCGAGCTGGACTTTCTTCTTTAATTAAAATTAAAGGAGCATGAGTCTATTACATCTGTAAGGCAAAAATGCGATTTCGGATGGGGCTATTCAGGCCCTTTCCATGTAGCATTCCATTGTGTTCACAGTAGCAGGCTTTTTACTATGGCTAAGATTGACCCTCCTAAACGCTTGGGTCTAGATTCTCAAAAGTGCTCAGTACCCAGCAGCAGCAATTGTGATATCCAACATGCTGAGTTCATTTGAAAATTAGGCCATTAGAGAATACGAGAAAACTATCCACTAGCTTTGCTTACTCCTAGAGTAGAGGAGAGATGGTAACTCTGGCACCTCTGTGGGACTTAATATACTGCTATAATTCAGTGCATGGTACTCCGTAGTGGTATTCTAGACAGAATGGAATCCCTGCTGAAGCTCTTGTGATCTAAAGCATGGGTAGCTACACTACAGAGCAGTACAATGCAAAGCTGGATATTAGTTGTTACAGCTGCAGTATCTTGTCGAAGGTGGGCCTTCAGAATTTATTTTGAAGGAGAGGGGAGGGTGTCTGGGAAAGGGTATTAACTAGCTGGGGCATGGAAAAAGCAGTGTGGCTTCCACTCTTTCCCTTTGGAGACAATAATTCATTGTGTCCATGGAGTCTCTGATTCCCTCCTCATCTTCTGTGGCCATTAATTTTTGTTTGGGGACATATTTCATCCAGGAGATTCCTCTCGTGTGAAAGGGTGAGTATGGGCTGGACTTTGGGGGTTGTCCTCACAAGGAAGAGCAGAGAGATCAGGACTTCCAACCAAGGAAAGAGATCTGCAGGAATCCAGCTCACACATGGACGTCGTCTCATACTAGAGTTCTGACTAAAGGGAATATTTTTAAGCATCTTATTTTTAAAGCATAATATTTTTAAGATCTTGAAGCAGGAATTATGGGTGAAGTTCATTGGGCCATGCTGGGAAAACGTCAAATTAGATGATTATAATGGATCTTTCTGGACGTAAAATCTATTTTGTGAGTGATACTTATCAGCTGGTCCTTGATTTCTTGTTCTTACGCTTCTACTAATAGTCTGCGCTGATATGAGGTCTTTGTTGTTTTACAAACAGTAAGTGCCACAACATCTCTGAGGTAGGTAAGGCTTTATACAGGACTGCTAGAAGGACCACCACACTTCTGGGATAGAAAATAACCTCTGTCCAGTAATGCACTGCACTACTGCGTTATTCTTCAGGACAGGAAATGCATAGTATCTCATGCAGTGGCTATCACGGGAGGCATTTAGGTGAGAGGTTCTCAACCAGGCATACAAGTACGCCTTGGGGTATTCAGACGTCTTCCAGGGGTTACACCAACTCATCTATATATTTGCCTAGTTTTACAACAGGCTACACAAAAAGCACCAGCGAAGTCAGTACAGACTAAAATTTCATACAGACAATGACTCATTTATATGGCTCTATATACTATATACTGAAATGTAAGTACAATATTTATATTCCAATTGATTTTATAATTATATGGTAAAAATGAGAAAGTCAGCAATTTTTCAGTGATAGCATGTTGTTACACTTTTGTATTTTTATGGCTGATTTTGTAAGCAAGTAATTTTTAAGTGAGGTGGAGCTTGGGGATACGCAGGACAAATCAGACTCCTGAAAGGGGTACAGTAGTCTGGAAAGGTTGAGAGCCACTGATGTAGGTAATTAGAATGTAGATCGCCAAGTTGAAATCTTGCCAAGATACCAAGGTTATCTTCCCCTACGTGTATGAACATGTGGAATTTTATTAGTACCTCATGTTTTCTCATCTGAAAGATGGCACCACTAGCACTGTACTTCCTTGCCTCCACATTAAGGCATTGGTTCCATGGAGCTTAGGAAAAACCACCAGCTACTGAATCAACAATACCACTTCCTCTGGAACTTTAGTGGTCTTTGTCTCCCATGTTAACACTGAATAGGCTTGACTCTGCTTAGTTTGAGATCTGATTGGATCACAGCATGAGGTTTTGGTTAAACCTGTCAGATGTTAAAATCTCTCTTGACTTGGATCTGAGGGCATGGCTCTTTGAGGCCCTTATAACTGAGATAAAGTTAGAGGGATTATTTTTATATTTAGTAGTTTGTGCTTCAAGATAAATCCTGCTAAAAATACACCCAGAACTGACTTTTCAATTCTTTGCCAAAACAATTTTTTTTCCATTGCCGAAGCCTTCTTTTAGACAGAGACTGCATTTCTCTCCAGACATTTCCAGCCTTCTTTTCTTTATCCTCCTTCAGACCCCTCTTATACAGTTAGGGAGATTCCAGCCTAATTTTCTGTGTCGCAGGCTGGCTCAAGAGTAACTCCAATTTTAATGGATGCCCCTGCTTAAGCCTTCTATCCTTGGTGGGTGGTAGAGAAATAGAATGAGAACTGTAGAAGAGGGTGAGTAATCATAATCGTAGGTGAATTTTCTGAGTTCAGTAAATAACAAGTTACTGTCCAAAGTTGTTTAAGGGCTTGCATGTTGTTGAAATGCAGTTGGAGTCTGTGGCCCTCAGCCATAACACTTACAAGTTGATCAGCAGCATAAGGGCACTGAAATTAGTTATCTCTTCCCAGCACAATAGGCCAGGACTTCTCATGCCAAAACCTCACTTGAGAGAGAGGCTCACCACATTTGGAAGATGCTAATCAGTTCCTCATGCTGAGTCCATTTCCCAAGAGAGGAAGCAGCTCCAAGAACGGTATTAGGTATCTGAAATCTGTGCAGTCACGTCATGGAAATTTTCAGGCCATTTCTGATCCCATTAGAAACTAACTCAATCACCTCCACTCCACATCCGCAATAGAGAGGAGTTCTTCCTGCTCTTGCTCAGTATTGTGTTACTCATTTTATTAAATTGATCCAGGAGGTCTGAGAGATTAGAATCTGCAAGTGATAACACTCCCCACTAAGGTTTCTTGGCTGCATGGGGGAGCAGACATTTCCCTTAGTCTTCTTTTCCTGTCTGTAATCTCAGAAATGTCTGATGCTCTAAATTGCACAAAACACTGGAAAATAAAATACTGGGGGCAGTCCTGTGCTGGCCGTAAGACTAAGTTATAATAATGTTTGCAACTTCACACAATTGCAAAGCATGCTACAAATACTACCCAAGCCTTGCACAACCTCTATGAGGTAGCTGAGTACTACCCCATTTTTCAGATGGGAAACTAAAAGGCCTGATCCCAAAATATACTAGGCACCTTCATCTCTCATTGATTTCACCGGCAGTAGTAGGTGCTCAGTACTTCTCAGGGGTGAGGCCCTAAATGACTTTCCTCAGGTCCCAGAGAGAGTCCGTGGAAGTGACAGGGAATAGGACCCAGAGGTTCTTTATCAGTTCTCGACAAATAGGCCTTTTCTATTTCAGTGCAGAGAAAATCCAGCTAGAAAGAGAGACAACTTCTTTCACAAACACCTTCCTTTTTTATTCCTAATGAGGTAGTGTGATGTCATAGCTGGGAAGAGGGCTGATCGCTCCTCATGCAAGGCAATTAGACTCAAATCAGGATGCTCCTTGATGAATAAGCCTAATTCTTAAATAAGTTGCTAAATACAGTATGGAGCTTGTGACCCCTGTTTGATTAAACTGATTGCAAGCTAAGAACTTTGACTTGTCTTCTGTTGACCTTTCTTCTGTGTCTTTGTTTACAGATGAATATGAGCTCAATGCTAATGAATACTGGAATGATTTCTATAAAATCCATGAAAATGGCTTCTTCAAGGACAGACACTGGCTATTCACTGAATTTCCTGAACTGGCACCAAACCAGAACCTAAGTCAACCTGAGGCTTCTGCATACAAAGATGGTTGCACCAGAAAACCCAGAAACACCGGGCGGGGGAGCTGTGAAAATGGTCTTTGTTCATTGGAAACCAGAATACAAGAGCATCATCAGTTGGACTTGATGAAAGACAGTAGTAATATCATCAACAGACTCGACACAGATGGAGAAGGAATACTGAAGTTGGGTGACCTGAAACTAAGTGATGGTGACTTCCCAGGATCCTCTGCCACTTACCGTATACTAGAGGTAACGTCAGTGAGTGAGAGAAACAGCATCTTTCCCAAGTGAATCAAACTTGCCGTCAGAATCTTTGTTCACGAAGGTGACAGACTTCAAACTAACATGTCGTCGTGTACAGCCTCACCAAATCCTGCAGCCAACACAACTTTACATACAGAACCAACCGTCTTTCTTACAAATCTATCCCAAAGCTCTTTATAGAAATGAATAATAGGAGAGAAGCTGTAACATAGGCAAGGAGAGAGCTTAATTTTCAGCTGAAATTTGATATGAGGGAAAGATTCAGGAAGGTTGCTGCAGAGGAGAAGGCTCTTGTACCAGCAGTAATGAGACTAAGCAAAGGAATAGACATAGTCACAGAGTTTGAGGCCAGAAGGGACCACCAGATCATCTCATTTGACCCCCATCCCCATATTCCACAGACCACTAGCATTACCCAGCACCTGTACAATAAACCCAACAACCAAAATTAGACCGAAGTATTACAGCCCACAGGAGACTAAACTGTTATGTGCCACAGGCAGAGAATAGGATTGTCCAAGACCCCTGTAATGGCAGAGAAATGATTAAATGAGATATGCCCAGATAATCCTGACAAGTGATTTGTACCCACATGCTGCAGAGGAAAGCAAAAAACCCCCATAACAAGTGGGGTGTGGGAGGATAGAGAGAGGACCACAGATGTGAGATGGACTGGAGCAGCTCAGTGGAGGGTGTTAAAAACAAAGAGGAAAACTTTGAACTGAATTAAACCTGTTGGGTTTTGGTTCAGATTGGTCTTTGTGACCAACTAGTTCCCAAAGGGATCCGTATCTGACTGTGTCCCACACTGAGGCCTTCTGAGATTCAAAATGCAAGTTATTACTATCTGATGTTAAAGTAATGGCTGAGGTCTCAGCATGAATTCTTGTTATGTAAAGAGCTGGTTTGTTAACCGTGTTCAGGAAGCTTTCCTCTGTCCCTGACTTCTGGGTTCTGCTCCTGAGTCTGTCTGACTTGAGTGACATAAAACTCTGAAAACTATATTGCAGACAAAACAAATCTTTGCAGTACGGCTAAGGAATTCTCAGGTAGTTGTGAGGTCTCAAAATGGTGTGATGGTTGTGATGTCATAGCTGGGAAGAGGGCTGATCGCTCCTCATGCAAGGCAATTAGACTCAAATCAGGATGCTCCTTGATGAATAAGCCTAATTCTTAAATAAGTTGCATAAAGATGCATAAGGGGTATCAACAGCATTCCTAGAACAGATTGTAGAACTCATCGGGCTAATAAACTATTAAAGCTGAAATATTTGTGCTGAGTTTGCCCACACAACCTGTCACTGTGGATGATCAGTCATCATATATCTGTGGCTGGTTCAGTTTAAGAGTTGCGTTAACAGCAGTGGCCCGCCACCTGTTCTGTTGGAGCCCTGTTCTCCCAGAGGTGAGTCAGCATAAATAGCTTTGCAGCTCTCTGCAGGATCCTAGCACCTAAAACCGTGTTAGAGGCAACTTTCCATGCTATTATACCATCTCTGCTCTCATATCCCACCGGTATGCTTTCTGCACCCGCCGTCATTTCAAACATCCAATAGTACATTCCATTCTACTTACTTCAGTCCTTCCACAGAAGTCCCTAAACATTCAGGAACAAAAGCCGCTGAACTAAATTGTATGGCTTCTCTTCTCTTCAAATGAAGGTGAGGGGCAAGGGGCAGTAGCACGGCAGGCCCAGTTATAACTAGGGATAGTAGGAGAGCCATCTAGAAAGGGAGACTGAAATAATAGGGTGCAACTATAACAGAAAGAAAAAGAGAGCAAAGCAAATTTCCTTCTCCTCCCCCACCCTTCCTCATTGTCTCTGTATGGAAATGAAACTGACTAACTCCTGGCCTTTGAGACTGCCTGAGTGACTCATACTGGTTGTTATGCTTGCAATTCCAGCTATAACAACTTTCAAGAATATCAGTGATCCACGCAATCTGCCAGACTGTTGGTAGAATTAGGTAGCTAGCTTGGTGGCTTCCTGTGGATGCTCGGCTGCAGGGCCTGATCCTGAAAGGTGCTGAGCATCTTCATCTCTTATTAATGGGAGTTGCAGGTGTTCGTTGCTGTTTGGGATTGGTCCCCAGTAGGTTGCTGGAACATCATTTTGTGGCTCAAGGGTGATGCTTTGTAACAGCTGCTAAGTTCAGACTAGAAAGCAGGAGTCAGTGAGGAAAACAGTACAGGTGTGTAACTGGCTGCTCTTTTTCTGCAGGTTGGCTGTGGTGCTGGAAATACGGTCTTCCCAATTTTGCAAACCAACAAGTAAGCAGCTTTGATTATTTATTACTTGTAGAGAAAAAATTAGTAACTGGAAATGTTGTGTTCCACTCCTTTTTTTTAAATGCATAGACCCATTGCATATAAAAGAGGCTAAACACTAACACACCCACTTGTAAATTCTGTCCATACACGTTTGAATGATTGAATTGAGGTTAAAAGGTTGCTGAGACTCCTTAGGATGCGTTTGGTGGTCATGAAATTCTGCACATCCACTCATCTGTGGCTTTCAAAGCACTCTACAGACAAGCTTCCCAATCTCTGTTTTCCCTCCTTTCCCCCAAGACTTTAAGTATCAATGTACAGATGGGGATAACGGAAGCACAGAGGCACTAAGTAACTCAACCAAGACCACACAGCAAGTCATTGGTAGAGATGCGGATAAAGCCCAGTGCTCCTAACTCCCAGCTGCATGCTCTAACCATTAGACCCACTTCTTCCCTAAAACTTACTCTGCAAGTTGAATTGATTTTAAATCAACAGTTTTAATCCTAATTTAAATCAGCAAGCAGGAAACCTTGATTTAAGTCAACAATTTTAATCTTGTTTTGCATTTGTACTACTTAGTTCTTTTCCTAAAGAAAGATTGCTTCTCATTGGCTGGTAACCATTAAAACATTGATTTACTAAACTAAATATAGCCTTTACACTAAATTTGGTACTGCTTGTTGCTAACCAGGAGGATACACTATCTCAATACACATTTATTTAAGAAATTATATAGCTTAATTTACATTATTCAGATTCGTAATTTTTAATTTTTTTTATTGTGTTGGAAAATGGTGAATTTCTTTTTGACTAGATGAAGATTAATTTAGATGGAAATTGGAATTCAATTAAAATGCACAAATCCAGCATTTAAAATTTTTTTTTATTGCTTAAATACAACTACCTTATATATGGTGGATACAAAAGAAAAAAGAAAGAGGTAAATAGTGAGGTGGCAAAATTACATAAGATACATAAGAAAAAAGAAAGGGGTGAACGGCGAGTTGGCAAAGTTTGCAGATGATACTAAACTACTCAAGATAGTTAAGACCAAAACAGATTGTGAAGAACTTCAAAAAGATCTCACAAAACTCAGTGACTGGGCAACAAAATGGCAAATGAAATTTAATGTGGATAAATATAAAGTAATGCACATTGGAAAAAATAACCCCAACTATATATACAATATGATGGGGGCTAATTTAGCTACAAATAATCAGGAAAAAGATCTTGGAGTCATTGTGGATAGTTCCCTGAAGACATCCACGCAGTGTGCAGCAGCAATCAAAAAAGGCAAACAGGATGTTAGGAATCATTAAAAAAGGGATAGAGAATAAGATGGAGAATATCTTATTGCCCTTATATAAATCCATGGTACGCCCACATCTTGAATACTGCGTGCAGATGTGGTCTCCTCATCTCAAAAAAGATATACTGGCATTAGAAAAGGTTCAGAGAAGAGCAACTAAAATGATTAGGGGTTTGGAACGGGTCCCATATGAGGAGAGATTAAAGAGGCTAGGACTTTTCAGCTTGGAAAAGAGGAGACTAAGGGGGGGATATGATAGTGGAATATAAAATCACGAGTGGTGTGGAGAAAGTGAATAAGGAAAAGTTATTTACTTGTTCCCATAATATAAGAACTAGAGGCCACCAAATTAAATTAATGGGCAGCAGGTTTAAAACAAATAAAAGGAAGTTCTTCTTCACACAGCGCACAGTCAACCTGTGGAACTCCTTGCCTGAGGAGGTTGTGAAGGCTAGGATTATAACAGGGTTTAAAAGAGAACTAGATAAATTCATGGAGGTTAAGTCCATTAATGGCTATTAGCCAGGATGGGTAAGGAATGGTGTCCCTAGCCTTTGTTTGCCAGAGGGTGGAGATGGATGGCAGGAGAGAGATTACCTGCTAGGTTCACTCCCCCTGGGGCACCTGGCATTGGCCACTGTCGATAGACAGGATACTGGGCTGGATGGACTTTTGGTCTGACCCAGTATGGCCATTCTCATGTTCTTAAGATTCTTAACACATGTTTAGTATTTAAAACTAACTGATTTATTAAACAAATGAAGTATTGCGTGTAGGTAGAGAATTGAACTGATTGTTTCTGGTCACCATTTCTTTCAGGAATTTAAAACTAGTAGTTTTCATCCTCTTACGCCTTGTTTTTATTCATGGGAGTTGAAAAAGCAGGAAAATTTTGTTTTTTATTTTTCCAATCAATTTCTCAACTTTGAATGAACTAGTCATTGAATTGAAATAGTTGAATAAATTTAAATGAAGAAAATATTCACTCTGCACCTGCATAAGAAACTGCTGTTGTCAAAAGATAGTTTAGCACTTCGACAAAATTTAGTTATAGGTGCTTAGCCAGTGACTACCACCACTTCAGTGCTTTGATTTTCTTTAAAACTTTGGCAGCAAACATATACTGCTTGAATATTTTTTACTTAAATGATTTTAATAGATTATAGCAAGTGTAGGTATTAATGTAGGTTGTCATAATTTCAAATTTAATTTTAAATAGGCTTATTTTTAAAAATAAAAACATATTTAAATTAACAATCCAGGTTTTTTTATGTTCAGTTTTTATCCACCCTGAGAACCATATGAGGCACATGACTGTTTCTTGTTTCTTTTGCATTCATTTCAGTGATCCAGGGCTCTTTGTTTATTGCTGTGATTTTTCCAACACAGCTGTGGATCTTGTCCAGGTAAACTAAATATTGCATAAGTTCTAGATGAAGTCACAGCTAGGTGGAAGCAGCTGATCCTGTGCAGCATTTGCAAAGAACTACAATTAGCACTGCCTTTGTTAGTTCAGTTCTGCTGGTAGCTTGATATTTAGCTAGAACTGGATGCTGCCTCTCAGTGCAAGCAGATTAGGGGATCTGACCATTGGAGGCTGCAGGAAGGAAGGGAACAGGATTAAATTTAAAAAAAAAGGGGGGGAGCAGTTTAACAATGGTGCTGGAAGAATAAGTCTGCTTTCCCTTCTCCTGTTACCAGCATCGTTTTTCCAGACCAGATGCTGTTTAATGGGGTAACTGCTGAAGTTTTGACATCTTTCAAACTATTTCTTACAGTCTCAATCAATTAATGTTATTCTTGATTCACTTGTATCATTGATGTAACCACAGGTCTGGAAGCAGCATTTAATTGCTGCTGCACAGGCAGCTGGCTTGATGTCATGGTGGATGTTGACTTTGTTGTTTGGGGCAAGGGTTGACTTTGGCTATGGAATAGCAGGTATTAACAAACAAATCGGTTTAGAATGGAGTTTGGGAAACTTCGCTAGAGTGTTAAATTGACCAGCCAGTTTGATAGGAGAGATTGTGAGGGGGCGAAGGAAGGCAGCAAGGGGCAGCTGCTCCAGCCTGACTGTTGGTGCTCCCCACCTTCCCAAGTAGCCACAGAGTGAAACTGACCAGAGTCTGCATGTCACTGGGAGTGGGGTTGCTCCACATCTCTGTAGAACAGTCCCCTTCTGCTTAGGAATCTAAATATGGTTTTGAGAGCCTGGCATTAGATATCCTGGTTTGAAATGTTTAACCTAAGGGCCCAGTGCTATCCTACTGAAATCAGTACAAGTTTTACCATTGATTTCAGTGGAGCAGATTTAGGCCTTGACCCTCTGTGCAGCTATAACGGGGAGAATTCCAGCTTGATGGTATAAATCACCCATTTCTGGCCTTGATCGTTTGTGAGAGGTTTGACCTTAAAGCTGTTGCTGGTCCCACAGTCTGGCACTGCTTTTTTTGGTAGTAGTGAAGGACTGAATAGAGTGAGTCCAGAACTCATAGAATCATAGAATATAAGGGTTGGAAGGGACCCCAGAAGGTCATCTAGTCCAGCCCCCTGCTCGAAGCAGGACCAATTCCCAGTTAAATCATCCCAGCCAGGGCTTTCTTATAACTCTGCCGTATCTACTTAATAATTTTCCATAGTTCCCCTCCACTTCCCTTTCTGACATCCCTCGAATATTCTAATTATAATAGCTGTACACACAGGGGTTATTCTGAAATGGACTCAAGGCCTCTGGGGATATGTCGACACTGCAGCAAAGGGCATACCTCCCAGCCTGGATACACAGACTCCGCTCTAACTCGTGCGCTTAAAAATAACATGTGGACATTGCGGTGTGGGAGATGATTCAGGCCAGCCAGTCAGGCAGGCTTGGACTATGGATGGCTACCCCGAGCCATCGCCCGTGCCGCAGTGTCCACACAGCTATTTTTAGCACTCTACCTTGAGCAGAGCTAGTGTGAGTCTATCCTGGGCTAGGAGGCACTAATCCAACTGCAGTGTAGACATACCCTGGCTCTTCCAGCTTTTCCATGTGAAAGTGAAATGGAGATTGTGCAGCCAGGTAGCATTGGTATTTGTGTCTGACAGTGTCTGTATCTTCTTGTGTTGCTCCTCTTTTAATTGCAGACCAATTCAGAGTATGACTCTTCCCGCTGTTTTGCCTTCGTTCATGACCTGTGCAAGGACCAAAGCCCATACCCAATGCCAGAGAAGAGTCTTGACATCATTATTCTCATCTTTGTCCTATCAGCTATTCTCCCAGAGAAGTAAGTCAGCCTCTACTAAAGCACCAGCAATTCACTGTAATGAAAGGAGAAAAGGCTGCACATGACAAATGCAGTCAAAGGTCCTTCATAGGGGATATTAAAGTGATATTGTCAGGTTAAAACTTCTGTAGTGAAATAATCCTTACCTGTGTTACTGAAACTCTAAATTTAACCTAATGTACTCATCACGCTGTGCTCTTTATATACTTTGTGCATTTCATTCCACTTGGACAATGAACAAGCAGTAGGGTCAATTTCACTTTATGGATTTGCCACCTTAGAGCAGTGCCCCAAAGTCTGAGCTGCAAATGCTACCAGGGAATGTCTGAATCCAAGTAAACTATTCCCATGGGCTTCTTTTTTTTGCTCCTGAAATGGCTTCTATTACTAGTAGGCTACATGAAACTTCATTTTATTTACATGCCTGCATTTTGGTCCTAAACTCACCGGGCAGTGTCATTTTTACAGATGAGCAAAGTGAGCACAGAATTTACGGGCAGTGTCCCCATTAACTCTGTGCTCACTTTGCTCATCTATAAAAATAGGTGTAGTATAATATTTACCTACCTCACAGGAGGTGGAGAGCAAGATATCTTACCTATATTCAGAATACATCAGTTGTACGTAGTGCATCTCATGGCAGGACAGAGAGACTCCTGGTAACAGTAGGAGCACAAAGAGGATTTCTTATTCTGATCTCTGGTCACATACCAACCCTGTGACTCTTTTGGCTTTCTTTCTATGGGTGTGACTAGCACAGCATGTGCTGCTGAATGTCCCCACGCAGGGCTTCCCATAGTTTGGCCTGGAAAGTACAATCATGGAAGGGAATGCTGACTCCACGACATAGTACAGATTATAGTAATGCTTTTTAAAATGGGAATACTTACCAGATAGTAACATGGTGTGAAGGTAAATGCAATTTACAAACCAGTATGTACTTAAATAATTACCTACTGTTCATTGTGTGGTTAGTGTTCAAGAACCTTGTCTGAGGTGACAAATCAGGACGCCTGAGTAGCCAACGCGATGTCATAATGCCAAATGCCTCAAAAACAGTGGTTTCTTCTTCCCATCTGAACCATGTCCAGGCCAAGAAGACATTAAACATCAATTTCTGTGGATTACCATTGATGCACAATCATCATCCACGGTACTTGGGGATAACCCTGGACTGCTCGCCCAGCTTCCATTGCCACCTTGAACAAACCAAAAGGAAAACGAAGGCCAGAGTCCACATCATACAGAAGCTTGCAGGACCATCTGGGGAAAGCGACGCCTGCATGCTCCAAATGTTGACACTAGCCCTGGTCCATTCTGCAGTGGAATACTATGCCCCAGTTTGGAGCGGACTCCCACACACCATTTTAGTGGACACTGAAATTAACGCCGTTCTTCGTATAATTAGTGGCACCCTCACATCAACACCACATCCATGGCTATCGGGACTAGCTAACATTGAGCGAGCAAATATCCAATGAGGCGCTGCGACAGTTATAGAGTACATAAAGATCATGGCAAATACCCCACTACCACTCTACCCTGACCTAGAACACCCGCCTTGCCACCGACTAAAATTAAGAAAATCCTTCTAGTCTCATGCCATAACCTCCTGGCAGACGATGGTCTGAAGCCGGGGTGGCTGCAGATGTACCAAACAAAAATCTAATCGACAAACCAACTGTGCAAGTGCCGGTTTTCTCCTCCCTACGGTGCATATGGACAGCTATAAACCGTATCCACACCTGACGTGGAAGATGTGCATAATTATTCCATAGATGGAAAGTAAGGAATTGCTGAAATGCAACTGTGGTATGGTGCAAACTGTCGGAAACATCATGGATGACTGGCCAATCCAAGTTTATCCTGGAGGTGTTGCAGCCATTCCCAGGGCCACCCCCCTCCCTCTGCTCTGGGCTGAATAAGAGACCCAACTGTAGTCATCCCTTTGCTTTCACTGTTTCACTATCGCCATACAGAAGAAGATGAGGACAACTGTGTGGCTACATTGTCTATATGTAACAGAGAAGCTGCTTGTGGTTAATAAACACATTATGATTAGTGGGCACTGCTCTGTGGCACTCATGGACTGTCTTTGAGTTCTGTGTTTCTACAACAGAGTCCTGGTCCGTGACAGGGGCTCCGAGACACCATGATAATACAACAAACAAAAATGAGTGCATTCGTAATTGGGCACCCATGGGATAACATTCTTCGGGGATGGCTGACACCTAGCATGGCAAAGCCGCTTTGAATGGTTCAGGCTCTCTTGGAGAGGTTGTTGGGCCAGATCTTATAGAGCTGAGCCCATGCCAGAGCATATGGAGATATGATCAGCCAAGCCTGGGAATGGGTTCCTGGGAAAGCTGAACCAGGGTATCTTATGTTTTGGGATCGCTTAGGCCCATGTTTCAAAGCTGCTAAGTACCAACAGTGTCAGCTGAAGTCCATGGTGGCTGCAGGTGCTAGCACTTCTGAAAATTCGGCCCAAGGTGCCACAGGTTAGACACTCACAGAAATTTCGTGGGTACGTTCATAGATTCTAAGGCCAGAAGGGGCATTATTATCTGACTTCCTGTAAAACACCGGCCAGAGCACCTCGCCCAATAATTGCTGTATCAAGCCCATGACATGTGGTTGAGCTGTTTAGCATATCCTCTAGAAAGTCATCCAGCCTTGACCTTTAAGACTTCAAGTGATGGAGGATCCACTACATCTCTATGTCCATTGTTCCAGTGGTTAACTGCCCTCACTGTTAGAAATGTTCTAGTCTGATTTTGTCTAGCGTCTAGGATTCCCGCCCAAACTCTCACAGGGAATCCATGCAGAACCATGGATAGCACTTGAGGATTCTGTGCTAAACCACGTGACCACTTCTTCTCATGTGATGCCATCTTACAAAAACCTTTTCAGATAAACAAAGTTATAGCCTAAAGTCCACGTGTATAGACACAATCCAGTTTATCAGCACAACTCCTGACGAAACCACAGCAATCTTCATATTCTCCACTATAAACCCGCCCTTTTAAAAACCTTAAATCAACTGAGCTGTTTAGAATGAGAATTTTTCACTCAAGTCATATTTTGTAAATAAAAGCCTAAACATAAAGGAACTCTGTCTCTTTGGTAAGCTCAACTCATTCTAATGTTCTGAGGGATGAAGGAAGCAAGCATAATTTTGACGGCTGTTGAATTTTCCTAATTTGCCCTTTTCCCAGGATGCAGTGCGTCATTAACGGACTGAGCCGGCTTCTGAAACCAGGAGGAATGATTCTGTTACGAGATTATGGTCGTTATGACCTGGCGCAGCTTCGATTTAAGAAAGGTATTTCCTCCTTCCCGTGCTCAAACCCTTGACACATCAGGTATGTGAGAGTGTCTGCAGGGGAGGCTGCCATGTCTAGGAGACAGACTGATAACTTCCCCTTCAGCACAGTGTGCAGTAGGGGGTGGGGATTGCCATTTGCCTTCTTGTGCAGCTGATTGGCTGATTTAAAATAAGTTAAGTGGATAATACTGTCCGAACAACTCTTGCCCCCAGGTCGATGTCTGTCCGATAACTTCTACGTGAGAGGCGATGGGACCAGAGTTTACTTCTTTACGCAAGGTAGAAGATTAGATATTGTATTCCTGACCTTCTCACCTTCCTCATTCCTTTGTGTGGGGAATTTCTGCAAACCCCCAGAGGCGAACAGCTGACTCAGACGTACCCTCCCTGGACCGGGCTGAAATGATAGAGGTTTATCAGTTGCATGGAGAACTGGGCCTGTAGATCATTGTGAAATATGGCTTAGTGCATTCCTTCATGTAGCAGAGAATCCTTCCCCAGCTGCCTCACATGCAGGGGGCCCTCTTGCAATGGAACTAGTGTGCTTGCTGCACTGAGGGGTGGGGGGGAAGAGGGGCAGGGAGCAGAATTTGAGGAGGTGTGGGGAGGGGCGTTCCCTGGATACTGTTGCACGGGAGAGGTTACATAGGGGTGGAGCCAGAGGGGCCAGCACTCTGAAGATCTTGCCTTCTGCCTCCCCCAATGTGGGGGCACTAAAGACTACTCTGGCTGCTGGGCTGGGGTAGCCTCAGCAGAACAACTCGTTGCTGCATCATGGGGCTTGTACTCTTCTCCACCAGTCACCCCTGCCCTCCAAACCCCCAGTCAAGTTAGTGATATCGGGCACCTCTATCCTACTGCTGGTAATCCTTAGTCAGGTCTAAAATGATCAGTGGATGTAGGACAGTGATACTGCTGCAACGAGCTGTTCAGTTCACTGCACAGGGCATATCGGTTACAGCTAAATAATTCTAAAATGGATGTTTCAAAAGGAAGAAAATGGCTGTCTGGCAAAGGTTGCAGCATGGCAGGTATGGGATAAAAGAGCACAAGCTGGGACTTGTTAGCCCTTTGCTACAGAAACACTGTAAAATCACATGCTCCCAGAGCTGCAGTTACACTGGATCTCTCCCCAGCACGACTAGGTCTCTGGCTTTACATGCAGCCAGTGCGTCGGGGCACCCTGGTACAAAATGCATCATGCAGCCTATCGCTTGTGTTTGGACTACTTGGCTATAGCATTGTTCTGGCCTGGAGGGCATGTGGTGTCTTGATCATCTACTCTTGATGTGGCTTTTCTGGGATGTTTTTGGATTAATGACCACAACCCATATCAGTAGGGCCCTACCAAATTCACAGCCATGAAATACATGTCACGGGCCATGAAATTTGGTCTCTCCCTGTGAAATCTGGTCTTTTGGGTGCTTTTACCCTGTACTGTACTGTACTGATTTCATAGGGCAGACAGGGGTCCTGACCCAAAAGGGAGTTACAGGGGAGTCGCAAGGTTATTTTGTGGGGAGGTCACGGTATTGCCACCCTTACTTCTGCACTGCCTTCAGAACTGGGTGGCCGGAGAGCGGTGGCAGCTCTGAAGAGAGAGCTCTGAAGGCAGTGCCCTGCCCACAGCAGAGTAGAAGTAAGGTTGGCAATGCCAGACCATGCCAACCTTGCGGTCTGCGCTGCTGCCTTCAGAGCTTGGGAGTGGTGGTGTCTGCTGACTGCGGGCCCAGCTCTGCAGGCAGCAGCGCAGAAGTAAGGGTGGCAACACCACACCCCATCCTGACTTGTGCGCTGCTGCTGGCGGCGACTCTGCCTTCAGAGCTGGGCTCCGGGCCAGCAGCCGCGCTCTCCAGCTGGCCAGCTCTGAGGGCAGCTGTGACCAGCCGCAGCACAGAAGTAAGGGTAGAAGTACCAACACGCCGCTGCCACGCCCCCCCCACCTCCCTCCCCACACACACACTAACCTTCCGAGCCGCCCACAACTCCTTTTTGGGTCAGGACCCCTACAATTACAACACTATGAAATTTCAGATTTAAATAGCTGAAATCATGACATTTACTATGTAAAAAATCTTATGACCATGAAATTGACCAAAATGGACCGTGAATTTGGTAGGGTCCTATATATCAGACATACAGGACTGTAAGCTTAACCCTAGAGCTTTACAGCGTAGGCCTGATCCTGTAGGGTACTGTGTGTCCTCCATTCCCAGAGACTTCAGGATTTGAGGGTGCTTAGCATCTTGATCAAGCCCCTTGAAAAACACATTCCTGTCTCAACTATCCCTAATCTTGGAAAGTTCGTCCCCTCAGGCATTCATGCATGGACAATGCCCACCTCTTCATTCTAGGGTTGCTGCTGTCTTCCCTTCCTCCTCCCCTTTGCTCTCTGTGATGCCGATCATCCAAGCACTTCTCTTCCCCCTCAGTAGAGCAGAGCAGAACATGTACCCCAAGATCGCTGTTAACTCTTGCCATGAGATGACCACAAGGGTTGGCAGACAAGGTAGAGGTCACGACACATTCAAAGCCGGCTATCATATGGTCCTTCCATTTGACTGTGGAATCAAAAGCACTGGATTTTTCCAGAACTTCCTTGAACATTCAAAGGAATCTTTTAGCTCCCACTTAGAGCAGTTTAACCTACAAGCAAGCGTTGATCAAATTAATGCTTCTGCTGTCTTAACCGCCTCCTCCCCACTCCTCCTAGATGAACTGGATGCTCTTTTCACCACGGCTGGGTTGGAAAAAGTCCAGAATCTGGTCGATCGGCGCCTACAGGTGAATCGAGGGAAGCAAGTGACGATGCATCGAGTGTGGATCCAGTGTAAATACCGCAAGCCCTTCCCTGCAGGACATAAGGAGAATGGGCGCGTTCATTAGCAAGGTGTGTCTATCACATGTGCTGTATTTGGACTTGCTGGGACTCTCCTCCTGTGAAGCATGTGGCACTGAGCAGACCTGCCATATCATGCTGAATTCTGGCGCCTTCTGAAATGACCAGACTAGTCGTAAGTTCACATGCTTTGTGTGCAAGGTGGAGCTAGGCTCAGGACAACTCCACAACAATATCTAGTTATTAGTCTTTGTTTTTTAAATTAATGGTGACTTACAATTTACCTAAGAAATGGACACTCACTATCTCTTGTTGAGCCCGAGCAAAATGAGTAACGAGTTCTCTGTCTTCCGAGTGTCTACATGAAAAGGAACAGGAGTTTGGACCTTATCTTCAGGTTTTGCAGTTTGCAGCACAGTGGGGTTCATTTCAACCATCTACTCTATCCACCCAGATCCTCTTGCCCCATCACCTTTTTGTCACTCGCTGCTCTAGATGTTGAAAATCAAAGTCACATGGGTTGCCCTAACAGTTTTAAAAGTCAGGCTGGCTAGTGAGTGCAGATCCATTCCAGCCCTGTGCTACTCATGCAGGCTCACATAGAGAGGATCACCTTCCATCCTACGTAAGGTAATCAACTGACTCGATGTGGTGGACGGTGTCTAGTAGTTAACTTAGTGGAAGCCTATCACAGGGTTCAAAAGCTGTCCTTGTGTTCCACGCCTTTGGGAGCTAGTTTATTTTTACTCTGTGGAATCTGATTTAAATAGAGTGCGAGGTTACAGCCTATGTTACAGTTATAAAGAACTGATTTACAGTAAACTTTTCCAGCCATGGTTTACACCACTACTTAAGCCTTTCCAAGCAAGCTCGTGTGCTGTACTGCAGCTGATCTGCGCTGATCTGCAGGGGGAGGGATAGCTCAGTGGTTTGAGCATTGGCTTGCTAAACCCAGGGTTGTGAGTTCAATCCTTGAGGGGGCCATTTAGGGATCTAGGACAAAATTTGGGATTGATCCTGCTTTGAGCAGGGGGGTGGACTAGATGACATCCTGAGGGGCCTTTCCAACCCTGATATTCTATTCTATGAAGATATCCAGGTTCAATTCAGTCAAGCATGGGGCAAAAATAGCATGCTGTGATAGGTGTCAAAGTATAGACCAGAACAGACAATCATTTCTGATTGTGGATTTTCACGTGTATAGAGTGGAGAAGGTGGGGGAAATTCCATCAAGCCTATGTTTAATTATCAGAATCGGACGAAGATGACCAGGTTTGAGGGGGGGGAATGGCATTGGTGAAGGGGAGGGACTAGAGGGGATTTGGGATGCTTCCAAGTAGCTGCTGGCTTGTGACCCTCCTCCTCTCCATCTACCTTCCCCTAGTGCCTACCCCTCTCCGGATCTCTGTTGGAGAGAATCCAGCCTGACACCTTCCTAATGACTAGTTTTGGCTGACATTGCTGCGGGGAGAGGAGCCAGGGCTGTGCCTATGCAATCTGGTGCACCTCACACGCCATTCCGCTCACAGTGCATATATTTTGATGGTGAGATGATCATGGGCTAAGAGTACCTACACAGGAAGGAGATGTCAGCTCGTTAGGGGCTGTTTCATCTCACTGACAAAGACATAACAAGAACCTATGCCTGGAAGGGTGAAAGAGGAAGTAGAAAGAGAAGAATTTGCTCCTGGTCCCTTAGAAGTCAATGGGAGCTTTGTCATTGAGACAGGACTGGGTCCATTGGCTTGACTGGTGCTGGGAGAGCCTACAGGCATCGTGATGACATCTCCTGCCACCATCGTCATGTTTAGGAGCCGGCCCTGTTGATTCGTGACACTGCCACCACACAGCCAGCCTGTCCCTCTGCAATTGTCATTCCTAACTCCGTCGGGTGATGTGTTCCTGAATACAGGTGCAAAGGTGACCCAACAAGTCCCTTGGAGCCTCCCTTTGACTGCTGTGCAAGCTGATGCTATTTTTGTGTTTTAAAGTCAGACTCCAAAACAGTTCTTTGGAAATACCTGGTTAATGCTTGAGAGAACAGCTGGAAGAAAATCTCTTGTTAAAGGTGCTACAATCCTGCTCCTTCTGTTCAGGGTTGAGAGAACTTTCAAACCACATGGATGGAGGAGGAGAAGACCAGACTAAAAATGCCTATTTCTAAGGCAAAAAACCTATGGAGAAGGCATCTTTCCTTCACAGATATTTAGGCTTGGCAGAATTCAATTTTGAATGTTTATGATTTAGATGGATATTGATATTGAATTTTATGCATTTTTATCAGTTTTCACAGTTGTGGGAAACTATAGGGGGTAAGACTATAGCAATTTAATGACCACAGGTGTTGAGATTCAAAAAGCTAAAGCTTTATAACTGTTAAAACACAAATTGTCCACCTCGCATATCAAAATATACCAAGTAAAAACCCTTAAGTCAAACT